GGGAGAAGAGGGAGAAGAAGGTGAAGAAGAAGAAGAAGAAGAAGAAGAAGAAGAAGAAGAAGAAGAAAGAAGAAAGAAGGACGTGAAGTGATATGATATGATATGATATCTTGATATGTCAGTCAGTCGATATAGTATAGTATAGTATGGTATGGTATGGTATGGTATATGGTGATAATGTAAGTACAGCTTCAAACTTCACCGAAAAAAGATGTAAAATAAACTAAAAGAAAGCAAAATAAGGTAAAAAACAAAATACACATACACACACACATACACATACACATTACATACACATTACAAATGTAAGTAGGTGTATTGTGTTATAAGTTTTATGATATGCCTAACTTAACTTAACTTAACTTAACTTAACATCTGCAATGGATCAATCAATCAAATCGGATATCCGAATGGTCTGATTCAACCCCAGATTGAGTTTTCCGCTCGATCGAAATCTCGGGTTCTCCTCCTCTTCCCTTTTTCAATCCAGCTTACATGTCGAAGTAACTATACGTTATGTACGGCTCAGATCAGATCAGATCAGATCAACCGAGACTAATTAATCTAATTCCTTTTGTTTTTGGCATGTTCTCAGCAAGCGGCAACTCCAATTTTGCATTTTGCATTTTAATGTCAAGCGAAACGAACCCGCAAGTCTGGGCTGGCTAGCTCGGCCCAACCTAAACTTACCTTTCTGTGGGTGACCACACCCCCCCGAAACGATCCAACGGCTTCGAATCAAGATCCAGGTTTCCGCTCAGGGCGTCCGGGCCTCGGTGGACCAGGATCTCCCATCTTTGTGGAATCTGATTTTTGAAAAATCGAAACCAGGGTGTGCATGTGTGTCTGTCTGTCTGGCCGCTTTCTTCCTCTCCTCCTCCTCCTCCGCTTCCTTCTCCACACTTACGTCGATACTTTTCACCCATCCCACTTCACATACATATTAATTCCATGATTCACCCACCAATGAGGATATACTCGATTATACGATATGCCTTCTCGTGTACGATGTAATATGTACGGTATATTTCTTCAAGGTGTAATGTTATATCCTTTTTTTGCATGACATCTGCCCTTGTCAATCGCCACAGAAAGCCTCCGCGGCCTTCCCCCCCCAAGATTTTGCCTTACTGTCTTAACATCTGTACAATCCTCAGCTGCTCCAACCCAAAAAGAAAGAAAGAGGGAAGAGGGCCATGCACCCATTGCATGACAACCACCATCTTCCTCCCCCTTATTTCCATCTTGTCTGGTTTCCTATCTTATCTCTACTGTATGTATGATCGCTCTGCTGGATGCTCGGTTCGGAATATAAAACAATGCAGACGAGAGTGGAAAAAAATAAAATAAATTAGAAAAAAAAAAAAAAAAAAAAAAAGAACCGAAGGGCGAACAACTTCCGTTCGGAATGAAAGGCACCCTGGTCCCCAAAAAAAGGTGGTGTTGACGGCTAGGGAGACCCCATGAGACTAATATATGCCAATCGTCCTTCAACGGCCCTTTTACCAGATCGGGTCTGGTGCTCAACGGTGGCTTGCGATCTTGATTTCCTTCAAAGATCGGCCGGTAATAATAGGTTGGAACCTTCCGTCGCTTTTGACCATTCCCCAGGATAAATACACTTTACCTGATGTCCAAGATGTGCGTTATGTCTATGATGTTTGGATGTCTACCCTGTAAAATGACATGATGTATGACACCGTTGAGGGGAAAAAAAAAAAAAAAAAGAAGGGTTTCTTTTTTTCGTCGACTAAACTTGCCCAGATGGCTGGGTTGACAGCCAAAAAAGTAGCCGAATCCTTCCGATAGAGGTTCTTCGGTGGATCTCTTGTCGTGAGATTGGATCGGGTGGAGAAGCGAAGCTGCATGGGGGTGAGAACAAGATCTCTGCTTGGCCGCTTGGATGGGAAGCATTTTAAAATTTTCTTGTCCTAGACGGAGTAAGTCAGTATGTTTTTTTTTTTTTTTCTTTCTTCATTCTTCCGCCCTGCGAGATTCCAAAAAAGATATCTTTCGATCGGTGGGATCGAGCAGCTTGGCTTTTGAGATCAGGTTTCGGGGGTTTTCTTTTTCCCTTCCCATTTCCAATTTTGATATCATGAAATCCGGAATTTGGTTTCCGAATCAATCAGTCAATCAATCAATCGGACACCCGCCCATGAAGCCAACCTTCCCGAGACAGCTGGATCTCTCTGCCTCTCCCTTCCTGACGAAAATTTCACCGGGTCAAGCAGACCACACACACACAAAACATACATAAAGACCCTGGACAGCAAATGAAACGAGTGGCCTGATACTTACTGTTGTTCGCAGGCAAATGCCAGAAGTTGGGTTCAGCAGCTAATGTAATAGGACCTTTCCCACTAGCGTTGCGAGTCAGGTTTGGTATATGTATCTCACGAGGGAAAGAAACAAACAATGCGAGCGGGAATAAAGATTGAAAAAAGCAAAAGGAACTTGCTGGAAAGAGTGGCCTCACGCGAATCGCCATATTCAGAGGAGGAACATAACCAATCACAGAGGCTGGCGGACGGGTGGAAAGTGGAGGAAAGTGGAACTTGGGTGGGGGGTGGATCTGGCATCTTGCAGACGGGCCCCATGTCTTCATCGTCCTGAAATGGGTGGATTTTCAACGGTCGAGTGTGGTGAGCTCCAATGCAAAATGCAACTTGCATCGTGCGGTCCTGTTTTCGTCCTCCTTCTGCTTTTTTCCCGAGTTTAGTCGAATCGAATCCCAACCAAGCCCCTGCCAATGTCCTTGCGAAATGGAAGTATCAGGCCACGAGCACGAGCGCGGAATTTGCCAGTCTGGTATCATGGCTTGTTGGTTGGATGGGACGGGTGATGGTGGAGAGGCAAGACCAGGGAATGGCCCAAGCGAGAGGTCTCGTATTGCTTACCTCGATTCGCATACATGGCCTCCGGACAGATACCGTTTGCTCGATCTGCTCATGATCAAGATCTGACTTCGGCTATCATTTGGAATGAAGCAAGGGTTCGCATTCCGCTGTCGTTTCTTTTTCGGCTAGGACATGTACATACGTGTGTGTACCGATGTACCCAATTTCTCCCTGGGCGCTTCGTCAATAGTAATATAAAATTATATCTCGTTGCAACGTTGCCGACATTTGTTACCGAGCGCCTCAGGCCATCGTCGATGCAGCTTCCCTGCCATTAATATGTGAACTTATATATGTAGTACTTCTATTTACCGGCGTGAGTAGTGCAAAGCGGAAGGAGAGGTATGGTATGTATGTATGTACTTACATAGTAAAAGGAAAAGGGAGATAAAAGGATGAACCTGACACAAATCACAGGCCGAGAGTGTTAGAAGAAGTCACTTTTGTCAGAAAAAGCGCTATATAATGCGCATACATGTTGGTTTCTTCACAATGGCCGGCCAGTTATTGATATTATTTGCCAGCCACTCGTATTGCGCAACAGAATCGGGTAAAATATCCCACCTTCACCATCAAATCTCCTTTCATCGTCCGATCATGGCGCCCGTGTCCTCGTGGCAGTTCCATACCGTGCCTTAGTTAACATGTACTCCGTATGCACGTCCATTTCCATGGCCACTCTAATTAACAATCTCCTACAGCTACAGCTACTGCTGCTACTACAATCTTACAAATCCCAACGGTTTTTTTTTTTTTTTTCCTTCTTGGTTCCATCCTTCGATCCCTTCTTTCCTTCCATCTGGTCCCACAAATAGTGACGGTGTGCATGTCTTTTTTGTCCCCTTCCCACGTGTCTGTGTATCCTTGTGGAGAGTGTGGGACAAGATCGATTGAGCGATCCCATTCAGATCGTAATCTACCGATCCGATTTAATTTGTGTACCGAAGCCTTCCAACCCGTCTGCGCTGTTGCATGTATGTAAGTAGGTACCTACACAGTACATACATACATATACCATGTACATCGGGATTTTTTATATCGTCAATCTTAGACTCGAGGCTACGTAATTATCTTCCGGGAGCTCATCTCATCAGGTCATTATCACATGTGCACAATGGGCAGGGCGAAAAAAGTGTTCGAGAGAGGATAGATTGAACATCAACTTGAGTAAGTCAGAGGTACCTAAGGTATGGATTTTTTTTTCAGCTCTCCATGTGCATGCCAGAGCCGAGTACAGAAAGCCCATTACGCCAAAGACGCCTGCTAACTAGCCTGGACACACGGCTGAAATGTAAAAGCAAAAAGAACAGTAAATTACCCCCAAAGCACAACACCGGAAAAGAAACAAGAACGCTGTCATCAGAGCAGTCAGAATATAGTACAAAACAGATAAAAATCATCAGCCGTGGTTCCGGATGGGCAGGGTATGGGCCGCAACTAGAAGGACCTTTTCCATGTTGCCGCCGACGCCTGAAACGGCTGGCATGTTCTTGTTCAAACCACTCTTTACATCCAAAACACCACACCCTCTCAACCTCGATCTAGGTGTGATATGGATTTTAAAACCTCGTGTAGAGGCAATGCCGTTGTCCCGGCTGCCTTCATTGCTGCTTCCTGCCTCACATCTAGCACAGACGAAGCCTTTCCAAGAACCTTTTCCGTTACGCCCTTTGCGTACAGACTATACTGCTGGGCTTTGTGCATACCATGTGAAAACTGATCCACTTTGAATTCCAATGACCCACGGCCCTTTGATATGACGTCTTGGATTTGCCCAATCGCTTTGTCAGAATTCTCAAACTTTGGAATAACAGCAGCTTCTTCTGGTCGCAACAAGGCGACATCCAAGTCTTCCGGCCGCATCCCTCCTTCCTTTTGACTCCTTGGCATTTTTCCGGGGGCCTTTTCACAGATCTCAGACCAAGCTTTCTTTTCACAGTTTAACCTGCACAACACAGGTCTTTGTCAGCATATTAAACTAGCTAAGTCGGCTCTTAACTAGGTTGATCTTACTGTTCCAATTGTTTTTCTAGCGCTTCGATCTTCCGTTTGTGGTCCTCGTTTTTGGGATTGGGTTTCTTGGGTACGTCTGCGGTGCTTTCCGTTTCCTACATACAGATTAGATATTGTAAAATTACGTCATTCACGATGTTGGTTCATACCTCTGAAGCATCCCACCAATTCACATTGAGCTTTTTCTCAGTGAGGTCTGCCAATATATCTTCTTCGATCACGCGTGCTTTCGTACTTGTTAGCTTATTTACCACGCAAATCCCATGTGGTGGATATTTATTACCTGCAGCCCGGGCATTTGACTGGGCATCACGGCCACGTGCTCTCTTCTCACTCAAAGCACACTTGGAGCACCAAGCTAAAAGTTGTTGCATACGCTGGGTTTCTATCATCTCAGGATCTAGGTGCTTATAGAAGTCGTTGGGTAGGACATCTGGATGTGGTGCCGCTAATCGTCGCGATGTTAGTGCCTGTATTTGATGGGTTTCCCCCTTTGGCATAGGTTCCATACCGATAAACCCATTTGATAAAGAGCTGGCTCTTCTACCGCGCATACCCATGCTACTTCTCCGGTGGCCTTTTGCTTCACGCATCTCCTTGTTCTTCTTCCTCACCAATGGCGTGTCTTCGATAGCAGCCAGTGGAATCTTCAGGGGCTTATCTCCCCCAACCTCATCTTCCTCCTTTGATAGTTCCTCTTCGGATGCAGCATTCCTCGGCGAACGTCGAACTTTTGGTGCGTTTCTTCCAGGAGTTTCTAGGACCTGTGCTTTCGTTTTCCGCGTAGTCGCTGGTGGCCTCGCGCTCGGGGTCGGCAATGGCTTCTCATTTTCTATATTTTTTGTTCGGGATCGAGATTTTGGTTTAATCTGGGGCTGTGGTTCTGGTTCCGGTTTAGGTGCTGGCTCTGGAACTGGCGCACGTTCTACTCGTGTCCGCCTCGACCTACTCGGAGATCCACCTTTAGGGGGCCTTGTTGTTCGCGATGCCGTTGTGCTCTCCTGAGGAGCAGCAGGTGGCTCCGGTTTTTGTTCTTGCTCCCCCCTCTCCTTATCCCTCTCCTTTTGGCTCCGTTTAGCCCGTTTAGCCCTGCTTGGTCCCTTCGAAAATATGTTATCCGTACTCTCATCAGTTTCAGCAGCTACCGTACCTAGAAAGATAATTAGCTTCTCTCAATTTTGTGATTCGACCGTATTTAATTACTTCTTGTTGTCTGTGGCCCCAGATAGCTCATATTAGCTGCATTCCAATGTACCATAAACACGCGACTAGACTCTCACCCTTGTTTGGGGCTTCGCCGTCTGTTCGACAGCCCGGCTTGTAGATCGATCGGGAGAAGACCGCCGGGTCTTCTTAAGAGGTGGCATATCTTCTCCACGAACTCCATTTGCCGTAGCATTATCATCGAGAAACGTCTTTGTGCTACTTTTGCGCTTCGGCCGATGACTGGCCATTGTTGGCATGAATGTTAAGGGGAGCGGATATGAGGCGAATTCGGTCATGTAATCATGCGGTTAACCATTGCAGGGTAGCGAATGTCGAAAATGCTGGTAGTTTACAGAAGTCGAATGACTTTTTGAGACCGAGGTGAATTTGAAACAGTTGGGTTCAATTGTGGGGAGAGGTGTTAGGCGCGATGCACATATATGAGTATCTGGAACGACTGGAGATGTTTTGAAAACAGTACAAGAGGAATGATCAATTAATGGTGGTTAGTTTTATTTCCTTCTTTCCAGTCGGTTCGGGGTTAGTAGATGCCGGAGATAGCGCTACCGATGGGGTGCTTGATGCTGTCGATGCTGTTGATGTCGATGATGCTAGTTTAGGTTGGGGGACGCGACAAGCTGGCGGGACGAAAAGCCGTCATCGCGACAACAACAACAAAACAATAACAACGCACAACACATACTACTTTGCTGGATCGAATTCTGGACGAGACGAGAATACCCCCAATGTGATAGTGACAGAAAATATATAAAGTGGCGGGAATGAGGTTTTTTTTGGGGGGTTTCTTCATTTGTCAAGAAAAATTAAGATAGCTTCAAGTTTTTTGTTTTCTATACCAGTTAAATGGCATGACTGTACCATTCTTTCTAACCATACAGTTTCAGGCAGGCGGTGTACGGCGGACATATAAATCCACCCACCACAAGGAACTACACGCTTTGCATTGCACATGTCGCAGATTTTCATAAAGTTTTCAAGGGAAAATTGTTGAAATTCACATAAATATATATATCATCACCTCTTAAATCATTCATTCCGAGGAGGGGCCAAGCTACCCTCCACACGCCGCTTAGCGTCCGCCTTGTCTGCCGCCGTAACGTGCTTGGATATCGTCTCGTGACCAACCTCACGCTGGTCTGGGCTATGCCCGACGGACATTCCCACTCGAATCTTCGTAGGAGTTCGTTAGCCTTCAGTTACAACGTACAAGTCCCAGAGCTCATAGGGCATCACTCACCAGAGTTTCAATCGCCTCGCTTGAATTAGCGATTAAGTCGTCGTCCCATCTCATTGTGTTAGGCTCGAAAAGGACTACGAGAGTACTTCCACCAAACTTGAAGTACCCAAGTTCATCCCCTCGAGCGACAGTAGAGCCACTTTTGGCAGTAATAACTGTGCTGCCAACCATCATAGCACCAACACAGACAACCATCACACGCCCATGTGCAACAGAGTCTATTGGAACAATGATTCTGACGTTTTCTCCATATACATCAAGCCTAAAAACAAGATTAGTTTGGTGGCTGCTAGAAGTTCATGGCTTTGGTGGAAACATACGCAGATCGGATGGCCATGGGGTTGACAGTGTAGTATTCTCCCTTTATCAACCGAGGCTCACCCATAACACCATCCACAGGTATATGGAATCTATGATAATCTTGAGGTGCAAGGCGGAAAATGCCCAGACCACCGCCGTTGAACCGCTTGGCTTCGTCACCATAAGCCATCCCAAGCAACCTCTCCACGGAGAAGTCACGTCCCTTGACCCAGATCCTAGTCGCATCATCAATAGTATCAAAGACTACTGACCTGCAATCAGCAGGCGAGACTATGATTTTAGGGTTATCAGGGTAAGAAACTGGACGGGAATTGGGTTTCAGCTCTCGATAGAAAAATTCGTTAAATCTAGCGGATATTTCTGTCAATACTATATTCACCGACGAGCTGGTGAAGATGGCTTACGTTTTAAATTCATCCAAGGGTTTCAAAACCTCGTCAATGTTAAGTTGGTGGAAAGCAATGAATGGTTTGATTTCGCGAGCTGAAGCAGGGTTATCATACTTCTTGCCTTGCTTAAAGCTCAAACTTTCAAGCAATTGACGAACTAGACTTAGGATTAGTAAAAGGCAAGCTAGAGACCCATAAGATACTAGAAGTACTTACTCTTCTTCTTTTCCATACTGCTACTCTTCAAGCCCTTGTACAGAAGTCTGATACCGAGTCTCACGTAGACACTCATTCGTTCCTCGGAGATTAACCCGGTGATTCGATCCTGAATAAGGATATTCGCAGAGTTCGCTCCAAGTTTGTATCCACCATACGATACTTTGGTAATGACTTTAGAGTACCACTTCCGTTGTGCTTGGCTCGAGGTCACAAACCCTCCCATAACCAATCGATCTACTCTTCGCCAATCTTGACTAGCACATGTTGCCAAATGCGTGACAATGTCGACCTCCGAGCGCTTCTGTAATCGTGGTTGATGGCACAGTGGACATTCTTTAACAACAATAACGTGTTCTTCCTTCTCATCCTCGTCTGCTAATCCATCATTAGAAAGATTTACACCCTCTTCACCCGCAGACCCCATTCCAGGAACAGACAATGTTGGCGTTGTAAGAGTTTGGTTTAAGGAATAAGTTGATTGTGATTTTGATTGGCTTGCTGGTGTATAACTGTCGGAGTTTGTGTCGGATTTCGTCGATGCCGTATCCGTCAATTGCTCGTCTTTCGACAAGCTAGGACTACTATGATTATAGGGAGAATATCCACGGTTTGTGGACTTAGTTGTAGTGGCAAGCTGGTCCTCTAGACAAATAACCGCTTGATCCATAGTAAGCTCGTAATCCAAGCAGTTATCGAGTGGGTTACCATTTTCCTCGGCAAATCGTTCAAAGAACCCGTCAATGGTGCTAGCCTTGAGTGTGGACCCCAGGGAATCCAACATAGTCGTCAGCTCGACCCTACTGATCATCCCGCTGTCGTCTGCATCATACTGCCGAAGCATGACTCTCCAGAACTGTTGTCGGAGAGCCGGATAAGGAATGTACTTGGCCCTGATGTGCAACCCTGGGCTGTGCTTTCCTTCCCATCGTTCTTTGTTCTTCATGAGCAACGGTAGATCAAAGGCTTTCAGATTGTACTCATTGGCATCGATTTGGGGAATAGAGGGCTCCTCAGAAGTTGGGGTTGGAGGAGTTGGGGTTAATAGAGCCGGGGGAACAAGCTGGCCATCTTTTGTAGCCGGAGGCAATTCAATCGGTGGGGGTTTGGTCATTTGGTATAAAGAAGTCGAGGACCCAGCAGGTTTCGATGAAAGGTCGCGGCCTTTCTTCGCCAGGTTTGTCGCTGAGCTTGATCTAGATAACGGCAAACGGAATCTACTCTTGCTTCCGTTACTAGAGCTCGCCACAGATGCGGACATATCGTACGTCGAGAAATCAGGCATCTCATAGAGACCATTTCCACCCTTTGATTTCGGTGCAGTGGCAATAACATCCTGCACTGGAAGATCAACCTGGGCAACGAAATCGTTTCCAGAGAACTTATCCTTATCCACGACGGCGAAATTCAGCGAGTAGTTTTGCTCGTGGCGAAGAAGCTGGAAAACCATCTTCTCATCAAATTTTGGATCCAGACAATGTCGAATGACCCTTGTGCGGTATGTTTTTTTCCCCAAAGAGACGACAACAAACGGATCGCAATCAAAGCTTGTTCGAGTCACTGAGTGGAGGCTTAGCTATTATTATTCGACAATTGGGTCGGCGGGGTGCATACTGTTTTTCTCTGGGGGAAGGTCTGAGCAAGCTAGAATTTCAATGAACATAACACCAACCACATCTCCATTATTGGTGAGTTCATATGAAGTATCATTTTTCTTGCTCTTCGTGCCCTTCCCTCTGCCCTTTAGTTTTAGGCGTTTCTTCGACTTTTTCTTCTCTTCACCCTCTTGCTTCGGCAGACCAGGAGTCTCGGGCGATTCTTCACCTGACTCTTCGTCTTCATCTGATACTTCGTCGTCGGACCCCATATCCAGACCCAAACCTGCGGGGTTTTCAAGCTCCAACAATGGGGTGCCAGCAACAGATGGCGAGGCTTTGAAGACGGACAGTATTTGTTCAACTGAAGCCGGCTTACCGGACTTGTCGACCACAAGAAGATTGAGTTGGATTTCTCCAGATATTTTAGCCTTTTTCCTGGTAGAAACTAGTTCGAACCATCGGGACTATATAGCTATCAGTAACCATTGATCTCGGGCGTAATTGGCAATTACATACGCTAACTTCAGCAGTTCCGGATGAAAAGAATTCATCCAAAGAAACCTCAAACTCTCCCATATAATCCTGATAGAATCTCTCGTTAGTACATCCTTACGACCATCCATGAAATTACAGATTAGGGCATAGAAAGTCTTTTCTACTTTTCCGAATCGATCTTTATCCCAACAAATACAGTGAAGTTCATGTGCGCCAGACTTAGCCAACGGCATATCGAACGTGGTATTCCACGTAGGATCCAGGCTTTTTGGAACAGCATGCGTAACATTTCGGTAGTCGTCTAGAGTAACCACTACATACTATACACAATAACCAGTTAGCAGCCTTCCCCTAGCAGCCGTCGGAATGAAAGTGTAACGCTCATACCGGATCACTTTTACCACTTCTATCTTTCGGTGCCAAGTTCCTTCCCTGTATTTCGATACACCAGTCAGTAGCTGGGTTACGGTAATGTTTCGAGGTATTCGAGTCGCACCTGAACAACGGTCACCTTCAAAACGAGGTCCGAGACGTCAGTCATGATTTTAGGCGATGCACCGCGGCTTAGATTCGGAGTGCCTGTGAGTAAAGAAATTCCGCGGGTGGGAGAATTAATGTCAGAAAAATCTTGGGGGTAGATAGAAGCTATTTGCTACGTGGTTCTTGAACGACAGCTTTTCAGGGATGATGTAAGAACAAAAAAAAAAAAGGACTAAGTTGAGGTGCTGGGGGAAGCTGAATGACAAGCAAGCAAGAAAGCTTAGAGCATGGGTCTGAAGGTTTGATGTGATAGGCCCAAAGCTATGTGTGATTTAGGATGTGATAGTGAACGCGAGTATGTAGCTCCCTTTCGGTTTTCAACACGAAGCTGACAGATACCCAATCCGGCGCGGTTGAGAATCGAATTCAGCCAAAAGGTGATTGAATAAAATGAGGCTCTTTTAAGGGAATGTGTGTGCTACTTTGACAGGGGGCAATAATAGGATCTCGACAAGTTGCGGATGGTGGTTGTGAAGAGGAAAAAGCGGGAATCTCGAAGCAGGAATATATGATGTAACCGGGCTGAGCTGGCAAAACTCCGCTATGCCTGTATTAAATAGAACAGAATCTATGACGAGGGAAGACCTGTTCGGGTCCGGTACGGTTGTGCGCCGTTGTGCATTTGCCAGAGACTAAGGTAAGCCCGTGTATATAAAAGGCAAGTTTGGCGTAGATGTACTGTCTATCAGTTCTTCTACCTCCGAATTCTATTGCAACTTTTCGACTTTTCCCGCCGGCCGCCGATGACATCGACAAGAGACACTGTCCTAGCTCACCACCCGATCCAACCGTAGTAACCAATCTTTAGGGTTTTTTCCCAGGCACAAAACTCGACCCCCTCTGAAGCAGAGGGCTGCAAACGGAATTTCGATGCCGTGTAAAAACTCACCACTTCGGCTCCTCCCTAACCTCCCAAGACTTGGCCGGCTGAGTGGCCCCATAGATTCATCCCTCTCTCGTGGATCCCCTTGAGCAAAAAAAGCCAACTTTGTGCTGAAATTTGGGAACGGTCCGTTAGAGCTGAAGAAGCCGATATAATTTTAATTTTTTTTAATGGATCGAAATGACCAGTATTAAGATTCGTGTGGGTTTGGCGGCTGCCGGGCCAGGCCAGGTCGGTGAGCGGAACGAAACCTCAAGGAGATGCAGCTAGGCCTCCTCCGGGAATAGTCGGTGACGTCGGAGTATAATCTTGAGTATGAGAGGATAGTTGATCGAGATTAAGAATCGAGTACCTAGAAGCTCGAGGACAGAGTATTTCGTGAATGCATCGCTGCCGTAATCGCTCGTTCGCTATAAAATCACGCAAAACCGTACTTGACGCTAATACTGTTTTTAAACGTTCTGAGATACCCAAAAAAATGAAACCACTCACGTCTCCTGACTCCAGCTGGGGGTGGTTTTGTGTTCGCCTGTCAGTCGGGATAGAAGTTCTGATTCCAGTACTTTACGAACAAGGGCTGCGCAACTGGCTTTTTTTTTTTTTTTTTTTTTTTTTTTTTTTTTTTTTGCTTTCACGTTTTATTGTTCCGGTCGCCGCGTGTGCTCTGCTGTGTACACAGTTATGTGGTATTTAAATTTGGAATTCATCGATCGGACCGTAGCCTATTTTATGTTGAGGGGGCCTGCAGCGTCGTGCAGGCGCACATGCTCACCTTTTTTCCAAGTAGAACCTCCACGTAAGATTCCATTTCAGCCTCACGGATACGGTCGGAGAAAATATACCCAAACTGGTACACATTTGGCCGATAGTTTTAGGTAAATTAGGTATTCGGGGTCCCTATCCACAGCTTCCGTCGGCGAGGAAGGTTGACATTAGTATTTTGGGGTATTTGGGGTAACAAAACGCCACGGTGCTAGCTAGCTTGGGTAGGTAGGCACCAGACCTCATAGCTAACGAGATCGTATTCGGCGGGATTGATGGATCATAAGCCCCCATCCTCTTACTCGGATGGCGGCCTGTACCACAGGCTCCTGGCTAAGCTTTCCCACTATATTGGACCACTGGAAAGGTGTGCCTGATCCCTGTTCTGCATCCCACGATCCGGATGATTATCACCGTTTGCACATTTGCAACGTTCGAATTCATCCATAGCTAGGTGTCGAGTTTCCAGGGTACAGGTACGATTACGAGATAGCTTGCGTGAGAAGGGATTTCTTTTCTTTAAAAAGGGTATTTTTGTATTACACCTTCGATTCGGAGTGAGCGATATATCGACCTCCAAGTACCGAGTCGACTCTGGTCTGGAGATGTTGACTCGTGCATACATACTAAAAGCACATTACATGCCAAGTGTATTTCCCAACAACTGTTAACTTTATACCCATCGTCCCAATAGCTTTCCCTCATACCAAAAATACAAAAGCGAATGAAAAGTCCAACAAAGAAAGCTTGTAGGAGTCTAGAAAAACAGGAAGCAAGGAAAATAATCTAAAACAGTCAGTCTTAGTCTATCTCTATCTTCTTTCTATAACCACGACCTCTGAGGCCCAGCCCAGGCCTTCGTGGTCAAACTTCTAATCTTCCAGTCTAAAACCCAAACCAAAGGACGCCTGCTCTATAAAAAAATCCAATGAGGTCAAAATCCAACAATTTGGAGCCCGTAAAAGAAAACCAACGACAAAAATGAGAGAATTGAAGAAGTGAAGGCAAAAAAGCTCTACAAAAACGATGATATCGACAAAAGGGAACAGTGATGGATAAATTGATGTAGAAGGTACTCCCAAAACTTAAGAGACCAATGTTGCCTGGGGGGCATAAGTCTCAGGGAGAAAGGTATTGCCAGTAGCGGGGGTTGTCGCCTGGATGGAGCTCAAAGTCGGCACAGCCTTCTTGCTGGATGCTCGGCGCCAAAAGTTGGCTCTTGGGTTGTACTGGACTGGTTTTCCTGATCCGTGTGTGATTTCTTGGTCTTCTTGGACCAACCTCGCCAACTCAGTTTGAATTTCGGCGAAAGTATCGAAGGGGAAATAAGAAATTTTATTCTCGATGCAGTATTCCTCGAGCCTGAGGCCACGACGAGCGAATAGCACATCGGCCTCACGGGCAGCTGGGAGATCCGAAACACCGTCGCCGACGAAAACGATCAGTGGAACGGAACCGTCTTCACTCTCTGAGGAAGCGATTGCCTTGTATTCTTGAAGTGAGGCAGCCTTATCGTGACCGAGTTCGTTATCGTGACGCCAGATAGGCTTCCATTCGCTACCATCGGGAGAAATCTGTGCATCGTTGGCTACGATATCGATGTGCGCAGACTGAAAAGATCACTAAAATTAGTATACCGTCGAGCCAGAAGATTCAGCTACTAGTTGTTGATCTTATAATTACCTGTGTTTCTCCCAAAAAGACATCAAGAACCTTTCTTAAGATGGGCTTCAGACCAGCTGAGATGACGTTGAATGGAATACCATTCGAAATGCAATACTTGTGGAACTCGTCGAAATCCGGGTCAATCTCAAGCTTTTGCTTCATGATTGTGAAACCGTCTTCGAAGGGGACATTAAGACTAGCCCACATGTCTTCTGAAACAGCACGGAATGATCGAGCACCGGTCCTGATCTCTTCGTCGAGCTGTTCTCTCCGGGCCAAACCACATCCATGGTGGTCGAAGAGGACATGTCCAGTATCTTGCATGAATATAGTACCATCAAAATCTATATTAGAGTCGTTAGCAACAATCAAATAGATCCTGTATCAACGCAAGCCAATTGCCTAATATTACCAGAAAATATAATGATGTCCCGTTTGCCAGATTGTTGGACAGTGACAACCGGGATACTACTCTTGGAAGCCTTCGAGCTCTCAGAAACAGCAATGGTGGGTAGTGTAACGGAAGGCATCTTGCGGAAATGTGCTATCAAAAAGAATAAATAGACTGATGTGATGCGAATTGAGTCTGATGCAACTTTTGATCTATGAGGATCGATTCTGTAGTGAATGATAGTCCGTTGATAGTAGTTTTTTAAGAATTGAATATAACTTTGAAGGCCGAATGATGATGAAGTTAGAAAGATCGTGGGCCAGAAAGTGAGATAAGGCATCGTCTTTATAGCCCGAGTTTCTACAGAGGGGCGAAACTTAATGCCACGCCCGTATCCGCTCATTGGCGGGAAGCTGAAACCTGTTTATCGCAGATTTAAACATTCATGCCATAAACGCGGCCATGGCGAGTGAATTTTGTCTCTATGAGGCAAAAGCAAAAACTGAAAAGTTATAGGAGCGGAAAGCAAAGAAAGGGGTGGCAGAGGTGGTGGTGGTGGAAGGAAAAGCAAAGTTTAGTCGGAACTCAAGCTCAACGACGGGGTATTGCTTAATCCGATCCAACAATAGGATGTTACTTCTATGTGCATCGGTGCGTCTTTAATTGAACTAGTAGCCGATTGGGACGATATCTGAGTAGGTACTTAGTTTGTTACAGAGCCCAGCTTTCCCATACGTTCCAATTCTCACCAGTCAAGTGAATAAACTAGGCCAATGGGTAATGCAGTGAATAGCTGCTATGCAAGCACCTAGTGGACAATACTTGATACATACATACATACATACATACATACATACATACACAATAGCTACTGAACTAGCTAAAACTCAGGGGATAGGTGTCAAGTAGAAGCATTAGATGGACAGGGTCCTCACTGCAAATCAACAGCCCATCAGCTTTAGTCCTTAACAGCTACTATAGTAGGCGGGTTTGGAGAGCTCCAGTTGGGTTAGTGCCGACTCGAGTCATTTGTGGGATTATTTGTGTTGGGCCGGAGATTTGGGATGACGACTCGAAAAAGCAAATCTGGTGCGGCAGCTTCTTTCCATGTGAAACTGATGCCCTTTCGCTTCCAGTTAACATGACGCACCGCCCTGTCGACAAGTCCGGAAACTCTATCACAAATTCACATTTTTATTTTTATTTTATTTTTTTGTTTAAAAAATTTAGAACTCAAAAAAAAAATTTTGAAAAAAAATTCTTTGCATTTCTTTCTTCGGGTATAAGGGATGACGTCTAGCTGCCAGGGCGCAAGGACTGACGGTCACTAAGAGAAATCAAGCATCACCTTCGGAGAAACTCGCGATTCGATAGTTTTGAGCGAGAATGACGATAGTGATGAAGCTACTGATGATTGCGATAGATAGGATTCTGAATACAGAGCGAGAATTCACCCGCATTACCAAACACATGCATCTGGGATTCGACAGATTCAAACACCCGCAACCAGCTACAACGTGGGACAGCCGGTTAACCTTATTTGCGAGGGGCTGTGTGTTCCAATTCCATTGAATTCGAGCTTGGAATATTCAACAGTTTCGTCGGTACTCTATTTTTCTACCGATCGCCACTCGGACTTACTTCTAGTTTTCTTGGATTTGAAGCTTGGAGCTTGAAGGTAACGCCTGCGTGCATTTCCGCCGACAATCAGTGGAGCCTCGCATGTATAGCTCAAGCTATCGACCGAGATATGACGACGAATCGCTCTATTTGAAGAATTCCTTGATCAATACACCATCTGTCCATCCACCATTGGATCTTGGACACCCCTTTTATTGCGGATGCAAACTTCCATTCCAATCAATGAATCCAAAACAGCGAGATTAAATCTCAGTTTCAACATCATATCCGTGCCGCAGGGCTGCATGCCGTCTGCCGCCATACATATCTGCGGCGTGATAGTGATTGGGCTCCAACAGAACAGGTCGGATACCGGCAGATCACATACATGAATATTAGCCAAATCAACGCAGGTAGCCAGCTTGGAGCAAGCATTCCCAGACTAGCCCGCGCCAATTGCAGCGCAATGACATGATAATACCATGCAGCACGATAACCGTCTGCCACGGTTGTTTCGAAGAAATCACAGGAAACCCTTCTTGTCAGGGTCCACATACGTTCCTTAGCGCCTTGGCCGGCACCCCACGCCTCGGCTGGGGGTCGCTGATTTGGACAAGAAAGATAAGAGATCTCGGAACCAGCATGCCAGAGGATGCGCTAAGCGGATGCCTTCTACTGCACAACGACGTCATTGTACCTGTCTCCCGAGCTTGGCAACTTCCAACACCTTCTCAAACGGCCACCCTTATTAGTTTTGGCCAAAGCAAGGATGAAGTGGTATGTCTGTAACAGACATACTGATTTACAACGATTGCTTGTAACGGATCGACCGTCACCGGCTCGCGAGAGTACTTCCGTTGATGTTCAGTACATATTCTTGTACTTTGCATTGCATGCTGGCAGATGCACAATAATCCCTGTTGCTGAATGCCGTCGGACCTTTGGAGTTCGAGATTATAACTCAATTTCAACAGTACAGAACATACGAGCGAACCAACAAGATGCATTCCATGAAATGTAAAAAGAAGGACCCCTGGTACTTGGCTATTTAGGTGAGGTATATGTTTTTGATCCCCCTGCTCTTGTGTGATGTCATGGTGGATATTGCCCGTCTTTGCACGTGTGGGTGTGTGTGGGAATGCAAGACGCAGGGCTCTTTCCTCCCCAATTGCTACAACAGAATAAGCACACGAGACAAACGATTTCTTACGGGATCCGTTCTGCTACATAGTGCATACACATACGCATAGCTGACCGCCTTTGGGAATCCTATTGGATGCAAGCTAAACCAACAATCATCGCGGGATTTACCAGTTTCGAAGTTAGCGCATGTCCTTGTCACTTTTTTTTTTTTGCTTCCTGTTGGAATCGTAAAACAATAACACATACCCCTGGTCCATAACCTAGTGAATCTTTTGTGAGGCCTCTTTATTTTTATTTTATTTTTCTTTGTTTGTTTGTTGATGCAGACTTGTGCTCTTTGAAACTTGTAGACGTATGCGGAAATGAGTGTCTACGGGCAAGGCGGGTGCTTAAACACGACACGAGGGAATCCCAGGGACGCAGATATGCCCTCATCCGTCTATGCATTGCATTTAACCATCCAGTTGGAGGCGGCTACGTCCCAGCCGGGTCTAGGAGAGGTTGGTTAGAGCTGCTTAGAAGGGCTAGAGATAAAAGATGATCAAAGGGGTGTGTGTGCCACTGTAGTACTCCTACTGTGGCCGAGGAGCTCGTGCCCTGCGAGCTACGCCCCCAAACCAAGCTATGGGTGTTTGAGGCCATCTACAAGGCTGTTTTACATACCTACCAAGGAAACTTCGACGATGACAACGACGATCATCGCATTTTCTAAAAAAAAAAAAAAAATGTTTAGGCGATTGGAACCAGCGGTTGGGTATTCACGGCGCTCTGAGTGACGATGGGGAATGATTTCTTGGATAAAACTCACTCTTTTTTTTTTTTTTTTTTTTTTTTTTCATTGTTACCTATCTTTATACTGCCCTTGCAATTGTTACAATGATCGTGGCATAACTTTGAACAAGGAGAGGGATACATATCCTCTTTTCCCCCGTTCTCTTTCTAAAAGAATAAACTTCCAAGGCTAGGTACAAGATCAAAAAGAACTCGTATCGATGACACGGTGTGTAGCTCTGACAGGAAGCCAAGGACCAAGGGAATAGTGATCGACGTAAGTCCTCGGAGAAATATATCACAAAAAAAAAGACCTTCAAAAAATTCATTTGTTTGTACAAACAAATCATTCCAGGCTTTGTATCCCTAAGTGCTTTAACTTAAGCCAAGTCAGCAAAAAAAAGCCGCTGGGTACTATGTATCCTATCATAAAATGTCAAAACGTCAAAAGAAAATAATAAAAATAAAAAATAAAAAGTGTTTTGCGGTTAAAGCGGAAAGCCGGCTACGAGGAGGGAGGGGTTTTTAACTTCAGTAAAAAAAAATAAAAAAAAATAAAAAAAGGTATTCGGATATACTCGCTACAGCATGCATTCTGCCAAAAAGGAAATCGAAAGTAAAAGGACTCCAGAAGTACTTCCATGACCAAGGAAAATCGAGGAAGGATGGGGAAACACATAAAACAAAGATTTAGGTAATTACAACCAATATCTCCGTATCCCCAAAGGCAAAAAGAGGGTCCCTCAACCCCACAAAAAACGGAAGATGCATATGCACTATATAGACTAGCCAGTGAGGTCCTTATGTATAACTATCAAGCATCAACCTTCAGGTTCTCCAAGATAGCCCTCAACGCCATATTGTCTCCAAACGAATCCAACAAACCCGTCGCCTGTTCTTGTAAATCTTTCAATACCGACGCCGTATACTCAAAGGATTTGGTCTGATCCTTCATATACGCAACAGCGTAATGCTTCACCCCATCGTCTTGCGTTTGTTGCTTTAAAATATTTATCATCTGTAAGTTCTTCGGGTTGGCACGGATGGAATGGATGATTGGGAATGAAAATTTGCCTTCCGTGAGGTCCTCGGCGAAACCTTTGTTTTTGGCGTACTTTTGTTCCATCCCCGAATGAAAGTTAATTACCTGCGATCTAGAGGAGAGGGGGGGTATGGTTACATACCTGATCTGATTGTAGATTCATATAATCATCCCTGATCTGGAAGATCAAGCCCATTAGGTTGACAAGGTCGAGGTAGTCTCTGCGCAAGCTGGTTAGCCGCTTGCCTCTCGTTGAGTAACTTCATAAGGGGGGGGGGGGGTTTCACTCACACTTCACTCGCGCTCTCGGCCTGCATAAGCTTGATTGCAAGACGGAACAGCCCTCCGGTTTCTAAGAAGGTAGGCGTTCAGCTAAAGGGAACCGTGCGTCTTCTCGAAAGTTATGCCTCATATGTGAGGTAGATATCGAACGTACTGTTGCTAACCATCTCTAAATAATCATCTTCGGACGGACATGTCAAAGTATCTCTCCAGAAAAGGTCCATTCCCTGACCACGGTGGAGATTTATCAATTCCTCTAAACATGATAGTCAGTACTTTTATTTTATTTATATTTTTTTTAACAAAAAAAAGGAAAAAGGAAATAGGACACTCCAAATGGTCGTAAATCAAGGAAAGAAAAAACATACCGGTAAACACTTGAACACAAACCGGACTCTTTAATCCTGTGATATCCTGCATAGCACGAAAGTATATATAATTCGCGGAGTTTATGGTCTGCGCGACGCCGAAAAGGCTATGGGCGACGGGATACCCTCTTCGTAGAACTGAATGATCTTCTACATCATCCACACTGTTTTATAAGGGGGAAAAAAAATAACAGCAGAAGGAAAGGATTAGCCAATATTCATTACAATAATTTTTGGGCGGGGAAGCCATACAGTAAGGAAGCGTTATGAAGCATAGCAACAACATGCTTAATTATGTTAAGTGATTCCTCGGGAACTTGGAGGTAGATATTAAAGGCATCGATGAGCTTGGATCGGATATCCTTCCCTGGCAGCGAGACCAAATAGTCGTACGGGCCGCATACTGCCTAAATGCATGAACACCAACTATTAAACACTTGACCAATAACAATAGCAGGAACAAAAACCAAAGGTCAAATGTTTTTTTTTTTTTTTTTTTGTAAAAAAAAAAATATACACTCTATCGAATGTCTATAATATTATATGCATACCTGCTCTTTCGCATCAGACCACGGTCTCTTGATCACATTCAACGAGAAATCTCTCGGACCCTTTTGTTCGGAGTGTGTCATATCCGTGACGGTTGAATATCCAGTTGGACTGCCGTAGAGAAGATGCGGTGGGATGCCGTTGGATGGAGTTTTTGAGTGGCTTGTGCCATTATTCCGCACTGATTGTACAGCTGCTGATCTGTTGGTGCTGGCCAACGAGGAGTCACGCGCTTCCATCTCGCTTCGTTCGTGTTGGGTTGGGTTGGTATGAGACATGATGATATAGTTCGGGGTTTTAAATGATTGGCGGGGAAGATGCTTAAATCGAGAGGTAACCTCTCTTAATATGGCGGACTACTCCGTAGAAGGACTGATAGAAGGTTTAGTTAGGCAAATATGTTAAGTTAAGATGTAATTTTATTCGGAAGGGATGAAAGTTGTTTTGTAGAAGTTGAAGAAGTTGAAGTAGTCTGGTCGAATCGGTGGCGTCTCTGTGAATACAGATGTCACACAAGTGATACGTAACGTTTCGATCCCTCCTTTGAAACAAATAAAAAATAAAAAATTATAGATATATATTTGATAGCTGTAGTAGCTGAGGTATTGACATGATAGAAAGATTGAGATTACGAATATGACTTTATCTCTCTTTATAAGAGTTTTGAATCCTGCTGAAGACTGGTGGTGGTTTTTCGAAAACCACATGCGCAGGGGAAGGCGGTGTAGACCAACGGATGGTTCTAGACTCCGCGCAAAAAAGTCATAATGTCATCGATTTTTGGCGGTTTGAGCCGGGTGGGTCCGCGGGGTGGAAGTGTGGTTTGTGACGATAGGAAGTGAAGTTGCCGTGAATAGTATACATAAAATGAAGAGAATTCAGGTTGAAGTTGCATTCGAAGTTACTTACTTAAGGTATTTAGGTACTTGCATATGCTAGAGGTACCTCCTACTTAATATCTTGAGTTTGTATTGAACCAATTGTATTTTCGGGGTTGATAAAGGCTCCAGCTGCAATTCATGCAGGCGCCCAGATCCGTTGAATCGGGAATGCGGTGGATACCCGATTGATTGGACATGGCGACGAGACTGGAGACGAATGTTGTTGGATTCTGGGGAACAACACCAACACCAACAACAACACATACGCACGACCGTCGAAAGTAATCCATAATAATTGATATCATATCATATCATATACGATGGAAAGCAACCATGCACCGCCGTTGGAGTCAGGACCACAGACTCCAAACCCACCACAATGAACCTACCCCCCGCTTCCCCCGAAGAAGTCCTCTCTCAAGCCTTCGATCGTCTCTCTCACTCCCACTCCCCGACATCCATCCAGATCGGTCTCGATGCTATCGATGAATACCTTGCATTGGTTTGCAGCACACCCGTTCCGATCTGCAGCCCCGTCGCTGCCAAAATATCAATTGCAACAGCCTCTACTACACTCGACCTTCAAGAAAAACTCCCTTATCCGACTAGTCCCTGGATCAAGGAGTTTAGAAAATTACAAGATGGATTCCAGTACAACAGTCTGTTGCACTTCCTATTAGTTACCAGGGAGATCGCCTTTTGTGTTATCTGCGTGTGACAGATTTGGTGCAGTCAGCTGACGGCGTTTTTTTACCAGTCGCATTACGACTGGTCGGGTGTATAGACAGAATCTTGATAGAGAAGAAGAATTGTAAGCCATACCTCCTGTTGTCTACCGTATCATGCAGTGATGATTTTTGGAAGATACTGACATACCACAGCCCAACAAGATATTTTCCTGACATCGTGCCTACAATGTCTTCAAGGCACGCTGTTACTCCACCCGGAATCCCGAAACCTCTTTGCAAGGGAGAATCACATGGCGGTTGTCCTCTCCATTACATTTGTAATTCATTAGGATAGTAGTGACTAATGCAGCTACGGAAAACAGGTATTCGTTCAACTGCTCACACGACGGCAACCCCTCGATCTCCGGGTATTAACAATCGATACTCTAGTCTCTGCACTTCTTGAGTGCCCTGCGAACATGAGGGTAAATAATCTTCCCCAACCTAAGTAGTATGTGATTATGTTTGTTAATTAGTTTAAAATTCAAATACAGACTTTCGAAGCCCTCAATGGTTTGCAAACAATATCACTACTCTTCAGAAACCGACAAACGCCAGAAAAGGTTCGTTTAAGGGTCACAGAGTTTTTATACTTCTACCTTCTTCCCGAAGTCGAGGATTCGCAGGGGCACCAGCGGAACCGATATCAAATGCGGGAGAGCGGGTATTCATCCGCGCAATTTGTAGTGATCGGGAACGAAAGGGTCATGGGGCCCAAGACGAGGAGTATTGAGCAAAAGGAAGAGATGTTGGGGAAGCATTTGAAGGGGATTGAAGGGATTGTACGAGATATTCGAAGAGTAGTTTCTTAACTGTACTTCGTTGTTGTGAGTCCGATTGTGTTACGCTAAACCGTATGAAGTACAGCAATAACCCTCGCGGATGAGGGTAATTTATCGATATAAGGAAAAGAATTGGAAACATCAATTCTACTGTCTTATTTTCTATCGGCCAAACTTTATAACGTTATAGAGGATGAAAGTTGGTTTTTTTTGAAGAAGGTAATGCATTCCCGTCCCGCAGGTATCCGACGTTCGCCAAGCCGAAGCATTGGGTGACTCCTAATGACACACACTCAACTCATTCCCTTTTTTCAGTTATCGGGGACAGGTCTATACATATTGAAAAGTCTATAAAAGACCCATACTCAAAATCACGATCGAAACTAATTCGATCCGTAAACATCATCTAATCTACCCTTCCTCCCTCTCTTACATATCTACATAGTATATATATAAAAATGTCTTCATCAACAAACACCACCAATCACCACCTCCCCACATCTCAAGCCTACGATCTATGGTCGCAAGTCTACGACACTGACGGAAACGTCCTACAACAGTTAGATGACATTTACATCTCCACTACCCTTCCACGGTTGATCACGCCGGATTGTACGGTTGTAGAACTAGGTTGTGGTACCGGGAGGAATACGCTAAAACTTGTGGAATACGGAGCGGGTCGTGTACTCGCTGTTGATAATTCCAGGGGGATGTTGGAGAAACTTGTTGAGAAACTTGGGGTTCTTGGTGGGAAGGACGAGAGGGTGGAGGTTTTTGAGGTTGATTTGAATACTTTTTCTTCGACTTCTTCTACTTCGAATACTACCGCTATTTCTACTTCTACTAGCGATAGAGATGAGAGGGGGGATGGTAGTGGCGAACAAAAGTTTAAGAAAGCACTGGAAGGGAATGAAATAAACGGAGTAGTATCAACATTAGTCCTCGAACACCTCGAACTCTCTACATTCTTCTCAGCGGTATCAAAGATCCTACCCCAGACGGGATGGTTACTACTCACGAACATGCATTGGGAAATGGGTTCCATCTCATCGGCGGGGTTCCTCGATACGACCACCGGGAAGAAAGTTAAACCGGTATCGATTAATCATACCAAAGAAGAGATATTGGAGGAAGCTGGGAAATGGGGGTTTGTGGTTGAAGAAGAAGAAGAAGGAGGTGGCGGTCATGGGGGAGTGGAGGAGACGGGGATTAGGGATTTGGAACATGCGAAGGGGTTCGGGAGGAGAGCTGAGAAGTGGGTGGGGGTTTTGATGCATGTTGGGGTTGTTTTTAGACGTGTGTCCCTTGTAGGATAGATACTGCATATCTACTAGGTCGGAGGGTAGTTTATATGGATATATGTACAGATAGATATGATGAGTATAAGAAGAATAATAAGGGGGAGTTTATCAAAACCACCTCCGTCGAATCCTCTCCTCGTGCTCCACCAGATTCCCAAACCCCCTAAGCCCCTCCACAACCTCCCTCCCACTCCCTCCAATCTCCAAATTCAACAATAAATGTGTATAAGCGAAAACCTCAGCGTCAAACATTCCAGCTTCGGAAGCACCAAAAAACCATGTATCGCCCGATAATAAAATACTCAAAGCGCTAAACGCTTCTATTGCCCTTTCGTAGATATCTGTCGCTGTGGGTAAAGTAGACGTTGAAGATTTTCGAATGGCATCGATTGCTGCTTGACGCATTTGGGAGCCTAGAATTTGGGAGATCGGCCAGAGAGAGATTTGGGCGGTGTATTTTGGAATTGTGAGGGAGGAGAGGTTCTCCGGGTCGATGTAGAGGGCGTATAACTTTCAAGAAAGAATTCAACATTAGCTTCCTCTTAAAATAAAATAAAATAGAAGAATAGGAAGAGAGGGAGGGAAGGTCAAAGGTACCCAAGCATCCCTAACAGCACCCTCGACCAAACTTGAGAAAGCGCGGTAATCACCATCGTCTGTATCGACGGTATTTACGCTTCCCACGGCATGTTCTTCAATCCATTTGGCCAATTTCGGCGACGGAATAATCTGTGATGTTCTATCGGATTGAGATGATATTGTCAAAAACGGTAGAGAACCCGACGGTGAAGCGTGGTTATTCGATGGTTGTGTTTTGAACGGTATATTCCTTATTTTTAAGTATGTCTATACAACCTCCCCAATAATAATGACAACCAATCAATCTCTAGTTAGCTTTTTCTGTTTCTATTTCTATTTATTATATATTTGTCGGATAACTATATTTATCTGTATATAGATATAAAATAGAATAAAAAAAAGACACGAACAATAAATCTCCTCGCACCTGCCACTTCAAACACGTCGGGTTAAACGATGCTATCGAACTATCCGTCGAATCTGTAAAGCTATAGAGTGTATGGTTTATCGAATGCTGCCTGGTCGCTGACGGTTGGAAATCTTCCACGCACATCGGAGGAGGATCCACCGGGTGGGTGACGAGGGGGAACTGCGAGAATAAACGGCGAATGAAGGCGGGCGCTCGGAGCGCATCTTGGAGAGCTGAAGGCATGTTGGCAGTCGGCGGGTGGGTCGGTATGTGAGTGGGTGGGTAGTGGTGTGAGGGAAAGATATGTGTTGGGGGATGTTCGAAATTTCAGAGGCAGTTCAAGTTTGCGGGCGGGAATCGGGAACAACGTGGGAAAAAGTTAATCGGCGCAAGTACCCCGGATTGGATTGGATTGGATTCGGATAGCATGTAGAATGGCATAGCTTTCAGGTTTTTAAAAAGTACAGCGATTGGAAGAATAAAAGTACAAACTGAAAAAAAAGAACAAGGCGACCCTGCGACTTTGTCTTTCAAGAGGGGCACCACAGTTGATATCTATCAAAGAAGAAGCCTCTATATCAAAAAATAGAATATAAAATAAAAAAATGAGTAAATGTGGATATCTGAAAAGCGAATGACTTTAAAAAAAAAGGGAACAATAAGAAACTCCAATTTTGTGGATCGTCCGTCGTCGTCGTCGTCATCGTGTGCAATTGTAAGTATATCCCCAATGAACGCCAATGCAATGCTGGTTTATGAAGTGTGAAAGAAAAAACCTGGGGTCCAAACACCGTCGGAGAGGGTAGAAAATACAGCAAGGTTTCAAGGAACAAAAAAAAAAAGGCATGATGGAGACACAAATTCAACCAAAAGAGCTAACTGGGGAGTGACACTTTAATCGGGAGGGAAACGAGTGCATGCATGCAATGTTGTGTGCATCATCGGGTGCTTCAGATGAGCTCATGTGGGTGGTGTGACCTTCACCAAAAAAAAAAACATTGTGATATCTCTTTTCTTCGCATTTTCGGCGTCCATCCGAGTTCGATAGCATTGATAGAGTAGTAGTAGTTCCTACGAGGACTTGGTTGATTTTTTATATATTTTTATTTTTATTTTTAAAAGGAAAAGGGGGGCGGGCGGGAAGAGGTTACGAAGACTTTGGGTCCTCTTCGGCGGCAGCCTTCTCGGCAGCGGCAGCTAGCTTTTCGAGATGATGCTGCTGGAGTTGAAGTGCAGGAGATAAAAGAGAAGCACTGATGTAACCGGCCGGATTGTCTTCGAGAGTAAGAGGAGTAACGGGGCCGGGAGAGCCAAGAGGAATAAGTCTGGGAGAGATGGGACCCGAGACGGAAGAAGTGGCTCTGGTGGATTGGAAGATGAGGTCGCGCTGTTGCATTTGGAAGGCGAGTTGTTGTTGGGCGAGATGGGCGTGGTATGTTCTGGCGGATGGGCCGGGAGTACGGACAGAAGAAGTCATGGACATAGAGGGAGCTTGAGATTGGGATTGAGCTTGAGATTGAGATTGAGATTGAGGATGAGGATGAGGATGAGGATGAGATGATTGAGATAGAGGAGAAGGAACAGCACCGAAGAAAGAAGGAGAACGAGGAGTCCTGGGAGGGATGTTAAGGGGAGGAGAAGGAGTTGAAGCAGAAGGAGAAGGAGTTGAAGCTTGCTGGTGGTGGTGGTGGTGGTGGTGGTGTTGTGAGAGTTGTTGTTGTTGTAATAATGGAGAGCTTGGACGGGATGAAGCTGCTGAGGATATCGATTGGGATAAATAAGCAGGGAAATAGCTTTTATTTGCAGTGGAGGCTGGGAAGATCTGAGAGGGCGAGTAATAAGGAGAGGATACTCTCTGGTGGACAGAAGAAGCAGCGGGAATCGAGACGGGCTGGGTCAGAGGAATAATAACATCTTCTGTGCCTGTGCCTGTGCTGCTGCTATCGTGAGGACCCGCGTGACCAGAAGTCGGATTCAATTGTTGCAAAGGTGAGCAGCTGGTGGTGGAGGTGGACACAGGCCGAGAAAGCGGCATTGGAGGAGGCGGCGGCAGGTGAATGAACCCCGGCGCCCGCTTCCGTTGAGCCAGACGGCGAGACATCATGATTTCTTTATCTACCTTTCCATGCTATAGTTTATATGAGTATGAGGGAGGAAAGATGATGATGATGATGAGGGGAATCTTCTTTTATTTATTTTATTTTATTTTATTTTTATTTTCATTATTTTATCTTATTCTGTCTGTCTGTGCCTTCGAACTGGCCTGGTCTGACCTGACCTGACCTGACCTGACCTGAACTGAACCGACCAAGGAATCAGATTAAAACAAAGAGCCAGAAAACAGAAAAAAGAAAATAAAAAAGAACCTCAAACCGGCTTCAATCCGGTTGGCGGTTGGCGGTTGGTACAAGAAAAAGAAGTCTAAGAAAAAAGGGCCTGGCTGACATCATCAGTCTCAACCGCTCCACTTCGGCTGAAACACCACAAAGCGGTTAGCGTCCTGTCAGTCGCTTGCATATTGGCACATGTCTGCACCGACAACCGATGTACTTCGACACATTTTGCATATCCAGATCCAAATACCATTCTAAGTACTACTTATATAATCAGTATTCGATAGCTCCAAAAAAGAATATTCTAGACCTCCCTCATTCCCGGGACCGTTGAACTTCCTATCTCCGTATATAAACTATCGTGAGTCAGTATCGACATATAAATAAATGACCTCCCTCCGATGCTCTCCAAGACTCTTCCGTTCCCTCCAAAATAACCGACGGACCCTTGCATCATCATCTCTTCTTCCTCTTCCTCATCCTCATCCTCATCGCATAAATATAAATATAAATCTGTACCAAAGGTGCCTTTCTACTACACCGCAACAACCACCATACAAAATGTCCTCCGCCACAAATCTCGATTTTTACTCCTACAAACCCCTCGATAAAAAGGGCGAGGAATATGATTTATCCCAATTGCAAGGGAAGGTCGTTCTTATCGTCAACGTCGCTTCCGTATGTTTCTCCCCTCCCGTCACCGCCATAATATATATAAACACGTATATTGATCTAATGAACCTAGAAATGCGGTTTCACCCCTCAATACGAAGGTCTCGAAAAACTCTACGCAAAATACCAAGATCGCGGTTTGGTCGTCCTCGGCTTTCCCTGCAATCAATTCGGCAGTCAAGCTCCCGGCACTAGCGAAGAACAAGTTTCCTTCTGCACTTTGACTTATGGTGTGAAATTCCCCGTATTGGGAAAGATTGAGGTCAATGGGGATAAAGCTCATCCTTTATACGAGTATGTTTCATACTACAATCCCGATTTGGTGGGATTTTACAGGGTACTGATTGTTCTGTGTGATATGATATAGATGGCTTAAGAAGGAGAAACCGGGTTTGTTGGGTATGAAGCGCATGTAAGTTCTTCTTTTTCATTCACTGCCCTCCCTATCACAAAACATACCGAGTCTGATCGATATTTTTTTTTGGAAATAGTAAATGGAACTTTGAGAAATTCCTTATTTCCCGCGACGGGAAAGTCGTCGATAGATGGGCTTCCACCACTACCCCGGCCTCTCTGACTTCCAGGATCGAAGAAGAACTTAACAAACCATCATCATCCTCGTCCGAAACACCAGCAGGTCCTTCCAATACAGCGTAATTCTTCTCTCTCTTTCTCTTACTCTCTCACATGTATTTTTAAAAACCCCCATTCGACTAATTTATATTCTTCTTCGAATCAGTGCGCCTCGTCTGTGAGGGATGGATGGATGGATCCTATTGTTCATAGCATAAAACAATATAATGACGATGACCAAAAAAAAAAAAAGAAATCATGCCATGCTCCGTACTCCACGGTATATAAAATTTAAGAAAAAATGCCTAGGTATAATATCATCAAAAAAAAAGATATATATGCCATTGAGAAAATATCATGTCATCCCGATTTGTCGCGATATCTTCTTCACCAATGCTCGCTTCATAAACTGCTCTCGGGCCAGAGCTCGTGTGTGCTAATATGTTTTGGTCAACTAGATTTCTTTATATGAACTTGGTTTTTTTTGTTAATAGATATCATACCTTTAGAAAAACGTCCAATGTGATCCGCTCCTTATCCAGTGCCTTCCCTAATACGTATATCGTATCCTCGATCGCCATATCGTCCGTCACCAATTCGTACAGCCTGCTACTATTTAGTACCTCCACTCAAGCTAATTATACTTAAGGGAGAGGGAAAAAAAACGTACTGATTATGCACCACCGTCGGCGCAACAACCACGGCATCAATATTCGGTGCCTCCCTATCCCTCACATCCCTTATCAACTCATCCGCCATTCCAATCCTTTCATTCAATATCCTCTGATCCTTCTCACACACATCATTGATCCTAATCAACTCTATCCTCTCCCTCTCCATATACGCCTCCGTCTTCGCCATCGCCTCAGCCTGCGATACCGTCTGTTCCAACGATGCCATTGTTTTCGCAGAAGCCGCGTCCGCCTTTTGTTGTAGTATCTTTGCGATTTCGTTTATCAATCGGTCTTTCTCTGGGTTTGGGGGTAAAGGCGGTGGGACCGCGAGTTTGGATGTTGCTGGGGTGGGGAGCAGGCTGCTGGCGTTGTCGTCGTCGGCGTCTAGGATGTTGAAGGGTTTACGTTGGGATTGGGATCTCTGGGGGAGTTTTGTTGCTGTGGGGTTTAGATTCGATGGACCGGCTGATGATAGCTGTTGGGGTGGATAGCCGTGGATGGATATCGGACGCTGTTGCGGTTGGTTAACAGAAGGGAACCTGTTGAGAGGTTCGTATTGTCCTGATAGTCTATGAACCTGTGAGGGAGGGGGTGGTGGTGGCTGTTGTTGGGGATGCCAGCCATGTTGTGGGTGGACGGGGAGAGGGGGTGGCGGGGTGATATGGTGCTGTTGTTGGTGGTAGGGGCTGTGGGGTGGTGGTGGAGGAGATCTTGGACCCGGCGACCCGACTGTTGAGTTTCTTATAGGTGAGGGCAGAGGTGGAACTGGTGGTGGTTGCGGTGGGGTCTGTTGGTATGCCGGGCTGGGGATTGGGTAGGCCGGTCTCGGTTCCTCACGAGGGAGTTTCTGGGGCAATGCGGGCCGTTCTGGTGGGCCTTGGTTGTGGTTATTGATATTGTTTTGTGGTGGTGGGTGTAAGGGGGGAGATGCGACGGGCTGAGGGGTGGATTGGTTTTGCGGGGTGAATAGGTGGGGGGTGGTGGTGTATGAGTACGCCGCTGGAGACTGGTGTCGAGGTTCTGCTTTCGGAGGTGGGGGTGGGGGTGGGGTAGCTTGGTCTGCAGGTTGTTGCTGCGGGACAGGGTTGGAACGGGCCCTCTGAGATTCTATTTCTTGGGGTAGAGGGGGACGGGGTGGTGGGGTAGCTATGGACTGTATTGGTTGATTTTGTGGCGGTGGTGGCGGCTGGGCGACGGGCTGCTTGGAGTAGAGGGGGGGTTCCTTGCCAAAGACGTCCTTGAGCTGGCCGCAGAGGTCGATAAGCGTCGATTTCTATTGTGTTTGTATGACATTCATTGTTAGGGACCTGATCCTCCCTTCCCATATAAGTAAAGGTAGAAGTAGAAGGAAATAAGTACATCGGGGTTCTGGGACCAATATGCCAGATAAGGGTGATAGCAGCGACCGTTGGTGTCAACGTGGTTGGTAGGTCGAATGCCCATGTTCTTGCCGGGGACGACCATGACGGTGGGCGGGGTGTTAGGATACTGATGGGGCACCCAGATGTTAAGGGGGATGTTGTAGGTGGCGCCGCGAAAGGCAACGGGGAGGGTGCCTTGGATGCATAGCAGCAGGTCGGACCGTCCGTCGTCGTATGCTTTATAACACCCATCCATTCGTTAGCAACGTAGGTATACACTCATACAAGAGATTCTAGTGAGAGGGGAGAGGGGAGTACTTGCTGTAGACGTCGGTTTTGGGGGAGAGGCCGCGGTAGTGGTGGAGGAGGGTCGCGGTGTCTGTATACGTCCTGTTCGCCGAGTGGTATTTCTATTCTATCTGTGAGTATTTTATCTATTCGATGGGAACAAGATAAGATACTGACCGGAGCGAGGACGGTGGAGAGCCAGCGGAGTAGCTCCGGCGCCAGTTCGGCCATTATTTACTGTATTGTAATGTATTGTATTGTGTGATGGAATTGGAGGGAGAGGGAAACGAAGCTGTCGCGAATATTACACAATACGAACAAGCAAGCTCGATTCGCCTCGCAAGCCAGCCAGCCAGCAAGCAAGCAAGAGTCCGTCTGTCTCTCCGATTGCAAGGTATAGCTTAGTACCTACACAGTAGCTTAGCTACACCAGCCTTTTATAATCTCACTAAAGTAACTAATCTACATCACCACAAATATTAAAGTAAAAAATAAAATAAAATTCAAGCATCAAATATCATCATCACGTGGATCACATGGAAACAAAATAAACGGAAATAAAGAGTATGTCCATGTAATATGGCAAACCGAACTTGGGGCTGTGCCGGTCGTCATTGATGATGTTTGCGCGGTATAAGCCCCGCCACTGCTAAGTTTCCCAACAGCCTCAAACCGCACCGCACCGCACTGCACTGCACCGGAATATCAAATAACCAGATAAACCGAAGAGATATATATTTAAGACCCTCGTGTCCATCTGTTTGCTCATTCCACGTATCCTGTAACTCGTTTTTAGAATAGATAATTGATTCTATTGCCCGATATCGCCCTCATATCCCCCCCTCCCCCCCTCCTGGCCCCACCTCGTTAACGAGCGTTTCAACCACCACCTCTCCCGCGTGCCAGGCCACGATATTTACAGACCTTAAAGTACCTACTTTTAGAACAATACTCGAGGATTATACCTTGCACGGTTGGCCCTGAACTAACAGCGACCTCGAGACCTTATACACTTTATTCTCGGATCTGATTCCGAGCGAGCTTTTACATAAAAGTTGGAGGTCGGCCTGTTATTTAAGTTGCGTCATCACACATAAACTCCGGCCCTCTGTTTCTCTTTCCCTTTTCCCTCCCTCCTTCTCGTTAACTCTCTTCGTCTCCAACTTCCCTCCACTCCCTCTCTCCATTCGGCCTAACCTTCAACCCCGCAACCTCTCCCTCAAACTTCTTTTCCCTTTTCTGCATTTGCAGTTCACCTTAGAAATCATCATATAAAACTGAAAATACTAAACCTATGAGTTGGAAAGGTTTCTCAAAGAGCGTCTCGCGGGTAGGTATTTATCTGTCTCTTTCTTTCCGATGCAAGGGTAGCTGTGAGAGATCTGACCTGCTGACCGACTACCTCAAACAGGCGCCGCAAACATTCAAAGCCAAGTTCAACATTGTACGACCCCTTCGAAGGAACTTCTTTACCCTCTGCAACCTCCCGTTAACTCAATTCACCGCATATCTAGGGCGAAAATACAAAGGATCCTGTATACATCGATGCCGAACGACGATTCCAGGAGCTTGAAACAGTACGTTCCCGGCATCATCCGGCATCATCATCACCACCTCTAAAGTCCCGTTATTCACAAAATCTTTTTTTAAAAACAAAATAGGAAACGAAGAAGCTTCACGATGAGTCCAAAAAGTATGAACTGTCCTGTCCTTCAAACTGCGGCATTTCCCGTCTGATAAACTAACCATTATTGATCTAATTTAGGTATTTCGATGCGATCAACTGTAAACAGCCCCCCCCTCCCTCCCTCACCCCCCTTGTATAAACACCGGATCCGTAATACTCACCCGTCCACCCTCTAGCCATGTTGAGCCACCAGATCGAATTCAGCAAATCGATACAGGAGATCTACAAACCCATATCCGGTCGTATGTCCGACCCCGATAGCGTTATAGCTGAAGGAAATCCGGAAGGTATCCGAGCATGCGAGGAATACGAAGCAATCGTTCGGGATCTACAAGATACCTTGTCACCCGAACTCGAAATGATCGAAACAAGGATTATCAAACCTGCCGACGAACTATTAGAAATCGTCAAGATCATACGAAAATCCCTTACCAAACGTCAGCACAAACAATTGGATTTCGACAGGCACAGAACCGCGCTTAAGAAGCTGCAGGATAAGAAGGAGAAGACGCTTAAGGATGAGAAGGCTTTATATAAGGTGGAAGGCGAGTTAGAACAGGCCACCCAGGAGTTTAACTACTTCAATGAGCTGCTGAAGGACGAGCTACCCAAGCTCTTCAGACTCGAAAGGGAATTCATTCGGCCGTTATTCCAGTCATTCTACTACATGCAGCTGAATGTGTTCTATACACTGCATGAGAAGATGCAAGCGATTAATATAGGATATTTTGACCTTACGCTGGACGTCGAGGAAGCCTTTAACAAGAAACGAGGAGATATCCAAGAACAAGCCGAAGCGCTGACAATCGTCCATTTCCGAACCAGCGGAAACAGGGCTTCAAACCTTAACTCTCGACATAGCAAGTACGGGAAGAAAGCGGAGGAAGCCAAAAAATACGGAAAACCCGCGGCGGAAAGTGGGTCAGGAGAGGCCCCACCGCCTGCCTACACCGCCACCACAAATACGGGCGAAACAAGCCTGGGGATGTCGGCTATCGCAAAGGCGAAAGCGAAGCCTCCACCGCCAAAACCAAAGCCGAAGGCTTTCGCTGTCGCGACACCGCAGGCTGAAACGGTGACGGCTCTTTATGATTATGAAGCCCAGGCTGAGGGCGATCTTAGCTTTAGCGCTGGTGATGTTGTTGAAATCATACAACGGACAGGAAATGATAATGAATGGTGGACAGGTAAACTGCGAGGCAAGACCGGCCAGTTCCCTGGTAAGTAGCTTTCCCCCTTCAGTCAAACCGGTAGAAATGATCAGAAACTAACATCCTTACAGGCAATTACGTCAAAGTTAATTAGTTATGCAATTGGGCGCTGGTTCATGATTCCCCCAACTTGTGATTCCCATTAGCAGATTCTGAATTGATTTCTTTCTGTCCCAATACAAGGAGTTCGTTGGTTGCAAAAAGGTGTCTTTCCGCTGGTCTCATACCTACATCTCTCGTTTTTTTTACCCACCCTTTTCTTTCAAATAATGTACATTCTTTGTGAACGGGTAATTTTCGATTGGGTTCTAGAGTTAATTAGCAATTCGCGACCGACGAAGAGCCCTTATATTATTAGTGGTTTTTATATAGCAATGAAATGAAGTAGTAGACACACAATGCGCATGCATGTTGGTCGGAGGGAGATGCTGCCCGGCCCCGCCTTATGTCATGCCGCTAAGCCCGAGTGGCGGTCGGAGATTAAAGATTCCCTGCAATATAACACAAACCTGCATTACTAAATTCAAGATTCCCACATTTCACCTATTAAAGCTCCCCCGTACTGCATCCATCGCCTTCTCATCCAACAGGAACCGAATACTGAGAAACCCCACCACATTACAACTAGACGTGTAAATTTTACACGTTTCAAAGAGACACTAGAGATGATGGCCTCGATGCCATCTCGATCGGCGAAACGGCTGTCGACGCTCCTTGGTACGCGAACAGTCTCGGCCAGCAACATTCAAGCTTGCCCGCAGATATGTAGACGGCAGTATTCTTTAAACTCGACAGCAACCAGGCCGGTTCTGGGAGGATATCGAGCTTTAAACATTAAAGAGTCGAGAAGATGCTATGTTAAAGAATCGAAGCCGGCGGGAGCCGTTGAAGCAACTGTTAAGGTCGGAGTGGAAGACATACAGGCGTCGATAGGGAAGCGGCCGGTTGATTTGGCGATTGATCCGGCGGCAATGTTGAGTCCTCAAGCTGGTGGGTTTTTTTAGTCTTTTGAATTTTCTCTACTCGGGGGTTTTCTATATGAAATACTGATGATAGTGGGTTTATGCGGATGTAGGGATTTTGAAACAAGCTACAATAATGGACCAAGGTTCTCGTCCCATATATCTGGACATGCAAGCCACCACGCCCACCGATCCCCGAGTCCTCGATGCTATGCTCCCATATATGACCGGTCAATACGGAAATCCGCATTCCAGAACCCACGCCTACGGTTGGGAAACCGACAAGGCCGTTGAAGAAGCCCGCGGACACATCGCCAGTCTCATTGGCGCCGACCCCAAGGAAATTATCTTCACTTCCGGTGCTACAGAGTCGAACAATATGTCTATCAAGGGAGTTCCGAGATTTTATAAGGGAAAAAAGAAGCATATCATTACGACACAGACTGAACATAAATGCGTCCTTGATTCCTGTCGACATTTGCAAGATGAAGGGTTTGAAATTACATACCTCCCCGTCCAGAGTAATGGTCTCATCGACCTTTCACAATTAGAGGCGGCTATTCGACTTGATACCGCGATAGTCTCTGTGATGACGGTAAACAATGAGATCGGGGTGATCCAACCGGTTGAAGAGATCGGACAGCTTTGTCGGTCGAAGAAAGTCTTCTTCCATACCGATGCGGCGCAGGCAGTGGGGAAGATTGAAGTTGATGTTAATAAGTGGAATGTGGATTTGATGAGTATTTCGGGACATAAGATTTATGGACCAAAGGGGATAGGAGCTTGTTATGTTAGGAGGAAGCCGAGAGTTAGAATTGAGCCGTTGATTACTGGTGGTGGACAGGAGAGAGGGTTGAGGAGTGGAACTTTGGCAGCGCCGTTGGTTATTGGGCTTGGAGAGGCTTGCAGGATCGCGAAGGAAGAGTTGAAGGTACTGCTCCCTTTTCTTTTGAATTATTTTGAGGTTATATTTTTTCGAGTGGGAGTTGGATAAGATCATGATGAAGACGCGACCATATTTCAAAAAAAAGTTTCAAATTGAAATGAGCTTTTCTCAATGGAGTGCGCTTGACCACGTATCTCCGAGAGAAGCTATGAGCATATCGCAGGGGTACTGACGATCTTTATGATTTTCTTGCAAAACCTATTTCTTTACCATTTGAAGGAATGAGGGGAAGCTAACCTAGTATACTACTAGTATGACCACGACCATGTCAGCCGACTGGCAAAGAAGCTTAAAGATGGCCTTTTGAGCATGGAGCATACTCAGCTCAATGGAGATCCAGACAGACACTACCCCGGCTGTGTGAACGTTTCGTTCGCATACGTTGAGGGAGAGTCGCTGCTCATGGCTTTGAAAGATATTGCGCTGAGCTCTGGGTCGGCGTGTACGTCTGCTAGTTTGGAGCCTAGCTATGTGTTACGAGCTTTGGGGAATAGTGATGGTAAGTTCTTTCTTTCTTTATTTCCTCTTTATTTTTTTATAAAAACCATGAGAACTTGCGCTAATAAGTGTGATGATGGACAGATTCCGCGCACTCAAGTATTAGGTTTGGAATTGGAAGGTTTACGACTGAGAAGGAGATTGATTATGTGCTCAAGGCGGTGAAGGACCGAGTTGGATTTTTGAGGGAGCTTAGTCCTTTGTGGGAGTTGGTGCAGGAAGGTGTGGATTTGAATACTATTGAGTGGACACAGCATTAAGCATGCATGATAGCTAGCTAGGTACCTGAGTACTTGCTATCAGTCGTGGTTTTACTTCGACCTCTTCTACTACTTCTATTCGGTTGTATAAATTGACAATGAAATGTGTGGTATCCTCAGGTATGGGGGGACTTTGATTAAATCGTTTGTTCCTTCTAGTATACTTCTCGTTTGGCGTTTTTTTCTTGTTTTCCTTTGAGGTTGGGGATTGATACGTTTTTCTTTTGAGAATGTGAGATGCATATGCTTTTTGAGTTTTATACGGTTAAGATAAAAGATTGAACGAAAAGAAAATGCTACAGCTTCATAAGATTTGACGCTCCTGCTCCTCAAAAAAGTAAATAGCTTAGAGTATATATACTACTTATATAAATACTTTGTTTTGTTTTTTTTATTTCACCCGCCCGATCCCGCACCGGATACACCAGCTTTTTTGCAAAAAAGAAACCCCGTGGTAGTAAGTAAGTAAATATAATGTACAGAGTGGCGTGATAGTCGTTGCTTTTAAAAAGTAAATAGTAATAATAGAGGGAAAAGGGGCGGAAAGAGGGGGAGTGGAAAGTCGGGATTGTGGAGGATAAGAAATGGAATGGTATATATAATTTTTTTCTTCTTCTTCTTTTATCTACCGGCTCCACCTAATGAGCCACCGCTTTGCATCATTGCGGCACTATAAATCCCCCCATTACTGTTAGTATCTTATTCCAATGAAGTAGGAGGAGGAGGAGGAGGAGGTTGGAGAGGGGGGGTATTGGAACGTACTTCTGCTCAGCGAATCTCTGGCCCATCCTCTCGCTACCCTTCAACCACTTCTCGACACATTTTGAAATACAACCTTCTTCTTTGTTGTTCATTGTTTTCGAGGTGAAGTCTGTGACGCAGTCATCGAAGCAGCGTTGGACGAGGTTTGAGTACATTGTCATGAATTCACGCATTTGTCGACGTTCGACGACGGCTTGGAATTCGCGTTGTTCTGCTGCTGTTAGGCTGTTTTTTTTAATAAGAAGTTAGCAAGCAAGTAAGTAAGTGGGAATTTGGAGGGGGATGAAGAGGGCTTACCCGTCCATTTTTGCTGTGTCTGGTGATTGAGGGTGGAGATGGAGATGGAGATGGTGATGGTGATGGTGATTGTGGGATATATGTGGATACGGGCTGGTTGGTTGGGTTTTTTGGTGTCGCTGGATCGAATCAAAAATGGGTAGAAAAGTTTGGGGTTATCGATAACAATGGGCAACGCAGTTAGCACCGAGTAGCTTAGTTAGCTTGATAATACATTCGGTCCAGGCCGAGTTTGATCAAAAAATTATATATTAAGAATGATACAACATTTTTTTTCTTTCTACAAATAGGAAAGTCTACGGGTTTCTTCTTTCTTTTTTTTTTTTTCTTCTTTTCTTTTCTTCTATTTTCTTCTATTTTCTTTTATTTTGTTTTTCTTTTTTCAAGGGAGAATAATACAGCGGCAATGTCAACGTTGGAACCGGACGGCTACGACAAGGACGACGACGCAATTATGTCATCGGACCTTGCAGAGGAGAAGGGTAAAAAGCGAGGGGACTTGGTACTCCGCCGCCCTTTTTCTTCTTTTTTTTTTTTTTCCAGTGGCGTTGAGGCACTCTGGTTTTTTTCAAACTTGATTTCAGGCGCGCCGTGCGTTTAAACTGGCAAACGAAAGTAAAAAGTGACAAGTGACAGATAGTAGAAAAAAAAAATAGTTTGTCTGGGTCCGTGATGAAACGGGCACGGGACCTTGGGGAGCAGCAAGCCTCAGGTTGCGCGGTGTCGTGATACTTGTCTATACTTTCTTTACTGACTTAGACACCTTTGCTTTTTTGTTCACAAGACTTAGACTATTTACATATGTAAGTATGTTCTTGATGTATGTTTTTGATGTATGAAAGTATGATATGGGACGGATTCGTTCCCTGGTTTTGTCTTGTTGGTTGTTTTCTGTTCTGTTCTGTTCTGTTCTTGGTGTACATGTATCCAAGAATAGATTCCACTCTGTGTGTCCCTCGCTGCCTCGTGCAGAATGTGAAGATATGTATGATGCTTTATATTTATATTTATAATTATATCCTTACCCTTAAGATCTTATATAAGAAAGTATCTTGCGGGGTTGGTGCACTTGGCAGTCGGTATAAGATTTTGGGGTATAAATGATAGATGAGAAGTATCCATGGTTAGAAGTGCGGTACTAGTACTTTAGGTAAGTACCGTCCGTATGCATCCCCAGATTTTTGATTTCGATTTTGATTTTGATTTTGATTTCGGGGACCCTCTTTTTTTTATTTTTTTTATTTTTTTATTTTTTTTAACCATCCGTTGATTAGTCTATACTTCCATCCCATCTTTTGTTGTTCTCATCCTCATCCTCATCTTCATCTTCATCTTCATCTTCATCTCTTCCATCTTCATATTCCTCATCATCAGAATTCCATAGAATCAGAGTCGACTCAGAGACTCGACCGGTCCTCTGTTGGCGTAGCACCTAACAACAACAACCACAACAACGCATAAACACACACACACACACACACACATACACACGCTGCTGCCCACTCCACTCCGCTCCACCTCTCCGCCTCTCTCCACACATCACCACTTTCTTCCTCTTCTCTCCATCGCGCAACCAAGCCACCACCCACCATCCACCACCGCTACCTCCACAACCGTATGCTCACCCCTCATCCCCATAACCCCCCCCTCATACCCCCCTCCTTTTCGATATCCTCTTCTGATCTGACTTCCCTTGTTCCCTTTTCTCTCTCCTCCTCTTCCTTCTCCTCTTCCTTCTCCTCTCCGTTCTCATCCTCATCCTCATCTCCATCCTCATCCTTATCCTTGTCTTCCCACCTATTACCCGTTTCTGTTGTTTTCCCCTGTCCTTAGCTGCCAGTAATTTACCTTACCTTACTTTGACTTTTACCTGGAGCTGACATGTCAACAAAGACCATAAGCCCCACCATCAGCATCCCCGTTCCTGGGCATCAGGCACCGTACACATAACCACCAAGCGCTTATCCCTCCAGTCGCACTACTTAACAATCATCACCGTCCTCTTCCTCCTCCTCCTCCTCTTCACCATCATCAGAACCATCATCCTCTTTCCCTCACCACTGTTCGTCATCACTCACCGTCCGACATCTTTTTTCTCCGCTAGCTAGGATCAGAACCATCATTTCTAGTTCAAGAATAAAAAAACCGACCCAGGAGCAAGAGAGATAGAGAGAGCAACAAGATATTTCCTTTTCCTTTTTTATTCTTTCTTTTTTTTGTTTTTTTCGGTAAAAGAAAGAAAGAAAATCGAATAAGAAAAGGAAACTATCTCTCGTAACTCTTCTTTATTTTTTGTGTCGGAGAGTGTGCGCTGCGCTCTCTAACGATACTATGGCCTCGGGGGCAGGCGGTCACCCGTTCGCGAGTCCGGCATCACCGCCGACGAAGGCGTCTTTGACGTCGTGGTGGGATAAGTTCAAGAAGGGCAACCCCAAGAAAGAGGAACCAAAGGAAGAAGGTATTTAGTCCCCTCAATTCCCTCAATCCTTTTCGTTCGTGTTTTTCTTCTTCCCTTTCGTTTCTATTTCTGTTTCGTTTTTTTTCCGCATAAGTGTTTGAGGAGGTATTTCGAGTCGCGCGGCTCTTTCTTGTTTATTTTTGGATTCAGAGCTTCCCTAGAGTTAGCTACAATTGCTTGCCTGTCAGTAAATTTAATTTTTTTCAAAGAGCTAATCCCTGTTAACGATGGTCTAGCCCCCCCGGGAATCTTCGGCGTACCTCTTCAAGAAAGCATTAAGTATGCCAAGGTCGCGATCAGTATGAACGACCAGAATGGGAATTCGTTCATCTATGGTTACATCCCAATTGTCATCGCTAAATGTGGCGTCTTTCTGAAGGATAAAGGTAAACCCCTCCCCCCAAAAAAATAACGTGCAGCTGAAGGAGCGGGAGTGAAGGACCGAGGTTAAGGAGTGAGGATAGGGAGTGAGAAAGAAAGAAAAGGAAGAAGCTTGGTTGAGATTCTTCCGAGGAATGGAATTCAACAGCTAACATATGCATGGGAAATTCTTAGCAACCGACGTGGAAGGTATATTCCGTCTCAGTGGCTCGGCCAAAAGAATAAAGGATCTTCAGGTCGTTTTCAATTCTCCCGACAAATACGGGAAGGGCCTGGATTGGGCTGGTTACACAGTCCACGATGCCGCGAATATCTTAAGGCGATATCTCAACCAGCTTCCGGAGCCGATAATTCCACTTGATTATTACGATAAATTCAGACAACCTCTATCTGTTGGCGGGACAATAGACGATGCCGAAGCGATCAAGACATATCAACGCCTTATCAGTGAACTCCCACCTCTAAACCGACAGTTGCTTCTCTACATCCTGGATTTGCTCGCAGTATTCTCGTCCAAAGCAGAAGTAAATCTTATGCCGGCAGCAAATCTGGCAGCAATCTTTCAGCCTGGGATAATATCCCACCCTGACCACGAGATGTCACCCGCGGACTACAGATTATCGCAGGACGTATTGATATTCCTTATCCTAAACCAGGATAATTTCTTGCTGGGAATGAGGGGCTCGGATGATAATGATGACAATCATCACGAGGACAAGGTACCATCGGAAGGTTACCAACCATCATCAGAGTCACCGCGCAATCAGTCTAAAAATGGACTTGACAGACACCCGTCGAATGCTAGCGCAGGGGCTGAGTCCGTAAAAAAGTTTGGGATTCAACGACACAATTCGACAAGTTCCAGAAAATCTGTGTCAAGTCCTATCGTCGGCCCCATCGGCCTCAGCCGAAGCAATACGGTTCCGTCCAAGAACCGTTCCCCTTCCGTAACCACACCTACATTTCCACCCAGGACACCACAGTCCCCTCGCATGCCCGTTTCTCCCCGATTTCCACAGAAAGGACAGATGACCGAAGGAATCAGCCCGGAGCAAGAAGTTCCAGATAACGTCCCGGAGAAGACCACTGCGACGCTGATACTACCGACGGGGATTGTGGCCGAACAAACATTAGAGAAATTGGATGCCCCGAGACAATCGAGCAGTCATGGTGAGAAGACGACCTCTGAATTCTCGGAAATGGTTTCGCCGGTTGAACCACCTACCAACAATGACACGCAATCTCATCCTCCTCATGCACAGGGAGCCACTGAACAACCCAATGCAACTAATCCTCTGCGAACACCTACGAAAGAAAAAGGATTTTCATCTTACTTTGCGCGATCCCCTGGCAGTGAAACTGAGAGGAAGACCTCTAACAAACTTAGGAAGAAGAGGATCCCTGGAAGTCAAAACCCGTCAGCAGAATCGTCTACAGCATCGTTGAATGGGACAACATCACATCCTCCTGTTGCAATTGCTCAGCAAATCCCACCAGCCTCTAATCCCACTTCTCAACAACCCCCCTTGTTACCGATCTCTGCTTCACCGCCCAATGATCTCCCAGCACTAGATACTAGGACCCCTTCTTTCCAAGCCAACATCCAAGCATCGACACCGACTGATGCAAAACAACTAGAACCCCCAGCTCCTGGGGTTCCTCACGGCAAGGGCGTTCCATCAGCCTCGACATCATCTTTAGTTCAGCAAGTTTCGCAAACTCCGTCGCAAGCGTCGTCTCTTTCCTCGCAATCCTCTCAACCCGACAACGAAAAACTCGGTGAAAAACCAAAACAAAAGTCCATCTGGCGAAAGTCTGCTCAGAAGTTGAACCTTGGATCAGCTCAAGCCACTGCCCAAGCTACAGCCGACAAACTTTCGGGCCTCATCTCTCCCCCATTTGTTAAACCCCTTAACAGCAACGGTTCCATGCATTCGCTGAATTCTAAGGGTCGACGACGGAGCCATTCCGTAGGTGAAAAGGCCGGCGAGGCACCGAAAGAGGTATCGACACTGCCGCAGCGAGGGGCGAGTGCTAGCGGCCAGCATGCCTCGAGTACTGAGAATTTGGGTGCGATCGGTTGGCTGCAAAAGAAAATAAATGAGAGGAAAGAAAAAGGAGAGAAGGAGAGAGATGCCTCGGCTGGTCCACCACAATTTCCAATGCTTCTTACCACTACCCCAATCGCCGAAGTTGAGACACCAATCTCACCGAAGAGGTGATCAGCTCTGTATAATCGTTCCTGCTGTGTCGACACTTCCTAACGACTGTTGTTTTATCCTCTTCACCTATTGTTACGAATCGAAAGTTAGCAGGGTAGGCGTTTAGGTGACCCATCGGTGTAATATTTTTTCTTCTTTTTTTCCCTCTCGTCTTTTTCTCTTTTTCTTCTTGATACTTCTCCCTGTTCCACGTTTCTACAACACCTCTGTATCGACATTATGTCTTTTTTTTTTCCTTTTATGTTGATTAAAAAGGGGTTTCTTGTTATACGGTGACGATGATGATCTAAATTTCTGTTTTTTACTTTCATTGCCTGATGAATCGTGGGAGTCCTGCTTCTTTCTCAATCCTCCTTAGCTGGCGGGGGTCTTTTTTTATTATTACTGTCGAAAGGAGAGCCTTGTCCTCAGATATATTCCTTGGTCGAGTCTTCTTAACTTTGTTGTTACATTTAATAATTTTCCGGCGTTTCCCAATGTGGATCAGGGCTGCCCTCATGATATCTTTTTTTTTTACTTGAAAAACTACAAGGGAAAACCTATTTTTATTCTTCCTTTCTCTTAGCATGACTCGCTCGCCACCAACGTTGCCACCGTTGCTATCGACTGCAACCTACCGCCGCTACTACCACAACAGCGGCTGTACAGAATACCACATCCGCATGTACATGTACTTTTTTGGCATGTGTTCCTCTTTTTTTTTTTAAGTATTTATTATTATTATTATTATTACTTGTTGGCCGCCTGCGGTGGCATTTAAATCTAGCTGTTGTGTGTTTGAACTGTAGTTCTAATCCATGGTATGTGTCATCATTGTGATTGCTGATGCTGCTATGACATCTCTTGTCGATTCTGGGCTTGCCAACGGGTCCTAACCAGCTAGTAGGTGATTTAATAGCTATCCCTAGTATTTATTGTAACATCTTGTGGAAAGTTTTAGCAAAATGATACATTTTTGGATCTATATACTCATCCACTCTTACGGATTACCGAAGTTTTGATAGTGCCCGACTGCAAAGGAGGGGTTTGGGAAATTTATATTTTTCGTCGATATCGAAGAGGTGAACTGTCTAGGCGGCTGTCGAGAAATGAATAATAGTGCTAACTCTGAGGTGTGAATTGAATCGATACCCTGCGGCCGCCCCCGTTACGTTCGGAAGGTCCACCCATTTATTGTTCCATAGCTATTCTTTCCCATTGTCGATTATTTAGGGTCCAGTAGCGGCCTTGTGGTAATGCATTGTTGGTTTCCAAGGTACCAGGCACGGAACTAGTGTCGCATGATGCTCCAGCGTCAAGCACGAAGTAGCTTGCGTTTGCCATGTAGACGTGCCGGATGGCTTTCTAGCGAATACCACCTCGGGCTTGTAACGACCGCAGGGGTGAGCTGTCCTAGAGATTTTTTATCACATTTAATGTAACTTTTTTTTTCTTCGGGCATTTTTTAAACTGATAGTGGCCTTTTTCGTCGAACCTTAGGTCGAGAATTCGATTGAACTCATGCGTGCGTAGTTTGGTCTAAGAAGGGCAAAGATTCGATCGGAAGGCCTGCTTACCTTTCAACGTCAATTCATTAATTTTATAACAGTTAAAAGGATTCGTATATTGAGCCCCCAATCTCGTTGCCCTCTTTTCCTCCATAGCGCTGGCAATCAAATGCTCGGGAAGTATCAAAGTAATCCCTATCTACTTGGCCTTCAGTGGGAAGATAAAGTATAATGCTTTGTTTTGTTCCAAAATTTAAAGGTTTTACAGTTTCTTTGCAACGGGATGTTAAGATGTAAAATTAACCACGTACAGGAGGCTAAAATGCCTAGATAATCCTAGACAGTGCTGAGGGTGCTACGTATACTGGGGCCTGATACATACTTTGTACATAGCTGGCTTCTGCGAAACTAATTCTCGATGATGTTGCAATCCACAAGCTGGTGGCTGCGATGCCCAGAGAATTGCGAGCCATAGGCTAACTGCCTACTAAAGGATCGTTATATATAACGAAGGAGTGAATGTGTTTGGGTTTGTGGTATTATATTATTACGAACTAGATTGAGGTGTAAATCAATCGTATAGTTCTTCACGATTAGAATTTGGGATGGATGATTGGTGCTTGTCAGTTATACTCATCACAGGAAATACTCTTAAATTTCGAAATAACGGCACGAACCTAGCGTTCTTAGTTCATGCAATGATCCCCATCGTCATGAATAGTGTTCTGCAGACAGCGACCCTAAATCACAATACATATCACTTTTTTTTATCAGGTCAACGAGAAACCGACGCTGAACCACTAGCAGCTGGGCGCCTGCAATTAGATAAGATAGCCCTGCACGCGCGCCATATCCACAACCGCAGATAGTTTTACAAGCAGTATACTATTTGTAGAAGCAATATAGGTCGCATGGTAACTGCAGTGGCATCAATATGCTCAGCTCGAAGAATATAGGACGATGGTTATAAATACGAGCGCGAGAGCGACCGGTATGAGATATAAGCATTGAAGTGCTGCACGTACGCAAGTGTGCTGTCGAGATGTCTCATTTCTACTGCAAATTAAGAATTTACAATTAAAACTTCGAAATTTAAGTGAAGGCAATCGTAAACTGGTCTGGAGGCAAGACGGGTGCGAGTTCATCAAAACCTCTTGCGTTATCGTAAACTATATATACACAAATTCTAAGCCCTAAGAATACTTTGCTTTAAGATCCTGTGCAGAAAGTCGGCCTCCCTCATTGCCTTCGCACTTTCAGCTCCTTGAGCTCTTCACAGAAATATATATACCCATCAATGATAGCATATCAGCCAGACAAAAGAACAAGGTCAATTGTCTAAAAGGGAAATAATGAGGATCTATTGGAACCAATCCCAATCGTCCGACAATACTAACAGCCAATAGCAATATATTAATACCCGTTTCAATACCACAACTAGCCGAACCCGCTTGAAAAGCGCCACATTAATATGCAACTCTTGCTCTATAGCCCCTAGGATATGGTAAACGCACATATATCTATGCGCCTCGTATTTTCTCGCACTTGTGTTTCCTAAAAAATCTTATATCATCTGTAAATTTGTTAGATATCATAATTTACGTCCGTCTGTTAGAGGCAGGGTCTGGTCTTGCGTTGTTGTGTGGTCGTTTATGAAGTTTCGAATGGGGTTCCCTTAGCCCCGATATAAAAAGTAAGTACATACCTACTTTTTGTTATTGCATCTTAGCCTAACTTAAAGGTAATTATACGAAGCAGTTTATCTAAATCGGATGTTGTATTATTTATATATAAACTTGGGGTATGCTATACGCCTTTTGTGAATTTCAAGGGGGGCCAACGTTCGAGAACGAGACTCGGGTGCATAAGAAGCAGCAGCATTTATTCTGGTTTACGGGATAAGGTATATATATGGATGGACAGAACATGGAATTACCTCGAATTCATATTTAAAGATTTTCTCGGTGGATTACCGGTCGTGAGCATATGAGGTTGTTGCTTCTAGTAGACTACAAATTAGATAGGTTTTAAGATATTTAGTATTCTTTGATGTCCCATGTAATTTCTATAACAATATTTTTTTTATAAGCAAAAGGAAAGGAAGAGAAAGAAGAAAATGCCCAAGGGCTCTATTTTCAATACCATTCCCTCAATCCTCAAAGATTGTAAGGGGATTTTTCATTCTCAATGCTCTTTTGCAATCAAGTACCTCTGTTAATTTAAGCTTTACTACCTAGAATTACCATATGAGGAAGGGACCTGCGTCCCGTCTACCAGCCTCCACGAGACGTCCGCATGTTGTGGAGGCTAAGCCGATCGTGCCAAGCCTTTTAAAATATAATAATTATCAACACCTTACCAATTTCAGCCCTTTGACAGGAAACAAAACACAAAAACAAGCAACAAGCATATGTCCCAAACACTGTAAATTTGTGGACCGCTCCGTCTGTAAATCCTAGGTTGAGTCTTCTGTCAATGTGACTCATTCTCTTTTTTTGCTTTCCTTCTTTTCTTGTTCTTGTTTTTTTTTTTTTCATTTTGGCCCCATATCTAGGCTCTGTCCTAAGTTAACTCAGTCTCATCGCGGATCAGTTCCCTCGCCAAGAGGGAGCGTTTCTCCAGCCTTAACTATTTAGATGAACAAGACTGAGTTGCACAAATAAGTACTCTCCATTATGCAATGGAGGCTCTCGAGGTATTTATTAGAAATATTGACACAACCTCAACCTATTTGGCCCGTTTGGGAGGTTTGTTTCCTTTCCTTTCTTTTCTTTTTAGGGTTTACAGGTTTTACCGTATTTTTTTTCTTTACATGCGGGAGGAGGAGGCAAATACTGGGTGTGGAGGTTGGCGAATATACGCCATATGGCACCCGTTGGCTGCTAGCCTAGTTTTTTTTAGAGAACTAATTCTGAGCACATTTTATAGTGTAGGCGCTGTAGACAAGGACTGGTGTTCGATTTCAGGGACAGGAAATCCACTTCTTACAAAGTGTTTTGTTAAGGGAGAAAATGGCGGCCAGTGTTATTAAAAGCCTGTGTATATTAATATATTAAATTTGTTTCCGCACGGAGGAACAAACGAAACATATTACAATTGATGAAGATATTAGTACATATTGAAACAAAATAATAAAAAGGAAAAAGGAAAAAGAAAAAAGAAATTTGAGGTTGAAATAACTTGGGTCTATAGTTCCCTGTTTATGCAGGCGCCTTTATTAGGAAAGCTGCTCGCCTTTTCCCGCCTCCGTTATTACATCCATATCGATAACATATCAAGTTCAGACGGAGTATATCCTCTTTTGAACGCATGGCGCCCATGAAAGTAGACACTCTTTGTAAGCCAAACTTCGTTTGTGGCGGCGCCTTTGCGTCCTTAATCGAGTTTATTTGAATTTCTTCCCACTCAACTTGCATGATTATCCTCGATTTTTCTTAGGCCCCAGTCGCCGTGAAGACCAGGCGAGTTTGACGCCTTCTCATGCTACTGCGAGTAGCCACTGTTGTGACATGATCATGATAGCAAGGTAAGCCGCCCAGGTGGTTTTAGAGGCATGTCTGCTTTTATTACCTTGGTAGCATCAGGTTAGGGTATCTTGGGAAGTCTATATAAACCCTACGATGCCCCGATGTTGAGGTGATACAGCATCCCTTACATCCAAGACATCATTGGAGGGCAAGTCTATCAGACTACATAGAAAGATCTTTTTAATAGATACATTATCTCTTTTTGTTTATTCGAAAGGATCTATTCCAGAGCCGCAATGAAGTTTCTTCAGGTTCTCGCTTTTGCCGCATCGGCTAGTGCAGCCGTTGTCTTCCCAAGGGCCGATGATGCTTGTAACAAGGATAACTGCTTGAATGGTATGTGGTATTATATTCAACTATTGAGTTAATGTTATAGGCTCATTTACTAATTCTATACTATAGCTGTTATTAAGAATGACCCGGCCGTTACTTCCATGCGTTTCGCAGCATGCGAATCTTATGTTGCATCTCAAACGATCACATCGTATGTCCAATACCTTTTTTAAAGCTTCACTAAGCCATTTTACTAAAAAAAAAACCCTCGTTTTCAGGCTTGTCTATGTAACCACCTCACACACGGACACAATCACTATCACAGCATCGACAACTCTACCCAATGTGCTCAAACGTGACGTTCCAATTCCTACCTGGGCAGCCAACTGCCAGAGCAAAAACGGAGTTCCAGCTGAAATCCGCTTTTCTAGCGCATGTTCATGCTACTTCAAAAGCTTTTCGAGGGCCCCGGTGACAATGCCGACGACCATTCAGACCGTTAGTGCTGTTTCGTCGTTCGCTACGACCATTACTACCGTAGAAACACACTTCACCCCTACTCCTACTAAGGTGTACATCAAAGCTACAGACGTCGGCCGCTCCGAAATGGTAGAAGAAGAGCCTGTGTTTACGCCGAGTGAGGAGTGGGAAGGGGCCTACCTAAAATTGAATACGGATGGGGCCTTTCCCATCTTCGGTCTTACCAAGGTTGTGGGCGAGGCTACTACCTTTTATGTTAGACAGAAGACGTATTTCGAATATACAGTCAGACGTATCTACTTGGATGCCAATGCCCAAACCCATCAATTCAGTATTGGTGCTCCGAACGAGGAAGAGGAAGACTCATTCTTTGGGCCTCTGGTAGCTCCCACAAAACCATATGCTCAGGGCGTAAGGCCTATGGCATTGGGTACCCCCCAGGGAGGTGACCCTGAGTGGGTCGAAGATGTAGTATATGGGGAGCCCGCTCGGTTTTTCTTCTTTGAAGAGGATATCGTGGGAGGAATGCTTTTCGGCAATCAGGGTGAAGGGTTCCCTGATGGGGGTCCCTTACCTTATCAGCTCAATCTTGCCGTAGAAGTAATCACACCACCGGCACCTTAGAATCTTCTAGGATGGGTACTATATAATTCCACCAGTTAATTAGCAATGGTGGTACGCAATGATAATAATGTATGTTATGAAATAATATTTAGTTAGGATAGGTTTGGGGGTTGTGATTCGGACGGACCTGACGGTTCTGAGATGGGATTGTTGGAATATCGAATTAATTCAATACCTTTTTATACCTTTACGATGTTCCATATATATATATATCTATTTTTCGTATGAAGATGATATATTCTCTGGATGTTATCAGAAATAACTCGTGACATACGTGCGTTCGATTCGAGTGTTCGAGTATACTAGGCTATTGATCTTGGGGTTCTGAACGGGTATACTCTGGAACAATTGCATTGACGTTCACTATAAAATTCAATAACCCTATTAAAATATAATTAGACACATGAAATAAATATTTGAAGAATCATAGCGAGATGGTTTTATTTTGTGACGATATGATTGTACATGTATTCGGTGCGGTAGATGTTGAGATGATATATGACTAAGCAGCCGGACCGCCAGTTTAATTTATATCCTGATCGACTTCTCATACCTGCTACGTCATAAAAGGAGGGGATATTGCTATACTAGTCGACTTGTTATACTAAACCCGGATTTCAAGCAGCAGGTACTTAAGTCATTATTCATAGAAATAAAACGGGCAGGCTAGCGGAAAGAAAAAATGCCGGTAGGCGGTAAACCGATAGAGGTAAGTCACGAGAGCCCCCCCAAAGCCGACCCATATAGACCGAGATCAATAATCGCATGATTGCCTCGGTATTTAATTTTGATCATCAAAATAACTATTTCAACTACGAGTAGTACTTCCTTGCCTCTATAACGAGGCTGCCACGTTAAGCTTGGATGCTACCCTAAATTCCGAAGGGTTATGCAGGAAGTTATCATGTTAACCTCACATCGACGATAAGTGGTTTCTTCGCCTTGAGGGGGGCTATGTTCTTAAACAAATTCCAGCAAACAGCCTCGAGTGATCAAAAAATATGTATATTGTATCGTTACTACGATACGATGGTGTATTTTTAAAAAGAAACAATGTAGCGGCGGCTTAAGTCAGAAGTTGTTTTCGGTTCTCATTCGCTCTCCGTCATATCTCCCCTTGCTGACGAGCGAATTCGGGTAGGAGAGCCAAAAAGAAAGGTTACAATTCTTTTTTTAGGAGCTTTAATTGCGTAGTTAAAGATGGATGGATGGGGGATGTCAACTGTCAAAGTTTGAGAGATGCCGTTAGCCCGTGTTCGAGATTCTTGAGAATACGTAGGAAGTATGTACTTTATACATACTTAATGCTACTGACTTGAGGTACTGACTTGCATACTGATACTAATATTCTATACATACCAACATCAAAGATCAACATCACCTTACTTGACCTTAAACTTCGGTGCTAACAGGGGCGGAAGTGTGTATTAGAGTGCTTTAGGTATATCTTCTTATGATTCTGGTTTTTTCTTTCTTTCTTCTCTTTCTTGAATTTAGAAATAAAAAAGAAGTGTGGTGGGAAGTTTAATTCTCATTGGTGACTTTTGTTTCGTTAGCAGACGAACCGCCCTGCAAGCCTTGGTGACCGAGATATGCGGTATTACTGTCGAATTAGAGAGTGTTACATGGCGTTCGTCCCCCAAGCAAAGCAATCGGGATAGTAAGTTTCGAGGGGTAGAAAAAATAAAAAATGAAAAAATGAAAATCTGAAGGGCTAAGACTGAAAGGAAAAGGTGAAGAAGGAAGGGTTGCTTGCCACGCAAGTGATGTGAGGCGTTTTTGGCCAGAGAGAGCACAGCAACAGCGGAACCTGAGGAAGGCGGCTAGCCCGATGCGGGAATCGAATGGATCTCTCTCCAGCCTCTTGCATACATCCATGTAGATTTATGTACTGTATGTACACACGTCCATACAATGTATGTATATTATATTAATCGCCAGCGGGTGATATGGATGGGAGGTGACAGACAAGAAACTTGTTTAAGTTTGATTGCAATCGTCCGCATCATCGCTTGGGATTCCGAAGGGCTATAATGCAATATAATGTGCCATGCTAAGTAATGACCTAGTTACGTTACTAGTAGTTAGCACTATTATACATATCCTGCCTGCCTCAACGAGCGGGATGGATGGATGCCAGGCCACTTATTTTTGGGGCTGGTGTTTTATGTCTGGGTGTATGTTACCTTGGTGAGGCCTTGCTAGCTTGCTGCTCGGACCATGTTGGAGGTTGGGCGTGGGGAGGTTGAAAGTCCTTTCGGATGCGGTATTCTCTCTGTACTCGGGACAAAAGTCAAGGACTTAGTACTTAGTATGTACCAGGACCAGGACCAGGGGGGCCCATGAGATCCGGACAAATCTGCAGAAGCCGGGCTGAAAGGACAAGTGCATAGCTTGGCTGCAAATGCTTTTTGGGTTTCTTTTCAAGGTGAGCATTTCTTTCCGATCGAGGACGCCATCACGACCCATGCACGGCCATCCATTGGAATAGAATAGAATATCAAGCGAAGGTCACTATTGACAGACTTAAACACTATGTATTTACTGTGTACTTACTCTACTTACTCTACATAATATAATCCTGTTGCATGATTGTTGGAGCTCATCTCGCTTTGCCCTCTTTCGATTCACTTACTAGTTAAGTCCAAGGCTAAGACTGACTGACTGACTGATAGTACATAAGTACATTGCAAGTCACAATTCGTTATTTTTATATTTATTTATTATCTCCACGCTTCCAGAAGATCCCGCGATGATAACTCTGCTTTGATTTGCTTGGTTTCTTGTTCTTCTTCTTTTTTTCTCCATTCCACTTCTTATTTTCCTTCCCTACAATCAAAACCATCCTCTTCTCCCTCCCCTTCCCACTTCACTCTTCCCTCTAGTTATTCCTTTACTCTAATTCACACCCACTTTCTTAGTGAGTTTGTTTTTATTTTTATTTTTATATTTCTTCTTCTTCTTCTTCCTTTTCGTTATCGTCACATCAGCCGTAGCAAGCCATCGAAAAGATGCTGTCTTCTCGGTCGATTCTCAATGCCTTCTTCGTGTTGGCTGTCGCTCTGGCTCTTGTTCCTGTAGCACAGGCCAGCATCTACGCCATGGCAGATGGTGTCAACTTCAATGCTCTAGCACGTCAAAAGGCTCAGAAAAGAGCCCAGCAGAATTATTATAAAGAAAGTAAGTTCGATACCTGTAAAGAAATATTCAGCTCAAATGATCATATGAATTCTAACTTTTTTTTTTCAACTGTCGATAGTCGTTCGGAATCCATTCCGGCTCTTCAAACGCCAGGAACCTGATCCCGGCACACCGATTCCCACCCCCACGGACATTGGAACAATATCAAATACGTCAACGACGACGTCGGCAGAAACCACTACGTCAGATATCTCGAGTAGCATAACTACTCTGGAGCCAACCTCCACCGATGATGGTACTACTACTTCCACACCTATACCAACTACCGCTCCTCCTTCTTCTACTTCTACTTCTACTTCTACTCCGACTCCTACTTCCACTGAAGACGAGGTGACCTCTGAATCCAGCACGGAAGTTGAGTCTTCTACTTTTACTTCTTCATCATCAAGTACGGATATCATCTTGCTTTTGCATATGACGCCCGTTTCTACTATTTATTACTTTATTTACTACTTTATTTTATTTTCTATTGATTTTTTACAACTTCATTTAACTCAAAATTTAATTCAAGAACTATTTCGACCGAGAGTCAAATTGCTAACAATTCTCTTCACGATATCATAGGCATTTCCACTACTTCTACCGAAGCCGAAACCACTTCGTCAGAGACGGAAATAACTACGACTGATGGTATAACTACTACTCCTAGCAGCAGCACCGATCTCCCTTCCTCTACTGACGTGACCACCACTTCTGAAGCTCAAACTACAACAGAGGATGTATCCTCGACAGCAGAAGAAACATCCACTACGACCTCTGATGGACCGTCAGAAACATCGACTGAAGTAACAACAACAACCGAAGTGGAAAGCTCGACAACAACAATAAGAACAACATTGGACACAACTGTGAAATCCGCTTTTACAACAGCATGGTCAACAAGCACATTCACGCTTCCGAATGGTGCAGTCGGCACGGTTACAGAATTTTTGGTTGTGGTTCCGACTTTAGGACCGACACGGGCGCAGAACCCGCAAGAGACCGAAACGGGGACTGGTACTGCTTCGCTTCATACCAACGCAGGGACATTCTACACCCCTGGACCAGTGGCACCTGTGGTTGCATTGATGGCCGTTCTGGGTTACGTTGGCGGTGCTGCTTTCTAAACTTGGATACTCTCCGCTATCGACGACTTAAATATGGACACGAATACGGCGGTTTTATATAATTACTACAACCCTACAAGCATAGCCATTCTTCGAGTTTTGGTGATGGGATCAGCAAGTCTACGACACCTGCCTTCCCTCTCACGTTCTTTGCATGTTTTATTGTTTTTTTCTTCTTCTTCTTTTCCTTTTGCATTTTAGCGATTCCCAGCATACCAAAACAGCACACGGAAGATAACGGAACAGCACACACGCACACATAGACATAGTAATCGCATTGATTTTTTTGGAAAGGGAAAAAAAAAGGCATCATTGGTAGTTGAGTGGGTTTTTTTTATCAGCGTTCCTCTTTTTAATTGATTGGGCGCTTAAGCCATTGCATTAGTGGGCATGTTTCGATGATTGAATGCTGCCTTCTCATTCTTTTTTAATGTGGATATGTTGAAAAAATGTACGATAGATCCTTGAATAGGGTCAATGATAAGAAATAATGGGATAACTCTCGTTTGAGGTGGTCTAAGGAGATATGGATACAAGTCTAGTCTTGATTCCTAGATACTTTTATGATAATTGTATATGGTCTATATAGATCTTTTTCTAAGTAATGCTGTCTATTTTTTCCAAGTAATTTTGTACCCGAAGACTTTCAAGAGCAGACTCTGGTCCCCTCTAGGTTCCTCAAGCATTACCTTGTCCAATAGCTTGTCTACCACCTGCTCAACCTCTAGGTCCCCGGATTCCCGGACAATTTTGAAGAAATTGAGGTCCTTCTCGTACAGCCACGGCCTGTGAGGAGTGAAGAAGACCAATGCGACACCATCTGGTTTTGCGAGAGTGAATTTTAGACTGTTAAGCAAGGCTTCATGTTGAGAATGGTTGAAGAGGAGATCCGATAGGATGCAGAGGTCGTATCCACCCGGCGAGATTTCCAGGAGGTGATCTGGGGGAGCACCCCAAATGTAACCCGTGCAATGGATTGTACTCGATTTGGGGAGAACCACCTTCCTCGTCCCATCTTCATTTTGAAGACTTGCTTCATCATCATCAACAGAAGCAAGGGAATGGAGTTTGTTATATTCGATGTTTTGGATTAAATCCGGGTCCGGGTAGTCTGTTATGACTATGGTCTTGCCACCTAATCCTGCACATACGAGAGAAGGTAATCCTGCCCCTGCCCCGAATTCTATGACAGATTTCCCTTCGACGAAGGATTTGGCGGTTGATTCGATGTAGTCGCAGGTTACGCGGGAGGCGTTCCAGAGGAGGTGGCCCCAGAGGGGGGATTTTCCGATCAGACGGACGGTTATGGAAGAGTTTGGGGAGAGGGAAAGAGTGTGAGATGCGAAGGTTGGGGGTGGGGTTTTTGGCTTCCAATCTTTTTTTATTTTATTTTTTCTACAAGTTAGCACTCCGATCGTATTTGATGCATTTAATTTCCTTTCTTTTGGAGATAATCATGGTGTGGTTGCACACGTACCATCAGGTTCGTTGAAGAGACCGCCGCCGACATCTTCGACGTCGCTAGAGTCGGAGTTGTGGTTGAGGTCTTCCTCTGTCATCTTTTGTCCTTTTTTATTTTTATTATATTTATATGATTTTCAAGGTGAAATTGTCCCTCCACCTCCGAAGAATGATGGTTTTATGCATCTACGGAAGAACAGTCGACTTTCTGCAATGCCTAGACCAAATTCCAGAAAAATTGGATCGAGCTTAGTCTGTAATTTTTTTTAGGACAACGCAAAAAAATTTGGAGAACTTTTTTTTAAATGTTTTTTTGTATTTAATTTTTATTTATTTTTGGCTTATTAGAAAGAGAGAAAAAAAAATGCAACATTGTGGTTGGTTGGATGCAAGTCAGTCTGGACTTGAGACTTTTTTCCCTTTCTTTTCTTTTTTTGTTTGCGGCTAGATCGAAGTACATGAGTAATTAGGTACTTTGGAGAGAGGCTGAAGATATCGATAGAGGTTTATTGTAGATGGTACTTTTGGAGTACTTCTATGCAAGTTATCGAGAGTATTAAGGGTATCAATTATTTGAAAATACAAAGCCTAACGCCGGGTGTGTATAAAAAAACTGCAGCGGCAAGGAAATAAATAATAAAAATAAAAATAAAAAAGACTCCCAAGTGCAAGTAATCCAAAGCCATAGCGATCCAAAAGAAATCCAGTATGCCTTGCCTGGTGGTACAAAATCGATTAACCCCCCATTCTAGTCATAACTGTACCGCCGTCAGCTAGCTGGCTGGCAGCTTAAGACAGAAAGAATGGAGGAACGAAAAGAATGAAGAATGGAGAAAAAGCATATTAAATCCGACGACCCCCGTCCAATCACTGTCTATGTCTGTGTCGTCGACGAATAGCATGACGTCTCCGTGGGGTTCTACCCCTCGCCAAAGTACTTCTACCTTCCCCTTTCCTATCAGCTGCACTTTCAGCCTCTCCATCACTACCAGCTGGCTCCTCTCTTTTAAAAAATTGACCTCTCGCCTTCGCTTTCTCCCAGCTACTCGTTAGGCCGGATTTTGTAGCCGCAGTGAATTCCGGTGTAGTCCATGATGCGTCCCAGAATGCAATTCCGCCGAAAGGGTTGTAAGGGTTAGTGGAGTTTTTAGATGCCGCTGCCGCACCGCCGCCCCAGAATACACGGGCGTTTTCACAGTCTTCCATTGAGTCTGATGCTACTTTTAATAGGGTTTCTAATGGTGCGAATCCGCCGGCAGGGGCGGCGGATGGGGAGGCTGGAGCGCCGAGGAAGAGTTTTATAGAGGGGTTTTGGGATGAGGAACGGGCCCATTCAGCCCATTCGTTGAAGTTGAACGAAGAAGGGTTTGTGGGGGCGCAGAAGTTGTCTAGTTGGTAGGTTTTTTGGTTAGAAAATTGTACACAGGTTCTCTTATTTTGGAGTTCAAATATAAATAGTTAGTGGAGCTTACTGTAAAATTGAATGAAGAGCTGTAGTCAACGATAAATCAATCGTTAGCGGGTTTATTCCAATAAAAGATTTTTATATGCATAACTAGCATGGATGTATATTGTGGAAAGCCTACCATATCAAACCAGGATCTCTTGTCTCTAAGTGCCGGTGAGAGTATAACATCTGGATAAACGCACTGCGGGGATGCAGTAATTAAATAATCTTTTTTCCCGTTCCGTCCGACTTCACTTTGATAGAGTGACCTGATCGTATCAATGAATACCGGCCAGTGTATTCCTTCTTGTCCGGGCGGCGATTCAAGATCTAAAGAAGAATTCGGTGTCAGCTACATCGCTCTTTCATCTTGTACTAGGATATAAAGTAAGGTACAAACCCAAATCGACACCATCGACCTCAACATCTCCAAACGGTCTAACAACCCTTCCATCCTTCCCCCCTCCGAGGTATGTATTCCAAATCTGTTTCGCCGCAGCAACAGCTTCATCGGAACTTTGAATTTCGTATCCGGCTGTCGCACCACCCAAAGATACGAGTACCTTCTTCCCTTGTCCTCGACAATATTCGATCTCTTGGGCTAATTCAGGACATACTATTTGTCCTCCCGAGGAACCGGGAGCCTGGGTGCATTGTTGAGTAGCTAGGTTTAAGATTGGAATCTTCTCGTTTGAGTAGAGGATAGCGATAAAAGATAGGACTAGAATGTCGACATCTGGACGGGCGCAGAATGATTTTAGGGGGGGTTGGGGAGATATTTCTGTTTTTGGGGGTTAGTTTTCGGGGTTATCTTTTGGTTTTCTGTGTAACAAGTGGAATAGGAAACTTACGAGCGGAGTTTTGACCCCAGTAGAGAGCTACGTTAGTGGTACCTTGGATGTCAAATCCTAAGGCGAATTGTGGGATGAAAGTAAGTAATGTCAGACTTCGCAGAAGCCTTTTGCTCAGAGTCAATCCGAGAGGTGACATCTTGTATATAAATATAAAATAAAGTAAAGCAAAGAGGGCCGCAGGCCGGTATAACAAGAAATGAAATAGAGAAAGGGCACAACCTCGGAATCGAATACTTCTTCGAAATCTATAAAAATGCTATGAAGAGGGGGTTTATATATGATATCTACTACCTGTCAAAAAAAGAAATATTGAAAGATTAACTAAAACAGCGATGCTATATCGAATCAAAATATTTTCGTAATGGGTATTGATATCGGAGCACATGATACGGGACGTATCCAAGATTTTACAACATTCTCGTTGCGATGTGTCTAGATCTTAGTTCTTTTTTTAGCCAAAAATTTAACAAAATAATATATATTTTTTATCAGGCTGGGCCCTGGAAGACCGAATTGAATCCCGTACTGTTTTCCAAACAAAGTTTGGGTTAGGCATATACATTAAAAATGGTGAAACTGGCGGTTCCTGACGACGGAATGCTTGGTACCTTGCAGCCCCACCTTCCCAGCCATGAGGATATCCACTGATTCTGGATGAATGACGCCGCGGCATATCTGAAGGCATACGGCATTGATACATAATTATGCTAGCGCTCTGTGGCGTGAAATTCTCTATTTGTAGTATGTTTGCTGGGTATCACAATGTGACTGCCTCATGAATACATTCTGTAGAGCCGTGAATCGAAGGGCCGTGAATCGAAGAGCTGAGTTGTGACGTGGTCCTGCGTTGTTTCTGTTGTAATTTTGAGCTCTATGATTCGACAGTTACTCATTGAAAGTAAGTAAGGTACTTAAGTCAAGTAGATAACCCAGGCAATGAATCATTTTCTAGGTTTCTTGAAGAGATAGCTCTCTTGTGTAATATTTATGTCTTTGTGACTTGTTTTCTATCTTACTTGTGATTAAGTGTTTATATTGAAAAGCTTGAGCCGGAAGGTAAGCTAAGCTTACAAAAGAGCCTTAAGCAGAACTTAACTCCAAGTCGCAGTTTTACGCTTCTAAAACCCATACACATTCACCCCACCATACACCCCTCCGTACCAGCTCAGGTGCTCGATCTCGAGCGCCTTCAACCACACGCCGCCGCCATGCCTGTAAGTCTCATTCCGGGAATGAGGCGTGACGATCACCATACACATACCATCTTCGCAGTCCGGTTAGACTAACATTGTGCGGGCATTGCACCCTTTTAGTTAATCATGATGTCCGGCTTCCCAGCCTCTGGTAAAACCACACGGGCTAACCAGATCCGCGATTTTTTCAATTCCAAAATCGCCGAATTATCGCCCACCGATCCTCGGGTTGCTCGTCTCAAGTTACATGTCGTCAGCGATGGGGGTCTAGGGGTATCAAAGGAAGTTTACAGAGGTACTTGCATACCGACCACGACGTCTTCCTTGTTGAGTGGCGATGACTATGTTTAGAAAACGGAGGGAAGAGAAAAAAGAACGAAATTCACTTACTCACTTCATAGTTTGAACTATAGAAGCAAGGCCGGAAAAGGATGCACGAGCGACTTTCTACGGTGCCGTCAAGCGGTTGTTATCTGCTGACGATATTGTAATCGCCGACGGCATGAACTACATCAAAGGCTACAGATACCAACTTCATTGCGAATCCAAAGCTCTTCTGACCCCCTCTTGCGTCATATACGTTGGAACTCCGGCCGAAAAATGCAAGGAATGGAATGCAGCGAAGGGTTCCGAGAAAAGGGAAGGAGGGGAAGAAACGGGAGGAGAAGGGAAGGGGGATTCTTGGGAGGCTTACGCACCGGATGTTCTGGATAACTTGATATTTCGATATGAAGAACCAAATGGGATGACGAGGTGGGACAGCCCCTTGTTTGTTGTGCCGTGGATGGATGAGGATATACCTGGCGAGGAAATTTGGAATGCTATGGTGAATAATGAGGCGGTTAAGCCGCATCTGGCGACGGTGCTGGTATGTTGTTTCCTATTGAACCTCCCGTTCAGTCGTCTCCATGTTTAGAGGAATTAAAATGGCTGACTATTTTACGATAGAAACCTGCGGCGGAGGCAAATTATTTGCAGATTCTGGATAAGACGACGCAGGATGTTGTATCCGCTGTCTTGGACTATCAAAAGACGAATGGTGCGGGAGGCTCCGTCAAAATATCGGAAGCATCGACTGTAGGTCCACTGCACCATAAAGGCCATATAAAGGACCTGGGAATAAAGCTAATTTACTGTTTAGACAATCGAGCTACCTGCCAACCACGTCGGGCTTGCACAATTGCAGCGAATACGAAGGCAGTTTATATCATTCAACCGACAACACACAGCCGAAAGAACAAGGCTAAAAAGTATGTTTGTTGAATATCTAAACAAGGAGTTGGAATAGGTCCCAGCATATTGAAAGCTTCATGTGCATATCCTTGGTGTTTTGGGAGTTTATAGGAGTTTGCATTTGGCGGTGGTTGTTCATATAAATCTAAAATATATAAAAAGTCAAAAACTACGTTTCAACCAAATGTTCGAAATCTCGGGTCCAGAATCTCCAGAAGCTGGGCTGCCTTGGCACGGATTTAACCTAACAAAGTGATAGGGCAATGACTGGCGGAGAAGGCGCCTGCTGTCGGAGGCGCCTTCATGCGTGTAGTAGTTAGTAAATAAATCGACAGCGCCAGAAGGGACCCCTTCTTTCCTTTTACATCCATCCTTCATTCTGTGGCTTCACCCTTCACCGCAAAGAGAACGTTCGCTATTCCTCCAAAAATGTCGTATCAGACGAGAACGCTGAGCGCAAACCGTAAGAGAGAGAAAAAAATACCCCACTGATGCTTCCGAGATCCGATTAATCTAACGAGATGTTTGTTTCCAGCCCTCGCGAGGGAGCGCAGGGGTGGCCAGCATGCTGCCGATGAGGCCGAATACGATCGCTTGCGCGGCCTGGCCCGTAACGAACAAAACCGACGACACGAACTCATCGGACAATCTCGTGAAGCGTACCAAAATGGCGATGGAGCGCTCGCCAAAGAATTATCAAACCAGGCGAAGAGTCATGAAGCGACTGCCGATAACTATAACAAGCAAGCTGCCGAGCACATCTTTCGAGTAAATAACGCGAATCAAGAGGAGGATACCATCGATCTTCATGGTTTGTTTGTTGAAGAAGCGGAGTACGTTTTCTCTCTCTTTTAAGTTCTCCAATTGGAAAAACACTGGTCTCGTTGGAAAACACATACATGTGATTTTAAGATGTGCTAATTATCCGACGGCCAAATATAGAGAGATTCTTGCAACAAGAATAGAAGCGGCCAGGCGCCAGCATGCTAAAGGACTGCACGTCATTGTTGGCAAAGGCATCCACTCGGAAAACCACGTCCAGAAGATCAAACCCGCCGTCGAGAAGTTTTGCCGGGATAATAACCTGGTATACAGCATCGGAAAGAATGCCGGTAGGATCTATATCGACCTTCAAGCCGAAGGCGTGGGCGAGGTCGACCCGAGTCAACATGGTTGGGCCTATGGTGGGCAGCAGCAACAGCATGGCGGGTACCAGCAGCATGAGCAGCCGCATTACCAGCAGCACCATGGCGGCCAGCAACAGCAGCAAGAACAGCAGCAAGATTCGGCTGGCGGATTGCTCGGGCTTTTGTTTGGTGTTATTAAAAAGATATTTTGCAAATAGATGTCGTTTTGCAATGGGTGGAGTACTTAGGCATCTAGTTAGTCAGGGTCAATGTTGGTACATAATTAGGTCATGATTTACGGGAAACGCTGGCGTTCAAAGGTGGCGGTATACATCTAAATGTACATGTAAAGTAATGGCTATGACGATACAATAGGATTACGTCCAATCTGGAAATTTATATTATACGAATTGAAAAAATTTTGAAAAATAGGACGCCAAAATCGCATATTCAAAAAAAGGACACAGTACCTTTACCTCGAGATCACATGAGATATACTTCACTTCACTTCACTTCACAATCTCTAGTAAAGAATGGGGAAGCACTATCAATCACTTACTCTCTAAACCTTGACAACTGAAGGGTTGACGGCGAGAATGATTGATAAGGAACATATGATCAACTAGTTGTTCGTTGATTAGCAATAGCATCACAACCGACAGTCGTTTCATCAAATGCAGTTCTTACAGCAGCAGCGATAACGGTTAAGAATATGATGGAACCTCTGCTCGCGGGGAACTTTCCCTTGAGCAACCAATTCTGACTTTCGTAATACCGATTAATACCGATGAGTAACACAAGGATAGCGATCCCGAGGAACGTTGCTCCGAGGGGCTTCCCCATACGTCTCAAAGTCATTGCGCCTGGTTTTGGAGTTTTGCCATGTGGGCATCTCGGTGTAAGCTCTCACAGAAAAATAATTATATCCCTCTTTCTCTTACTTGCGTGGGTTGAAAACCGATCGTATGTTCCGATCGTGTATATGTCGTGTGCCAGTTGCACGGGTTGGTGTTCATACCTTTCTCTACGGCGGGATCTGAAGATTCCATGGCTGAGTTTAACCTAAACAACTGCGTAACTGCGATGCCGATCGAGGCGAAGGAAAGTGATGTCCGAAGCCATGCTAGGAACGTGCGCTCTGTGTGTGTCGGGTCAGCATTTTTTTTTTTTTTTTCGGCCTTTGATAAAAGGGTTCCCTCTTTTTCCCCTTCGAGTGCTACCAAAAAACCGAAACACCCGATCCCGCGAAGTACCTAGGTAGGTAGATACCGATTTCCTGGAGATATCGTATGGAGAGGGTGTTGGGGAAAACACACGTACCCAGGGCTAGATGATCCCTGGCGACCGAACCCTTATTTTCGAGACTCAAAGATCCGAACCTCGCTATTACGTTACGAGAAAACCAGCCATCCTGGTGGTCTTCCGCCTTCCCCTTCCCCTTCGCATCCCGTCTTGAAGAACCCGAAGTTTCATCTTCTAGAGCAGGAGCAGGAGCAGGAGCAGTGGTATTCGGTGCCGGTACTTTAGCATCGGGATTTGTTTGTGATACGTTGATAGGCGTCGAATCGAGTCGCTGGCCGTTCTCGAGTTGGGGTTTTGTTTGTAGCCGGTCTGCGGAAAGAACACTTTGCGAGGAAGAAGGTCTCTGGCGCGACATTTCGCTTGAAGTTTCTGCAGCTGAGTGCAGGTATAATGTAGATGTCCTGATTTATATACAGGCCTAGATGATTGTGTAGACGTTGATATAGATGATGGTATAGATGTTGATGTTGATGAAATATGTATGGCGTGAGGGAAGAAGTTGGTGGAAGGACAGCATTTTGGCTGCGGGGATGGCAGGTACCAGGCCAGGCCAGGTGACTGCTGGGAGCGGGAGGTGAGGAGGTTCAACCTGAGCTCGCGTGACGGCAGCAGCAAGCAGCAGCGGGCAGGTAGTCAGGCCGGCAGGAAGGGAAGGAATGTCAATGCATGCACCTCATCTCGGCCCAGGTCAATTTTCGGACTCAATTTCAACGAAGGAACATTCGACGGCGAGGTACTTTTTGGCGATATCGATAGGATGGCGCTATGGGAAGTGGAGCCCGATCGGTATTCGCGATTTGGCTGGCCTTTGGCGTGCTTTTCCTTGGATTGAATTATAATCAAACGGATAAGTTTATTCTCATGCAAGGCCACGGCCGGGCTGGCTTTTCGATTCGCTCGTCTGTCATCGAGTCGGGTTGAGCCAAGCCAGAAGAATTAATTAATTAATATCTACCAACCAGTCAACGACTTGGCCGTTAATATCAATTGCATCCAACCTTCATACTACATACTACTTATATAACAGCTGGATAACAACTAACAGCTATGGAATAGTTAGCTAACGTTACTAACCGATTAATTCCCAGCTACTAATAGGTCATTCCTTAGTCACTAAGGATTATATTGGCAATTCCAGCCAACTGCAGATATGGTCGATAATACCATGGCCTGCTCAAGCATTCCGACAAGGTTGTCACACAAGCTTAAGCCACCCCAACCTGCAAAGGCGGGCACATTCAACATGGGATTTTTGAACCGGCATACCGACATAGAAAAAAAAGATGCTTCCAGATATGTTCCGACATTCTATTGCGTCGATGTTAATTCGGGATACACGAATTACATCGAATCCCGTTATCCATGATCGGCTCATGGTGGCCGTACGTTCTGGTGGTCTATATATCTCATGACTCTGCTTTTCGCCCCTCCTCAGGAATCGAACCTCGGACCCAACAGACTACGGACACTACGTAGTCTTCAGAACAGTCTTAATCTTTGCAGCTCTGGACATTTCCCGCCTACCTTGCTACCTTCGACCGAGCCGCTCTTTTCCATTTGGAAAGCGGTAACAATAACGTGCTTTTTGCCCACCCATCAAATTGTCGACATCGCCTAGTCTCCAAGGCCTGGGACGGGGATATTTCGAACGATCATCTAGTCCTATGACAGGCCGGGGACCTCGTCGTTTGGCCAAAGAAGGCAGTCCGTAGCTCTAGCTTACCAAACCTTCGACGAGAACGCTGATATCAGCTATCGAATACTCGTATCGATATCTGAGCGAGCTGTAGGCGAAAATCTAAGCCTTCAGGCTACTTGAACTCTCTTGCTTGCTTTCTTTTCCTCCATTCTCTGCTTATTTCATAAATTGCCCGACGGTTCCGCCCCAACAATTAATATCCAATTTTAAGGACCAACAGACTGTCGAAGCGCTTTCTGGTCTCCAAAATTAACTGCAGCACCACACACAAGAAGGAAGAACGGGAGAAAAAAAACTCGAAATCGAGACGGGTCAAATACAGCTATTTTACGGTAGACGCCCAGCTCAAATGCAAGTTTGCAACGTTTAGTTTGTTGCACAAATCCTCAATAAGCACCCTTTGATCGTCTGTTATACCAACATCAACTTTCCATCGGATTCGAACGGAAACTAGGAATGCGATTATGGAAGCGGTGATACGGCCTCAGCATGGTCTGCTGATAAATTTCCCCGGCCACTATCACAAACCCGACAAAACCGACAAGACCGACAAGACCGACAACAAAAAATCCGGCGAGAAGAAATCCAGACTACGACCTTCATGGCTCTGGCGGAACAGAAGCAACGGTAAGAGATCAATTCTGGTTGGATGTTTTGAGCGTGTTTGTGTGGCCGTATCCCAAACGGGAAGCGGTTGACTCGCAAGTGCGCCCAAACAGGAAGCCAAAGCGAAAAACCAACATCTGAACAACACAAAACTGACCCTACTGGAAAAACTTCTGAACCAGCAGACTCGAAATCGTGTAGCACAGAGCACAAATCTGAGACCTCTTGCACGGCAGACCCCAAGGTTGGTGCTTTCCCCCCTTTAGCTTGGATTCCCTGAGCATATTTTTGTACCATCCTTGACCCCACCTTCGGATACCGTTTTTTTATTCGCTACGACATGTTTCTATTTTTTATTTCTACTCCCTCACTCGATAGCTTCTATATAAGTGACCGTATGGAGCTTTCAAGCTAATTTAATTTAATCTGAATTTTCCTTCTACAATGGTTCTACTAGACAAGCTATCCCGGTCCGATAGCAGTACAGCTTGTGGAAGAAGATTTTATTGCATCCATAACTAAATCTGCAGAACTTGCACAAAGCGATATATTTCCAACCACCAACGGAACACATGAGAAAGAACACTCTCAAAATCAAGTAGGAATCATGTCACCATCATCAACAGTTTTATTCAAAATTCTAGGGACAAACTCGTCCCGGGATAGATCCCCCAAAAATCCCCAACAACAGGAACATCATCTTGAGCAAGAGTATGAACTAGAACCGAAGCTATCTTTTACAGACAGACGGAAGCTCAACGCCAAAGAGCTCAGGCTTGAGCTTAGTCGTGGTTATGAAGATACTGACCATAGCCTCAACCGATCTGAGAGCTTTCAAAAGACCCCAATGCTATCTCGGGATAATCCCATTAGGCGCTCAAGTGAGAATTCTGAAAACTTTAATGAAGAAGTTGCGGAATATAAGCAGGAAAGGGCAAAAGCCCCATCGACGCCAATTCACACATCTGTTGCTCAAAGTATTTCCTCGTACTTGGGAAGCTTCGGGATACTTACTCCTCCGTCGAATTCAAAGAAGCTTCGTGAAGAAGAGGAGGCTAGGAGAATAGAGGAGTTGAAACGCAGTATACGTCATTTGACACCGCCTCGAACACCGCAGAGGCCTCAAGACCCACCCCATCAGTTCCTAGGATCTTCAGATAGCCCAAATCTCAAACAAGAATGGTCGCCACCACGAAGTTTCTCAAATCGCCATACTCGAAACTCCTCAACGGATTCCACAGCATCATTGTCAGTATCTATAGTTGATGATTTTTCGTCAGATGGAGCTATAAGCCCGACCAATATAAGCCGCCCAATTATATCTGTACCTCAGTCGAGTCCTGAGCTCAGCCCGATAGCTACTGGGTTGTTTGAAAACCCAAGGCAGTTCTTCCCCAAGCCTCCGCGAGCACGGCGCTCTGCGGAAGAGACAAGAACGAAGAATAAAGGACTTCCTCTGTTTCAGCTAGCTAGCTTTGCAGAGCCAAGTTTTTCCAGCCCTTCTCAGGTCGCGTACGATGTACGGGACATGGTTATGCCGGTCGTGATGATTGCGAATGCCTTGGGGTTTCCGCACAAAGCATCCGTCAATCAACGGCCCGAAAACCTATCCACGGCCGTTTCGTCGGTGAATCATAGTCAGAAAAACAAGGCCGACAAACCTAGTAAGAAAGCAAGCTTAAAAGTAAAAAGCACACTGGGCGTTTTCCCTCGAAAAACTTTCACAAGGTCTTCTTCAGAGAGCAAGATTATCAAAAACAACCCATATCTTCATAGCAGCATCACGCAACAAGCGACAAGCTCTCTCAGCACTCAGACATATGTGGAAGAAACACAGTACTCAATGGCTTCCGCCGTCTCTTCATTGGAAAATCTTCAGCCCATATGTTCTATAACTACGAATAGTGCTCCGGTCAGCGCCTTCGACGATGACTCTTCGGACGATGACTACTTTGGGGACTTCAAAAATCTATCTGGACTCGGAACTCGCAACCTTAGAAGGCGAAGGACTAGTTTAAAGAGATTTTCTCGGGATTCTATGAGTCTCTCCGCAGACCGACCGTTTTCCCGTCTTTCCTTCTCATCAAAGCAAGATCCGCTAGGGTTCCCGAAAGAGATCGAAACTCGACAAATGTCTACAGAAAATTTTATACCTGTGCGCCAGATCCCAATCCCCGAAGAGGCGCAACTCTCTACCTCCGCAGGGACATTCAACAAAGTTAGATTCGGGAGCTCCAGAGTTATTCGCGAAAATGAAGTCCACCATCTCAAAGATGGCGACGGATGCGACCACCTCGTACTCGAACAAGAGGATGGCAAAATCCTCGTCGTTTCAGGCACATTGGATTATCTGATGATGGAACTCTGCGCTTCGTTTGAAACCGCAGATGATGAGAACTTTGCCGATATATTTATCCGTGCATCTATCCTGTTCACTTCACCTTTGTTCCTTCTCAAAGGGCTTACAACCCACTTCAGGAACGTGAATTCAAGGATCCAAGAGAGGATCCTTGCGGTAATTGAGAAGTGGCTTCGGACGCAGCCAGAAGATATATTCGAAGCTGAAGCAACGAGGGAGATACTTCTCATATTTCTGGCAGAAGTTTCATGCTGGGGACATACGCAATATGCCGTTCGTCTCACTCAAGCTTATTCTTTGATGAAGGATAAGCTTCAGAATTTCCAGAATGCTGTGGAAGAGGCCAAGAAGTTGAATGATTCGATCGAGAACGTGGCGTCTTCCTCGTTTCCCGAGAATCTAAAACTCTTTTTCGGCGATGAGAACATCATGCTAGAGGTCGCACAGTATCTCACAGCAGTCGATCTCATTTTGTTTCGGGACGCATCGCACACCCGAACCGTCAGTTTATGGTGGATGTCACAAACGAGCGAAGAGCAAAACTCATGGAGTTGGGAGTGCGAAGTTCCTTACGCTGATGAGGCTTCCACCGACAGTGTTGTTGAGAGGGTCAACAGACTCCTGCGAAGATCCGCCAATTTCAAGTTCTGGATTCAGCATGAAGTTCTGGCGATGACAAAGTTCGAAGATCGCGCCGACCTTATTTCAAGCCTGATCCATCTAGCCTTGCTGCTGAGAGATCAAGGAAATTTGCAATCCTGCCTTGTAATAGTTGAGGCCCTCGCTGTTGATACTATTATCAGCCTGGAAAAGACCTGGGATTGCGTTCCAATTGAGAGGATTAGAGAGTTCTCTGAACTCCGGGCCCTCCTCGACCAATCAACTTATGTCAGCTTCTTTTCGCAATGCAAGGATTTTGCGATTCCTTATTTCCTATTTTTTATCAAAGCAGTTGCGACAATCCTCAACCAATCTACAAACGCAAGCTCTAGATATAGCGATGCCTCGAAGATCCATGTCGACTCTCAAATCGAGGCTAGTTTATATCGGCCTCCAACATCACCAACAAGCGACAAATCTAGTAGGCAACCACCGATCCTACTAGATTTCAAAAAGTACCGGTCTTTCGTCAAGGAGGTTTCAGTTTACCGAGCCATGACCAAGTATCCACCCAAATTTGTCTGGAGTCTAGACCGAAAGTGCTTTGTTTTTCGCAAGATGGAAATAGGACGGCTAGCGTTTCCCCGGGACCGCGATAACGCTAGCAGGGCCACCAGCCGCATGAGAAGCGGCTCTATTGCTTCGATCCCAGAAGATACTCCAGATGCAAGTTATCTCAACCATCTATCGGAAATTATCGAGGGAAGGATCGACACCGTTCTTTCCCCTTTCCTCCCATCTAGTCCTGACGACGATCTTACCAAACTGCAACAATTTACCAGAGCCATGAAGTCTCTCAGGCAGCAGGTCCACGGAGAGGATTTGCATTGCTAGTTGCAAGAGCCTGATGATGGCTTTCCAAAAAAAAAAAAAAAAGTTGATTTATGTTTAAGAGCTTTGGTTCTCTATACCCTTCTTGTACTACTTTCTCTTTTTTCATACAGCAGGCGCCAGATACTTTGCTTTCAAAGGCCTTGTAACATAATCTTGATACCCACGTGACGATTTCATTTTGTTCTTCATGACCAATTACGATGAGATGCTTCACGATATTATTCTACGACCTATTACGTCAATATACCATTTCCTGTATGAACAATCGTAGCCTAATCTAAATTTGGCTATGGTATTTTCTTATATCTATTTTTTCAATATATCCTTACACATCCTTCAAATTTACCTGTACTTACACTACTCTAGAGAGATACTCTTTTCAATATATCCACATTTACCAAAAATATTCCTTAAGCCAGATGTTTAATGAACCATTCTACTGCCTGTGTTTCACTTCCTTCCAGTCCTTTCTTTGTAGCTTCGATTGCAGGGTTTCCTCGAACGGCAAACGCTTTAATTGTAACATAATTCATTAGAAAATGAGAGAGACGAATATACGTAGAGATATAAAGAAAAGGCCCACTTACAATGCTCCATGCCCTCATAGACAACCACCTCAGAATCCAACCCCTCCTTCTTCTTCAAAATCCCCTTAATCCTCTCCACCTGCTTCATGGGTAAAACGATATCTTTATCGCCCACGGCGAACGAGATGGGTTTCGTTACCGCCTCAACTTCGGCAGGTACCTTTAAAAAGCTGGGATGGGCGGAGTATATAGCATCCACGTAGGGATTCATCAGTATGGCATGCCTGCCACCCCAGCAGAATCCGATCACACCGAGTTTCCCACCACCACCACCAGGTGTGGAATTGAGTTCCTCACGAAGGGATTTGAAGAACTTGGTGATTATGGGGAGGGAGACGGATTTCCTGTGTGTCCAGAACCATAGTAGGAATTTGGGGAATGAAAAGGCCATTGTCAATCTTTTTTTATATATATATGTTTTATATCAATTAATAAGGTTCATTCCAATGCGCATTCCAATGATACACAAACAACCAAATATTATACTTTTAAATGTGTTTTCTTTTTAAAAATAAATAAAAAATAAATAAAAAAAAAACTTACAGTCTTTTATACCATGGCGGTTCAAATCCCTTCAGTGGGAACGCTACATCAAGACTATCCTTCGCAAACGCATCTCCAAAGTGTACATCAGGCATCAAGACCCTAAAGTTACCTCGTTTCGCATAACTATCTGCCAGCAGTCGGAGATTGATCAGGTCCCAACCGAAGACGTCGGGGATTATTACTATTGTTCCGTTTACGGTTCCATTACTGTTTTCTGGTTGGGCGACGTAGGTGGGGAGGTTGTGGATTGTTTCTTCGGTCCCGGTTGGATTGCCGGTATGGAGGGAACCTGTGCGTGAGATTTTAGTTGGTGGGGATAATGTTATGGTCGCGTTTTTGAAGGGAGGGGGGGTATATTGGGAAGGCTATAGACAGCTTTGGGACTTGGAGATTCTTGGTAATACCTCTCATACAGCAACTCGATGGTAATTCTGGAGCCATCTTTTTTTTTGTTTAGATACTTTGAATACTAAAGTTTACGTTCTATAGATTTACCTAGTGAGCTTTGGAGATAGTTTTGATGTTTAAGGTATGTGGTATTTCTGCGATTGGAATGGAAGCGCCTGTGAAAGGAACCCCGCTATCCGAAATCAGCAGCTGAAAGGCTTCTCATCCCGCGTGCATGCGATCCCGAAAGGATTTGAACTGTTCAAGAAAAAAAAAGTCCTCGTCCGAGGTAAGTACAATACATGCGCATTCAGGAAAATCACCTGAAATCGCCCATCCTCCCATCCAGGGCTGCCTGGGTTCCTGTTTTTTTGTGGCGCTCGTATACCAGATACCATATCGAGTCTGGACCTGGTTTTTCCCAAGATCGGCTTGAATCATGAAACGCTCGGACGGGTCTAACTTAGGACGTCTAGGATCCCTCGATAACCTGGTAACTATCCGGACCATGCATGTCCAAAAGACCGGATCGTTTGTGTTTTTTTTTTTTAGGTACAGGTACATGTTGAGGTACAAGTACAAGTGCAAGCAAGAACTGTGATGTCGGACATAACGGATTCGACAAGGTTATATCTCTTGCCAAGACCCATCAGGTCAACGCGAAGCCGCATCCGTTACCGTGTCCACAGCGAGACGAGGGCGCCGTGTTATATCCCACTCCGAAATTTAAAAAAACTTACCAACAACATCCCCTTTGCGCCTTGGATTACCTACTTGAATTGAAAAGAGATATTAAAAAAAGGGAATTGATAGTAGAGACAGGGTGTGTTTGACGACAATGGCGCTATTCCAACTACTCAATCGCCGCGTGATACGCGCATTTTGGCTTTTACTGGCCCTGGGGACGGTTTATACGGTATCGGCGTATAAGCAGGAATGGTTGGATAACCCGAGGGAGCTATCGCTACAGGAGATTGATGACCAATTACAGGTATTATAATATTTATTTTTCTCTTCTTGTGTATGATTGTAATAGTTTGTTCGCGTGGAGTATGAAAGGTTAACGAAATTTTTCTAATATATTTTTTATCTTATATTATTTTTTTATATATGTATAGACATGCGAAGTAGTCCAAGAACTCAACTTCCGTAAGGTACAAGGTGCGCCGACGCACGAGAGTTGGACTAAGCAATTGTTTGCGATATTGTTCCCCGGATCGCCTGCTGTCAATGCTTTACTTGCTACCGCTTATATCTCTGGACCTCCGAGTATGTGATTATCGATATATCGTTTTGGATTGATATAAAAAGGATGAATAAGAATCTGAAAGAATGTGTTTGACTGACTAGTTTGGATGACGAAATAGACTTTATTCTAGCACTCGTTCCCGCTAATATCGATCCCGCGAGTTTGACGGTTATGGTGGCCTTTGCGGTCGGTGGTCTTCTTGGAGATGTCTTCTTCCACTTGATGCCTCAGACGTTTATGGGCGAAGTCCATGAGGAGCGTGTCCGCTTTGTTATGGTTGAGGAGAAGCGAAATACTCTGTTGGGATTAGCTATCATGGTTGGGTTCGTGGCTTTTATTGTTCTGGATAAGGGTATGCGAATTGCTGCCGGTGGTGGGGATGGTCATTCGCATTCTCATGGTCACGATCACGGCCATACGGAGGGTACATCGACTGCATTGGCTGAAAAGTCTGGAGAATTGAGGCAGAGGAAAGGAAGGGATGAGAAGGGAGATTCTGCGGTTGCGAAGACTGAAGAGAAGACTCCGGGGATGTCGATTAAGGTTTCTTCGTACCTTAATATGGCGTAAGTAGATTTTTATACTAAGGGATCGATATTCGGAGTTTCTTTTGCTAATATATTGGTTCTTTTGATAGTGCCGATGTAGGTTACGGGATGAATGGTCTATTAGGTCTGGAAATTTAGGCGCTAACTTATTCGAATAGTTTTCCCATAATATCACCGACGGTTTGGCTATTGCGGCTTCTTTCTATGCCGGACCGACTATTGGTGCCACCACCACTGTCGCCGTGTTCTTCCACGAGGTAATATCGCATTCAGATGTGTAAATTTGGGGATATGTATTAACAAAGTCACAGATTCCACACGAAGTTGGCGATTTCGCCTTGTTGATCCAGGGAGGTTTCACGAAGGGACAGGCCATTGCAGCACAATTTGTCGCAGCGGTATGCATCATCCCTTCCCTCTAAACTTTACGATATATTTATTTATTTATTTCTAACATGGTTTTATAGATCGGCGCATTCTTGGGAACATTCATTGGTATCTGGATTCAGGAGTACAGCGCACCATCCAGCGACGCTGGGAGTGCTGAAGGAGCCGCTGGCCTCTTCGGAACCTCTGCTACTCTTGGTGACCTGGTCCTTCCGTTCACTGCCGGTAAGATTTATAATAAATACCCCTATATCAACACTACCATGTGTTATTTAAAAAATAAATAAAATGCTGACAAAAAAAATGCAGGTGGTTTCTTGTATATTGCTACCGTCGGTGTGATCCCAGAGCTTTTGGAAACCGGACCGAATAGGGGACTCGAGTTGAAGAAATCGTTAGTGCAGGCGCTGGCGATGGCTGCCGGTGCCGGCATCATGTTGGCGATTTCTTGGGCTGAGGCTTAAGCGTACGTAATGTAATACCATACCAAAGGACATATACAGCAGTTGAGTGAGAGGTTTAGAGGTGGAAAGGTTACGGTGGAAAGGTGGACTGACGACTCGAGGAGCATGATATTATAAATAAAAGCTGTTGATTTCCAAAAATCTTGACATTTTTTCGGTGTGTGGATGTATGTAGACTGAGTTACAGCTTGCAACTTTTGTCTTACATATCGCGATATCGGGTGTGATTAGCAAAAAAGCGAGCAGGTTCAGGCTATTAATTGTTAAGCGTGTGCAGCAGCAATTGGATTGTTCATTAGCGCACGATAAGGGAACGGACCAATTACTAGGTATATAGATTGCACCATTTTCCCAGAAACTCCCGTCCGCTGGTCCGTTTCACTCTATCATTATTCATCTTATTCGATTTGATCCATTGTTATCGTAGCTACTATATAGACGACTTTAATTTTTATTTAAAATTTCCAATATGGTTTGTTTGACCGACCACCCCTTGTATTTGCAGGTGTTTGCTCGAGTCTGCATCCTGCATGTTCGGTGGATATTCGTAACGGCGATATTAAGAGCCTTCTCATTTTCTAATAGGTCCACGCGGATGCAACACACTTTGGCGCCAACGTCAGCAAGCAAGATGCCTACGAGCAAGTTATTGAACAGTTACAGAGTCTAATGGATGGACAGAAGAACTGGGTATGTCCTTGTCGATTAACATTGATAACTTCTTCAAGATATTATCTATACTTGAATCACGTGTTTCATAAGAGCTGATGTCGACCCACCCCTTTCGTTTGGAAAATTGGTGAATGGGTTTAAAGATCTGGTAAGTTTAAGCTTGCCGAAGCTTACTCTCAAGATGAAACGGGGCTGCTCCTGCTGGTGATAAGCTGGAAGGCTAAAACTTGTTTAAACAGTAACCTAGCGAACGCCGCGAGTTTACTTTGGCACGGCTTGAAGGCTTTGCCGGAACCTTCGAATAGAGTCAATTGGGCGGGTCAGTTCCTTTTGCTCCTTTATTGTGCATGTCGGTTTAAAGTTCGGGAGAGAAAGCTGACTTTTGGGGGGGATCCACTTAGGGTTTTATGTTCGAGATGGGCCGGATAACTTGATTCTGGGACCGTTCCAAGGAAGGGTTAGTAGATGCTAAATTGTGGCTTTATTTCCTTTTTGATATTGCACAAGTTCGACAACCTGTTCAATAGGTTGTTGGAGATTGTTGTCTCTTTGCTGAATAGCTCTTCATGAGGAATAGGTAGCTTGTCAAACGATATCCTTTTCACGGGGTAAGTTCATTTTTAGAACTAAAAAAAAACCAAGAAAAACTTAGTCGTTGATGTTCCCCCGGATTTGCAATATTTTGAATTCGAAGCTAACCATAACATCTTTGGGGAGGGAAAAGGGGTCTGCGGAAGAGCGGCAAGGACGGCAGAAACGCAGATCGTGGACGACGTGCACAGTGATGTTAGCCACGTTGCCTGTGATAGCAGCACGAAAAGTGAAATTGTGGTTCCGATATTATTCAATGGTGAGGTAAGTTCATTTTACATTTTACATATTGACAGGAGCAAGAAACGGGAAAGACAAGTCTGGTTCCTGCAGGTGGATGCATTTATTGATTGGACAGAGGCTGCCACGTTTTTTTCTTCCATCTTGTCAACCTTCGGACGCTTGGGAAAACTTCCTTTGCCGGTGGGGAATTTCCTGGTCGTACAGGGATGGCAGTTCTTTTTTTGCTCTTTATCTTTCATGAGCTCTGCCGCACAGATGGCAGAGATGCAATAATACCTTATATCAAAGTTCTTGCGAGAAGAAAGAGGAAAAGGAGGCTAATCAGTGGCAATTGAAACCAAACAATGATTATAGGTTGTGGGTGTTATCGATATTGATTGTGAAGAAGAGAAGGTATGCCTCAGATTGTCTAATTTTTGCTTGGTGCCACAACACCCTTCCATTCCTTCAAGAATCTGACATGGCTTGTGTCCTCCTGTCTTTTAGGGTTTCACAGGAGAGGATCGGGAGGCTTTGGAAAGGATTGCAATGCTTCTGGCCGCGGGCTGTGACTGGACATCTTTGAAGACAAAGTAGACAATTGGAAATCTTCCCGCAGACATCATATTATTGAGTTTAACGATATGGAGGAATTGGAGTTGATTGCAATTGTGTGTAGATAGAGACTTGCCAATGGCAGCCTAGTCTGGTGAGACTCGAGACATCTTTGGATTTGGCGGGAGAAACCCAGAAAATGCAGGTTTCACGGTGCACGATAGTGGGTCGACGTCCAGGGCTATCCCAAAGGAGCCTTAGTATGATGCAGCCCATCGCCCCTGTTTAATAGATGTGGTCGCGCCGTCGCTCGGCTCATGAAGTTTTTTCCGGCGGCGATTCCAGGGCGCACACACACACATAGCACGGCACTAGTTGGTAGTAGTTAGTCCGAGTCAAACTCAGGTCATAGCATTTTGGGAACGAAGCGAGGAAATTTCGATGTTTTGTGAATTCTGACCTGGTGGGTAGGGGAAATACATATTTTATTTTGAGGAAAGAAAAGAAAAAGGGCAGGCATCCAGCCTGTTCGATGAGATTATGGTCACTAAAAACAAACACGTTTTCCAAGCATCATTTCCGCTTGGACCCACCAAGACACGTGAAGCTGGAGGCAATGCGAAACATTTTGATGTCGCTGGTGAGTATCAAGACTGGGAAGTCGCTTGTCGATGATGGGATGGGGGGATCGAGAGAAGGGGTCGAGCGAAGAGAGGATCTCTCGGTTAATGGGCTTTTTGAAGCCACTCGGCTGAGAGTCCGGCACTGCACTGACATTGCATAGATCCGGGTCCACAAGTAGGCAGGAAATCGAGGAGCTATAAAAAGATTATTTGAAGGAGTTCATTTTAATCAATATTCTGTGTAGTATATTATAACCAGATCGCAAGATCATCAGCATGGTGAATAAGTATCTTTACCGTGTAGTCAGTGTAGTAGATACACAGTATATATAGTATGCTATCGCGAACAGGTATTGCACAAGCGACAATGTCTCAATATATTGTATTTTACAAGATTAAAACTTAGATCGATGATGATAGTAATAATGATAGCATCGATAATTACTTAATTAGCTTGATTGATCACGACCAACTAGGTTTTGAATCGTCCATTTCCGAAAATACTTTTTTTTTTTTTTTTTTTTTTTTTCCTAGCTCCACAGCAGAGATTGGGCTCATGTATGTACATGTACCGGTACATTTACGCATACAAGTGACATAATACATGCAGAACAGAACAGAACAGAACAGACGTACATGCGGCGGGGATTTCGTACAGACCGTTGGAAGCGGACAAAAGTTGACGTTTGGATACGGAGGGGTACCGATACCGATACCTTTTTGTTACATCTGACCTGCCTTTGCAGAATCGATCAATGCATACTTACAGTACTTGGTACTTAACTATATTCTGAAGAAGTATGTACCTGTATGTATGGGATCTTGGGAAGACCATCTCGGTTCCCCTTTTTTTTTGTTTTTGAGAATAGTAAGTACCGGCACTGGTAAAATTAGCGTGGAGGTACATGTGCAAAGTCAAGAACCCCTGTCCTGTTCTCGCCTTCTCTTCCCTTCCCTTGAAGAAGTTCTGGGTATTCCAAGTTAGTCTGGGGAATTTCTTTTTCAAACCACCGTTTTACTCCTATTTCCTTTTCTTTTCTTTCCCTCCTTCTCTTCTCCCATCATATTACAGACAGTACATACAAATCATCCTGAAGGTTTTGGTTTGGGCCGATGCCACCACCCCGAAAGAAGATACTTCCTATTCCTGGTTCTGGTTCTGGTTCTGGTTCTGGTTATTAGGTACTAGTTGGTCAAACCCCGTTCCCATCCATCCATCCCATCCCATCGCCTTGACCTGACTTGACTTGACTTGACTTCTTCTTCTTATTCTTCTTCTTCACACTTTCTTCTCCTCTTTTACTCCCTTCTTCTCCCTCTCCTATCCCTATCTATCTATCTAGTCTCGTCTCATCTCATCTCGTCTGTTGGCTGTCCTGTCCTGTTCATTCTTTCGTTGCCATTCGCCAAACGTTCCTTTTCGAATCTCTCTAACTCCAACTCCAACTCGTCGACCCGGCTGATAGTTTTAATTAAATTACCCGTAAACGACGACGATTGAATTATAATATCCTGAACTTGAACATCTTCGATCGCGGAAACAAATCACGTTCCGTTTGATACCGACATTAATACACTCGTATACCTTCTTGGGAACGTCGCATCGTCCACCACCACCACTACATTACACTACTAGGTACGGTAACAGTTTAGATACTATTAGATATCGCCGTCGACGGTGCCCTCGTGTCGCCATTGCATCGCTTGCACTATCTCCTTTCGTGTTTTTTGTGTGTTTCCTTGCATTTCGTATTTCGCATCTGGCTTTTCCCCCCTCCTCCTTCCATCACATCTACATTCACATTCACATTCACGTACATCCACATTGGAGTCCATCTAAACTATCCATTCCCTATTGCCCATCACGAAATAAAACTCTCCTGGATGTGAAAGAGCGAAAGAGAAAAGAAAAAAAAAGGTGCGGTTCTTAGTCTCGATCTTGCACATAATTTCTTCACGGGCGTGTCTGCCTTTGAACCAGCCGAGTCTTCCCCGTTTTCCCTGTTTTGCGCTGGCCCTGGATTGGTTCTGGCGCATTTTCAATTTCATTGCAATTTCTCTTCACATTTCTCCTTCCATTTCCTTGAACACCCCAACCCAACCTAACCCAACACACTCTCACACACCCCCCATCTATTCAAGATCCATACCTTTCCCATACCAGATTATCGCCTCCTTGTCGCCAATCTGTTCCCGCCTCATCATTACCCTCTATAAGCCTCGGCCTGCAAAGAGGGGAGGGAGGAAAGAAAAAAAAAAACACATCTTCATCCCTTTCCCGGGTTGCCGCACCTTCGTCATCATCAGATCACTCGCATCGATTCTACCTGCCTTGTCAAACATCGGCGAGGCTTGCGTTTCCCCAATTCTGACGGACTCGAATCCGTAAGAGCTTGTTCTCAAGGTTGGTGTTTGATTTGTTCCGTCAAGCAGCGGTACAGGATAACCCTTTTACGCGAAACATGACCCACCTTGCTACCCAATCTGTGTCCTCATAGCCTATTTGTCGGAGGGCTGGGAAAGCGTCCGAACAAGGTTGCTAGCAAGACAGCCGGACACGGGCATTCCCAAAGTATCTCCAAAAAGCCTATACTTTCTTACAGCTTTTCCATCGTCATTTTGTCTCTGTCTGTCATCTCGAAAGACGGTTCCTAAAAAAGTCAAAATAACGAAGGAGGCTGTCTTCCGAATCCCCCTCCTCTTTCGATTTCGTTCATCAACTGTTCGGTCGTTTCGTATCACTTCGCTTTCGTGATATCTACGGGCAGATTTTCTGGCTTTTGTGTGTGTACACAGCCGAAGGAATCGTCGGAACTTTTTGCTGTCTTTTTCGTTCCAAGATAATGTAAAAAGCCACCCCATGCGAATTTCGATAAAATTTTTTTTGCATGTTTCGTTCATTAAAGAGCTCATTCACCCTCCGTCGTGGCTTTTTGGACAGACTTGACTCCTAGTGACAGATCATACTGACTCGGGAAATCTAGATATATCATTTGGAATCGCAACATCCTCAACGCGAGCCGTTTCCTTGACTCCGAACGACTTCCAAACTTCCGATACCCTCTGCCGCTGGCATTTTTTTAAACAAACACCTTCAAAATGGGTTGCAGCATGTCCACCGAAGAAAAGGAGGGGAAGCAGAGAAATGAGGAAATCAACGCTCAGTTGCAGAAGGATAAGATGCTTGCACGCAACGAGATCAAAATGTTGCTATTGGGTACGTTCCGGGTTTGAATCCAGCACTATCTTGAAAATATATCGCTAAACTTGGATCCGACTACAGGTGCTGGTGAATCCGGAAAGTCCACAATCTTAAAACAGATGAAGCTTATCCACGAAGGTGGATACAGCAGGGATGAAAAGGAGAGCTTCAAGGAAATCATTTTCTCCAACACCGTTCAATCGATGCGTGTTATCCTCGAAGCTATGGAAACTTTGGAGCTGCCATTGTCCGACTCTCGATCCGAATACCACGTTCAGACCATCTTTATGCAACCTGCTCAGATCGAAGGTGATTCGCTACCAGCTGAAGTTGGCAATGCTATCCGGGCTCTTTGGCAGGATCAAGGTGTCCAGGAGTGTTTCAAGCGATCGCGAGAGTACCAGCTCAATGATTCCGCTAAGTACTACTTTGACTCGGTCGAGCGAATCGCCACACCGGACTACGTTCCCTCCGATCAGGACGTCCTTAGGTCTCGTGTCAAGACCTTGGGTATTACCGAAACTACATTCGTCATTGGGGATTTGACTTACCGTATGTTCGACGTCGGTGGTCAGCGTTCCGAGCGAAAGAAGTGGATCCACTGCTTCGAGAACGTCACAACTATCCTTTTCTTGGTTGCTATCTCCGAATACGATCAGCTTCTTTTCGAAGATGAAACTGTCAACCGTATGCAGGAAGCTCTCACATTGTTCGATTCCATCTGCAACAGCAGGTGGTTCATCAAGACCTCGATCATTTTGTTTTTGAACAAGATTGATAGGTTCAGAGAAAAGCTTCCCGTCTCCCCCATGAAGAACTACTTCCCAGATTTCGAAGGTATGTGTATTACGCTTTTAAAACAAAAAAAAAGAAGCTTGTTCTTTTTAGAATTCCGCTAACTTAAAGTTTGTCTTGGTTATAGGTGGTGATGATTATGCGGCTGCATGTGATTATATCCTGAACAGATTTGTCTCCCTCAACCAGTCAGAAACAAAACAAATCTACACCCACTTTACCTGTGCTACCGATACCACACAAATCAAATTCGTCATGGCAGCAGTCAATGGTGAGTAAACTCAATTCCCATCTATCCAGACTTCGTTAATCTTAACACTAACAAACTTTGCAGATATCATCATCCAAGAGAATCTCAGAAACTGCGGTCTGATATAAACGAAGTTTCCGACCAATGACCAACAATTGCATTTCAACGAGCTTATACCACTTTGGAAGTCTCACCCCTTCGACACGACCGCCTTTTATCCTTTCTCGACCCTCACCCTGCATTGGTCGGTGGCCTCATGTAGAACGACCTCAGTATACATCGTCCGTTTCATCTGACCGGAGTCTAAATCATACGTGCGGGAATCGTGTCTTTCTTTATTTCCTCTTTCGTTTTTTGCTTGCATTTTAATCATGCCAAAAGAATCTTTCTCCTCCTTGTTCGGCAGTTTCTTTCTTTTCCTTTTGTTTTTCTCTTTGCGACGTATGTTAGCGTGGCGGTCAAAGTGGACACCGCAAATATAAGACCTTTAACTCTTAAACCTTTTCTTGGAGCTCCCCTACCCCCTCTCCTCTTGCGCGCTTTTTCCTTTACCTTCGCTCTACCTTTTCTCTTTTCTTCTCTTCTTTCATATACCTTTTTTTCTCAAATTTGTTTTATTCTAATGATCTGAGTTGAATCTGTGGTGTTTCTTTGTTACTCGTCTTTCTGTTTCTTCGCGGTCTTGCCAGTCGGGTTTCCAGCGTCGACGTATATGAAAATTTCCTTTTCCTCTTTCGCCCGCCTCTCACTTCACTCTTCCTACTGGGCCTGGGGAACCAGCAGCCATTACAAGAAATAGTTGTGAAATGTAAAACCTTTACGCTCTATGAATGCGAAAATCGGAAGCTTTCTTCCAGAAGAATAGCCACACCGTCGAACCTACTCTGAGATGTCTCACTTCCTCAGAAATGAAGAATTGTCACTCTTCTTTTATTTGTGTCTTCTTTTCTTCTTTTATCTTTTTTTTTTATTATCTCTCTGCCACCAATGCTATGCTCTTTTTTTTTATACTAATCGACCCTCCCTTGCACCTTTTCTTTACCCTGGTGTGTGTTCATGTATTATAGTTTACTTTTCATTCCGAATACAAGTAATTACTAAAGCTATACGTATTAAATCGTCCGTAGATAATTGCATGCGCAATGGATAACTTGTTTCTTCCCTATTATAAAACTCCACGATGTTATTTGCGAAAGAGCTTCTAGTAATTTTGCTATCCGATCTTCCAAGGAGCGGCCGGACGGAACTTCACATTCTTCCCGAAAAAAAATCACGATAACCAGCACCCAGCCGAGGGATCGATCTAGGGCCGATTATCGACTCATCATCCGATTTTTTTTATCTGGGGTCAGGCTTGGGACTTTCTCTTTCAGTAGAACACCCGGGCCGATACGAAAAAAATGAAAAAAATAAAATATAAAAAAAGATAAAAAAGGTCAGGATAAGTTTGCAAGTTAGCGGAACAGCCGCCATCTCTTCCCGTAAATCACACAAGACCCTGAAGATCGAAGTGAAAGGGTCGATCACATAACCCCCCAGTTTGGGAGGAAGAAGAAGAAGAAGAACATTACACACATCTACGGAGCTCCCTTGGGATCCCTCACTGTTTAAGCGATAAGTTTCATCGAAAACGGATGGATATTCTGGAAACCATTTATCACCAATCGTTTCGACCTTGTGTGGTGGTGGTGGTATACTTGCATTCCCCGGTTATGTTGACAAAAAAAAAAAGTTATATTGGGGTGTGTGGTGATATAAAGTAACAGGAACCCACTATCGGGTTTATCTTGACCCACTGAGCTGCAGCAAGGGTTATTCCGGGATTTTCTTGCGAGATTTTACATCCAGAAAACCTAAGAGGTTTTTGGTCCCTTCGTCGCGCTTGTTTTGAGAGAGATGTGGGTCGTGATGGGTTCGTATGTAAGAAATGGTTTCTGGAACCAAGCTATTTTGGATCCAAAGAAAATTTCCCAAATTTCGAAATTATTCTTTTGATTCCGTTCCTTTCCCAGGGTCCACTTTTGCGGCTGGCGTTGGGTGAGGCGTTTCTGTTTTTCATTCATGTGAAATTTGGTGATAGTATCTTTATTACCGTGAAGGAGACACAAAAGTGGTCTGTAGTTAAAGCCACCTTATAATTTCGTTCCTGACGGGCAATCCCTCACCAATTGAACCTTCAAAATAGCCGTTATATAAAAAGAAAGGGGAAAAACAAAAAGATGACATCTTTACTTCCCACCATGGCCTGTTTTTTTTCGGTTTTCTTTCTCCCCTTCGGCAGGACCCGAGAGGGCGTTTTTGAAGGAACCAGGTTCGAGGTCGTTTCATGATATTCATCTGAACCCTCCGACCCTCCGACCCTCCCTTTCCTTTGTTCGTTCATTCATTCATTCACCCGTTCTTGCGTGTTCACCGGCCCTTCCCCCTGGGGGATGGAAAAATAAAATAAAAATTATGTGAATTTTTCCAGAACGATTTTTCGGGCCCTGCAGCTACTTACATACTTTTTAGCTTTGATGTTTACTAGGATGTGTGGGCGGGCGTCCTTTTTTTCCGGTTCGTGCATGAAACATAAGAGGCGTTTCTTTACAGTTGGGGAAGATTAATGGGGCCATGGGGGGGGGGGACAAAAGCGAGGAGAAGGAGAAAGAGAGAAAAAAGAGAGAGGTGATGATGTGTGCACTGGCTGGCACTGCAACCAAAAACGAGAAATCATGTTGATGCTTGTGCAGAATCACCACCGCCAGCTTTGTTGGCAATCATGTAGATATACTTGTGTCTGTGGAATTGGCTCGGGTTTTGGATTATTATTTGTCAATTCGATTAGACAGAAATCAGATCCTACGCTAGTCTTGCTTCCATCCATCCATCCATCCATTGTATTCATTCCTTCGATATCATACTTTACTTACTACGTACGTACGTATGTACTATGTATGTATGTATGTATGTTACTTACTTACATACATCTTACTAACTATCCGTTTACGTTTCCTGCATACGAATTCGAATCCTCGCGTTCTACTTACTTACTTAGTCTACTTATTTATGTATCAAACACCAAAAGGGTCCCTAATTAACTAACTACTTGTACCTAACCTAGTCTCGGAGTCTAATGGGTTTCGGTCCAACTAGTGAGAACAGCAAGCTATCTCGAAGATATCCGCTAGTATTGCGACATCGCCAGAGCCTTGGAGCTATTCCGCTCGTGGGCTCAGAGGGCTCGAGCTCGAGCAATCGGATCCCACCGCCTACTTGCGGCCTACCCGTCGAACTTCCCTAATCACTCGTCTACAGGGCATGCATTGTCGAGGCTCGTATCCTGCAGTAGCAGCAGCAGCAAGCAAGCAGCAGCAAGCAGCAAGCAGGCGGGCAAGGGTAAGGGTAAGGTCAAGCTCGATGGAGTACGGAGCTTTCATACCTGGCAGAAGAATTCAAGCCACGGCTGGGCGTGTTAGCGGGGTGGGGGAACTCCATAAACTTCAACCAAAACTAGCTGTCGGTTGAAAAGATCCATGCATACATATGGGGCATGCTGCATAGCCTGACTCTGACATGCGTATTCTCGAAATTGCAGATACTCTCGGTGCAGCTACATAGCTAGCTATCGCCAAAAACAGCATCCCCGACCTGCTACTTGCTTCGATACCCTTGGCCTTGAAACTTCGTCCTCGTCGTTGTCGCCGTCGCCGTGATTCCCTCAGAAGTAGTAAGTATTCAATTCGATCTTCCAACCAACGGGGTCCTTGTTTCCTGCCTCAAAGCTCTTAGGGCCGCCTCCGAGCATGCCGGGGTGTCTACATTACACCTCTGCTGTTTTGCTGCTTTCTGCCAGTTGGCTGGCTCCATGTTCCTTGTTCATACACACATGCCAATCTACGGAAAAATTGGAGAGCTCGAACGAAGCGGACGGGATTAAGAAAGAAGACTATTAATTACTGCTGAATGCCACATCGTCTCAGAACATCCCATCCACCGAGTCCATTACTATGTATACTTCTTTCCCCCCCTCCCATTGAATTTCGCATTATATTATTAGCTTCCGTAAGCTTTCTTCTTCCTCTGTTCCTTTCTTCTTTCAGGTTTGATCCGTCTTTTCTGAATTGGTGTCAGATTTCACCTTTTGCCAAATAACGGGTAAGTGGGGATCAATTCAACAGCGTTCCTTTTTTTATTATTTCGTTTTCATTTTTCTTGATTGCATTGCGTATAGCCCGTTCTTTCCCAGGTACCAGACTTCCTTTGCAATTGTGTATATATATTCCAAGGCGGGTCCCGGTGGGCTTTCTGTTTGGCCTTCCCTGATATCTTGTTCCCTCTTTTTTTCTTTTCCTCTTCCACTTTCCCTTATCATCATCGTATCCGTCGACGATATAATTATATAATACAAGGCTGGCGTCGTTACATTCGCCTTTCGACTCTGTTCTGCCTTCTGATTCGATTCCGTTAATTTTCATATGCACTGACTGGTTTAGTTAGTGCCGCTTCTTTCCCTTAAGCTTAGTTAGCTTAAAAAAAAAAAAAAGCCGCTCCCCCCACTGGCTTCTGGATTCTGTTCTTTGCCCGCCGTATCAGACAGCCCAGACTGCACTCCACCGCGCTATCAAGACACACACACACACACACACAAGAAAAGACTCTCCTTCCTTCCGACAGCTAGCCCTTCCCTCCTGCCATTTGATAATTATATTTATCTCGGGTGCCCCCAAAAAGAACCAACAAGAGGAAAAAGCGAGAGAGAGAGAGAGAGTCGTCTGTTTTAAATAGAGAGAGAGAGACAAGAGATAGAAGAGAGAAAACAGAAGGAGATTCGAACCAAGCCAGGCTGCCAATCAGATATTTTACCGAGGAACAACCGCACTGTTCTGCACTGCACCGCATTGCACTGCTCTCCCATCTTCCCGAGAAACTTTAAAGCCCCGTTCCCAAAAGGCACCTTCCCACGGCCCGGCATCTCCATCATCTCTATCAAACCCTCTCACCTGCGACTCTCGTTTCTTTCTTTTTTTATTTTATTTTATTTTTTTTAAAAAAAAATATCTGTTGTCACTTTCCTTCTCACTTGTCTCAATTCTTTGTCGCCGGGTTTTTTCTCTTCTATTTTATTTTCTCTATTCAGAGAAAGATTTCTAGAGGATCTTCGTAGGGACTTAATTTCCTGACACGAGAAGCAGAAGCAGAGGAACACCCCTCAGTATACACCCATCCCTACGTTATCAACTCAACCGACGACCTCCAACTTCCACTCTCACCACCACCACTACCACCACCAAAATCAACCACACTACAGAGGAGAAGGGAGAAAGAAAGAAAAAAAATCTACACAACCGACACAATGTCTTCGCATCTATCACCATTCGGTGGTAAAAACCCTGACGACCTCCTCGCCCCATCCCCAACTCCGACCCACACCGCCGATCACCATGCAGCAACCGCCGCTAGAGATCCGACCAAGAAGCACGAGCCAAGTTCTTCGTATCTGAAAGATCTAAATCTAGTTGCTGAAGCTGCAAGACGGGCACAGAATGCTCTGCTAGCTAGGGATTTTGAGAATTGTTCTATGTAAGTTGTCTATTTTGTTCGTCTAGGATACAAAAAAGAAGAAGAAGAGGGAGAGCGAAGGGGATGCATTGGATCTAGAATCCAAAGGGGGAAAAAAAGGAAAAAAAACTAGGAAGAGAAAAAAAAAGTTACTAACATAGCTATTTTGAAACAGAGACAAGCGGTAGACGATGTGAACGACGGATTCTCCCCAAAAAAAGATAAGAGATGAAAAGGGTGTTTTTGAAGAAAAAAAAATCTGTTGAGAAAGGGAAAACATATCAACTTCCGCAGAAGAACGGCATTGCATCGGTTCTCGATTCCTGATACCTCGGTTTATCAATGCATCCTGAACTCGCATCAAAACGCAAAGCCGTTCACACCCGGTACCGAGAGGATTTCAATTTAAAAAACCAATAAAAGATTTAAAAAAAAAATCTATAGAATAAAAATTCACAAGATACACTATTACTACGCTACTACCACTACTACTGCCGCCCACGATACCCCAGACTTTTTTCTTCTCCGCCTTTTTTTTTCTTTTTCTTATTCTTTTTCGGCTCTCGATGGTCCTGGAGCTCTCCTCCTCTACCACCTCCTTCCTCCCTTGGCCTTTTCCCCGCAAAATTCCGAATGGGGGATCTTCATGACCCCCATACCGCTGCTGTACCAGATTCGACGCAGCTTAATAATCGATAAAAACAACCCTCTCCTCAACCTTTTCGATAACTCTCCGCTATATCCCGTTTTTTCTTTTTCTTTTCTATATGCAACGGTTTTGGAGGAAGGAAGGAAGGAAGGAAGGGGTCCTTCCACCTTTTTCGTTTGAAGAGGGGACGGGTAATCCTTTCCTTCCTCTATTCAAGGAAGAAATCAAAAATCTATTACTTCTCCTAGATGGGAAATACATTGGAGGGTGAAATGGGACTTACTTTTCTCCTTTCTATTATTTTCTAACCAAGACATTTTTTTCCTTCTATTTTTCTAACGATTCGTCCATGTTTTGGTGTTCTCTGTTTTTTTTTTGTTTCAACCTTTGTTTGTTCGTTAATGTCATGATATCAGATAGACCGCTCCTCTCTCGTCGAAACTCCTTTTTCAGCCTTGCCATTTTTTTATATTATTTTTTTACTATTGTAATCCGTTGTTTGTTTTTTTCAGCTTCACTGGTCTCTGGAGTTTTATCGTCTGCACCTTTGCTTCTGCTAGCTTCTGCTTTTTGCCTCTCTTCTAAATTTCCCTCTTAGATAGCAGGGACAATAAACATCTTTTTTTTTTTCGTTTTCGGTTTTCTATATTCCAGAATCCTTTAATCTTTGTTATTCTTCTCACTTCTCACTTCTTCTACAACTACTACTCCTATTATGTCGCGGATAGAAATGGGATCCGATTCGTCTTTTTTTATCTGTTAATTATATGATTCAAGTTTACTAGAATGGGGATAATGGTAATGGTCGAAACGAAATATATATCGATATATTATCATAACTATTTTTCTTTCTTAGAATATAAATTATAAACCCGAGTTTATATTTAAAGCCTCTAATCTGCCTTTGTGGTTCCAGCTGGTTTTTCAAGGTACTATATAATTACTTGATTATCTAGTAGAACTAGATTTGGTCTTGAAATTCGATATATATCGTATGTATGTACAACTTCGATATTGATGTACAAGTACTTAAAGTATTTATATGCTTGGCTGAGTCATCGGTCTAGTCTTCGAAGAGCCTCCTTGCATCTTACTTGGGCTAGCTTCTAGGTAGCTCGCGCGATAATAACACACGGTCAACACGATTTATGCTTATACCTCTTTAAATTTACGGATGCTATAGTTTTTTGAAAAAGAAAAAAATCCCTGGTAATTTGTATTTCCCGTTAATAGTAGTATCCATCGATATCCATAGAAAGAAAAGGGAAGAAGAAAAAAAGCACATGATGTATGTGGGTCGTCGATGGGACCGAGCTGGTCTTTCGTACGTTTATGATTGAAGGGGTTTTAGGAATCCCAATTCATCATAACCCAATACTGTGCGAGAGCAATGATATGATGGTCCCGAGTATACAGGATCTTTCAGAAGAAACAGGAATAAGGAAAAAAAAGAAACCCAACTGAAAAGTGCTCCCATTAGCTAAAAGTAAAGTGTAAAATAGAAAGAAGGGGGGGGGTAAAAGGCTAGAATAAAGGGTAGGTAGCAAAGGGTTAGTAGAATAGGAGCCCCCCAAAAAAAAAACCCCAAAAAAACAATAGCGGTATGTGGAGCTGGAATTTATATATAGAACATTGTGTGGCTAAGGTCTCGGTGGACTCCATTGCCCCACAGTCGTGAAGCCCTGTCGAATACTTCTTTAGGAGTCTCTTTGGAGCCGTGGGCCGATTCGGTCATTGCATCAGAGGTTGTGTCCATAATAGACTGTAAGTAGATACGGCCTCGATCACAAGCTAGATCTGCCATTTTTGCTAAAAGAAAGTTAGTACAACCTTCCCTTAGAGGCTGGTGTTTTCGATTTGGCAGACTCACCTGGTGGGCAGACGGAAACAGACTTCGTAGCCCGGCAAAACAGGTGCGATAGATTCATTGTCTAAAATTTCAAGAAGGTAAGTTTAAAAGCTGAAAGAGGAATTTGTACTAGAAATGAACTCACCATCCTTTGAAGATCGTCAGCGGAGAAATTGTTCTCGCAGCGGAGCACAAAATAGTGCGCAGGTCGAGCGGTTCCCTGTAGCGCTTTGTGGGCCTGCAAGAAGAAGTCGAAGTTATATACGTCCGTAACACCACGGTCAACCACTGTGCCTGGCAGACAATTCTTTCTGTCGTCTGCAGAATTGTCTTCGGTGGGGTAGAAACGGGTATGGTGTCGTTTCCCCACGACAACCAAGGTGATGGATGGCCTATATTGCGGTTCAAATTCCGCACATGCATCAAGAATCTTCGGAAGCTCTTGGGACAAAACATGGTAGTATTGGCCCTCGGAGACACCATCTCTATAGATGATAATGGTCTTTGGTACGGACCCGACATTCCTTTTGAACAAAGACAGCCGCTCGGCGAACATCTCCTTCAGCTCACCGATCATTTCGTTTTTCTCCTGGATTCTTAACGATCCAGGGTAGTTCATGAAACTGCTGTCACAACTCGCAACGACGGCCGCCATCGAAGGTGCACCTTGGGCACTTGAAGGAGATGGGTGCGTGACGTCCATCCCGACAAGCATTGCCGGCTGGGGGAAGTTTCACATTAGCGTCCGCTCTAACGACCAGGTTCTTTCTAGGCACTTATTCATTTAGTTCTGCTTACCAGTTCACCGTTCCAGAGCCACTTCAAAGCATCCCTTGGGAGCACATGGTTGGTACCTCCTAAACGGGTGTTGACCTTTAACAATACGTTTGCCCAATACTGTTTATTTCCCTGACGGTCGATGCCTCTAGATGCTTTGCTAAACAAAACAACCACCGTGGGGATACCTAGTAAGTAAGAATCAAAATCAAGTCAGAAATCATTTCTTTATCTCGTATGGATGCTAATACTTACCAGCTTTTAAGTCCCCTAGATACTTTACGCGCTGAAACAGGTCTTTGATTTCATCGGGGAGGATCACTAGCATCAAATTTGGTTTAGTAACCGAGTACCTCCTAAAAAGAGGTTCGATATCGGTGCCAGATCCGTTGACATCAACCCTCTCCTCCCGGCAAGCCAGAGCATCAGATTTGCTGTGGTCGATTCCAACGTCCTCGCACGTTTCTCGAAACTGCGAGATCAACCGAGCAATGTTCTCGGGTGTGTAGGCTCTATCCCGAGTGCGAGTGAAGGAAACAACGAGAAGACGCTTCAGTTCACACCCCTTGTAGAACCTTTGAGCTCTTAGGTTCCATTGTCCCTTCCCCATCTCGACCTCCGTGGTTCTCTTGGAGTATTGAATCATTGGGGTCGGAAGGATGCGAGCAGGAACAACAACCATGTTCTCGTTGATTTTCACGCCAAACTTGTACTATCGACGAGGTTAGTCAAATCCACCTTTCTAAAATTAGCTACTACTAAAGAACCTACAGGGATTGAAGCTGTATCATTATTTAACCCCAGAGTCTTCAAGCCAGTCTCTGTAATGATTTTCGCATTCGAACTCGGATCACGACTATGGAGCATAACAAAGGCGTTAGATTTTGACGACCAGGAATTCCTCGAAACAGTACCTACCAAGCAAATCGAATCATGTTCGAGGTCTGATTTTCAGATATCCTACCACGATAAAGTTGGCCTGGCGTGATGGTGCACAGCTCCATGGGGATCATGGCGTTTCCTGATTGGAATATCTGGAGTTTTGGGTATCGAAGACCGACATTATACTCTAACACGACTGTTAGCTTACAATCAAGATTTGGGGGCTTAGGTTAGTACTCACTCTTTTTGAAATATTGATGGACGCTGATTTGACCATACTCGTTGGATGAAAAGGTAGCCTCGTCCGCGTTCTGATGAGATACTTGTCCAATGACCCAAGGTTTGGAACCCAAGTGACGAAGGGTCACTCTGACACGACGAAGGAAGCTAGAAAGTCGTTTCCTTTCCATGTCACGAAGAGGCTGATTCGTGATGTTTCGGCCGCAAAAGAGTCCGATGGCATCGGTCATGGGCATATCCTTATAGAAAGGAGAGGCTATAACATTGATGTTGCATAAGACCCTTCCAAAGCTAGGACGAACACTTTTGTAGAACCCTTGGATAGCTTCAAGCCCACCTCCGAGGTCTGCAGCAATACCACCATTGGAGGGCAACTGGAAGAACTTGTTCCTTCCAGCGCCGGCTGTACGAGCATTCATCTCAGGGCCCCGGTTAAGAACGATGTTGAGGATTTGTATGAGATCCTTAGAGATATCATCGTCCTCCTCATGTCCCGGATCTCGGTGCCTGCTTTGGCCCATAATGTACTTTTCAGTAAGATCTGATGCCGAGAGCGACCCCTGAGCTCGGATCTGAACACCAAACTCCTTGGACTTTGGATGCGGACCAGGAGGAACATCATCTTTCCACCATAGTTTGACTAGGAATTTCTTGCCCTCACCAAGGCCGAGCTTTTCCAAGGGTAGCTCTTGAGCTGCGAAGCAGAGATTTCCACCGTCAGTGACAACCTCACTGCTGAACTCACGAAGACCCTCCTCGATGAAGAGGTCGATAATGCGGCGCCTTGTTGAGCGCTTTTCCTCATCTGGTGTGAGCTTTATTTGGTATCGGTAATACCTTTGTCCAGTTTTGAACATCAAAGGGAAATAGTTCGCACGGACGAAGGTTTTTTCACCGGCGGTACCAAAGCCACGACGGGGTGGAAAATTGGACTGGTGCATGGAAGCCGGGAATGCTTTCGCTTGTGTAAGTATATCCCCTTCGACCTTTGTCGCACAAGGGTCCGGTTGGGTTGGAGCTCCAGTTGGCCTGAAGATTTGGAAGCCGCCTTGGTCACCATCGCCTCGGCCACCACCTCCTCGACCACCACCTCCTCGGCCACCACCTCCTCGGCCGCCGCCACCTCGGCCACCACCGCCTTGGTAGCCGCCGCGGGATGACATTTTTACGGATTGTTGGAGTGGTGGACAACTGGTTTCAACGCCTGGAATTTGAGTCAGAAAAGGCCCTAAATGATCGAGAATGAAGGGACGCTCCGGGGCGGTGGGGTATATTGGGGTTGTGGGTTTGGAGCAATGGAAATTTGGAGAAGAGGAGAGAAGGGGAGGTCAACGGTATGCACCTTGATGCAACTTCCGAGAAAGAGAGCACAGGGGTCAACTGGGTTAGAGTGAAGAAGGAAGGATACTGTGAAGTCATCCCAGGAAGAGGGCACGATGTGGCATTGAGGGAGCAAATTATCCAACTCCTCTGGAGCCGGAGCTGGAGCTGGGACTACAAGAATAGCAAAAAGGACACTCACTTAAAAGGGATACCGGAAGGAAGTGCCGGTATGCAGAAAGCAGATGGGAAGGGAAGAAGAAAGAGGTACAAGGAGACACAACGAAAACCGACAAAGGAAGATAAGAAATTAAGAAACGGTCTCAATAAAGTGAAGAAACTTGGAGGATGAGATAAAAGGAAGATGGAGAGGGGAAGGAGAAGAATGAAAGGAAGCTGAGGAGGGGGGGTTAATTTATAGGCGTGTTTACGGGTCAGGGAAAACATTGGAATAAAAACGACATCATTTGGACGCCCGAAGAACGGTTGAGGGCAGTGCCCTGTGTCTACGGCTGCGTAACTATTCTGATGGACAGAGATTAACGCTTTGCGTGAGAATTTCCCGGGACATCCTACACAGTGCAGCTCTGGTGTGCAATTAACGGTAGTGTCTGGGGAGGGCAATGCAATGGGGCTCCGCTATGGGGACTAGTGGTGGAGTGCGCTAGCTTTGGAATACATCAAACCCACGTCCCAAAGCTATGGGAATCTCGACAATCGGCATGGAGACATCAGCTCTTTTTCTCATATCGTTATATTCACCAGACTGGATATTATTTCTTCTAAGATCTAATCTGCGTTGGAACGGAAAATACAACAGCGGGTGGATATGCGTGCGCATGTGCATGGCTAAGTACCTATCGCCAGATGGGTATCATTACATTGATGATAGCAGTAGGGCCCAATACTCTACCATTAGCGGGAATTAAACGGGCAAGTCGGCTCTTGAATATCACTCGTTGGTCTCTATATTCTTAATAATCCAATCCTTGTCTATTAACTAGCAGAAGTCTATCGTTTATAGAAGCAAAGTTAAACGTTTCTGAAACATTGTCACATATATTCCCAAACTCCGTGTTTATAACGTTTACGACATATCCATGCGGAAAACTTTCACTCCTTCATTTTTCGTCGTTCCCTTTCCATACCAAATTTGACAGCCTCCAAGACATTCTTGACGGTCTTCTTCGGCTTATACCTAGGCTCGGTTCCCGGTTCATATACTCCCGTTTCTACCAGGATACTATACCAATCGGATTCGGAGTGCTCATCGTACTCATTCGACCCTCTGATATCAGATTCCGGCGTATCTCCGACGAAATATACGGTTCTGGGCGGTGTGGGATCGTTAAACAAGTCGTTACGCCATTGCTGTAATACTCTTGTGGCATAATCAAAAGTGGCCTTGCTCGGTTTGCCGTATGTTGTGACATCAATAGTTTTCCCTGTTGAAGCTTTGTATAGGGCTTCAATCATGATTCTATATAAAGACCGAGGCTATTAGCTTCTATAGTACAGAGGAGCTAGGTACTATTAAATACTCGGAAAACTTTACGAACCTTAGTGCACCCATTCCATATCTTGTGAGATCGTATGCAGTTGACCAAACCACGTCGTTATGGGCGAAGAATATTGGCGGACCTTCTGTATGGGATTCGGAAACTGTTCCCATTCTTCCATCCTGCATCCCGAAAGGAATTGAGTTAGCATTTATATTTTCTGGTGGTTTAAGCCGATATAGATGGAAAGTTTCACCCTACCTTTGACATGAGTAATTCTAGTATGATCTGGGCATCAGAAGCCCAATCCCTACTATCTGCAAACACAAAAATCGCCTCAATATTGACATTTGTGAAATCTCTCTCCTTGGAATTTGCATATTCCTCCTCTGTTAATTTTCTAAACGGACACACCGAAGGTTTCCATTTAATGAGGTCACCGGGAGTAACAACGTCTCTGAAACCACTAATCAAGTAGGAACGTTAGCCGCTATTCTCCAACGAGCTATCAAGGGAAAATCATATTGTTTCTTACTAGTTCTCGGCAACATGTCTACACTTCTCACCCTCCCCTCCAACGACAAGAACAGTATGGTATTGTGTAGCCATCTCACTCATAGGTGTATGGCCACAGATAAACTGTTCCGGGGAGACGGCAACATCCAGCTGTCTGCTCAGATCAAGACATCTTTCCGCCTCAGTTTTCCCACCACCTATAAGAACAATTAGCATTATTTAGAGTAAAAACGATGTTTAAAGGCCAACCCTACCGTTTGTTAGAAAGATATAAGGAACTTTAACTCCCTCCTCATTATCTCCATTAAGTATCCTTAATGCTTCCTTCGCCTCAGGAATCACGTTCCCACCTCGCAAGAACACTCCATCCAAATCAAATCCGAAGACATAATCAGGGACAACATTCGACAATTGCGAGTCTTCACTAACGTCGTCGTCAAACTCAACAGCTGGCTCTTGAGGATCTGGATGTTCAAGATGATCCCTGGCTAATGCGATTGTTTCTGCGATGGTTGTGGACGTAGGAGAGTCTGCTGATGGTGAATCTGGGATGATTACTGTGGGTCCGTGTGATAGATCTTTCTTTGTAGCGTCGACAATGGAAAGACGACGGGCATGATGGGCATTTGAGCCGTTGGTTGAGATATGTATAGGGGCTGGCATCATGTAATATAATATTAGAATAAACTATTTATTTTATTATATTGGTCAAGAGGTAAAGATATAAAACGGGGTATATCGAATCTACTCGAGTAAGAATACCAGACATAATATTATTGACAGGATCAGTTAGAATATATAATCATTGACAGCGTTAGATATAGAACCAATCAGCAAATCTTTTCCATAAAACTCTGCACTCGAATCTACATCCCTGAATCTCGCCATTGACATGTGAATCACATTATTGAAGATTCTCGGAACGCTTATATGCACTCTCTGAAGATCAGTCCAGGTACGGAATCGAAAAATCCTGACATAGGTAGTATGCCCGAACCTTTTAAGATTTTTTTTATAATTATTGTATTGGGATATACAACTTTGAGCGGCTTATGAAACCAAAAACCACCTCCCTACTATCTATCAAACCGATGACGTCTAGTGGGCCGTCTAATGTATGTGACGAAAACAGTTCGGATCCGATATCTCTACCCGGTATACCCTATTGAAGATAATGAAGCTTCAAAGACTAGGGTCCACATGAGAAGCAAGGGCCCTAGCTAAGATAATGCGGCAATGACATCACTAACCACTACTAGTGCGGCCTCATATTTGAAACATAACCAGCCATCAAGACAATTCCAGGCACGCTTGAAGATTTTTAACATGGATTGGAACACCTCCATCTTTAGCTGTTTTTTAACTCGTTGGGAAGCCCCCCAAAAAAACCCGCCCAAATTCTGCGTTGTCGCTGATGTTTCGGCCAGATCACCACCCACAGCTTATTATCTTCCCAGGATCTTGCTATAACTAAACCATTTCCTTCAAACTTACCCACCCATCGAAGAAAGATGGACCGATAGAAAAAGGAAAAGAAAAAGAAAAACAAGAAAAGATGAGGCTACAACAGAGCTCCTCTCATCCTCCGAATCAGACCTATATCAGCCTTACAAGGTTACTCTCCCGTCTCGAGGAGAAATTTCCCGCAGATGTCTACCATGTTCCGACGTCCAGGCCATCGGCGTTTGAGATGGCCAAGGTTAAAGCTGTACGTCATCTCTTCCTAACTAGCAACTAAAGAAACTTAAAACCTCAAAAACACCTCTCTCGAGGAAGAAGAACATTTATAAAAAAGAAAAGTAAATTTCATAAGAAAAAATTGCTAACTTGCATGGATATTGTGACTATGAAACTTTTAGAATTTAGAATATGCGCACACTCTTCTGCAACAGTTGGAAAATGAAGCCGTGGGACTTAAGAACCTAAGTCAGAGACAAATTGCACTATCAGACTTACAACCTCAGAGGATTAGTGTGAAACGGCTACAGGATGTCATAAACTCTCTAGAACTTCTTGTATGTCTGCGAACATATCCTTGCATGAGTGGGAGCGCAACATGTTGACAATCCACTGATAGGAAGATACAACGGTTATACGTGTCATAGAAGAACCATCAGCTGCTGATGAAGAGGAGGAAAGGACATCGGAGGCCCCAGCTCAGGCAGCTGCGCCTCCGAAACCGACTGTTGTAACCCAGTCAAGTGTAGCACCTCCGGTTCCAACAGCTACCGCTGCACCTTCTAGTATGGCTATCTCCAAGTTCAGAAAAAAGTATCATGACTAATCCATACTCTTTAAAGACGAACCAGCATCAGTTCTACGCAACCGTTTGGGCAAATACTCCGAAAAAGATGAAAAGGCAGAACTAAGTTCTGAAGAACAACTATCTCAGGACCGTCATGAACAAGATGACCTCTCAGAGAGTCTCCTCAAGATGGCAGAGCAACTAAAGGCAAACTCCAGACGCTTTGCAGACGAGTTAGAAGGAGAGAAAGATATCCTTCGCACTGCGGCGGACGGCCTAGATAAGAATACCACTGGACTCCAAGGAGCTGGACTCCGAATGTTGAAGTTGAAACAAGGACAGGACGTTACGTGGTGGTATCAATTGAAAGTATTTGCAGCATTGCTTGGATTGGTAAGTCTTCAAATTACTCCCATAAGCTCTAAACCTCAGATAACTGACATTTAAGTGTAGGCGTTGACGGCAATTATCATATTCTGGTTGCCAAAGTTGAGATGGGGATCTTTCACGTTGTAGATATATTTTTAGTTACTCATGGGAGAAGGGCCGATTTTCGCCAGATACTACCTCGCGGATCGATCATCATATCCCATATTTCGAATTAAATCCACTTTTATTAATCCGATATATATCTAACAAGAACTTCCAATGTATCTCAACAACCACATGAAGAGTATACCGCTTGATATTCATCTAACTTCGTAATGGATATTTCAGAATTCATCCCTAGCGCGGCATCATATCAAGCACAGGCAGCACACCTAATCAGCAAGTTCTTCGAAACCAACGAACTCACTACTCAACAAGAATGCGACGAACATGCATCCAGCATAGCCGACCAAGTCGTCAGCCCTACGACGCTCCAAGGGCAAAAGAGTTACACCGTCGTAGCAGCAGATGAGTCAATGGTGATCCAATTCCGCCCACCGGATTGTCCTCTAGAAGTCCCTGATATGGATATGGGTCGAATGACATACGGTCGAAGATTTGTGCCTGCATGTGTATTCCGCGAATCATGGCGTGGGTTGTTCGTATATGTGATGGACGCAATCCAAGGTGAAGCCTTTGCAATAGTCAGGCAGGATTTGTATACCAAGGAGAATAAGCATATTTTATCCTCCACTATGTCTGATTATTTTGCGTCAGTCTCAGTCTCCCTCCCTCCCCCTAGAGAAAAGCTCATGAGATATGAGTGGTCTCCATACTGATCTTCCTTTTTTTCTTCTCTTTTTATTGTTTGAAATATTAGTTTCTTCGCCGTATCCTGGACAAACCGACCTGCAACTCCTCCAGACGTCGACATCAGGCAAATCTACCAAGAATACGACTCCCGTCTCTCAGCACTCAGTGATACTGTGCCGCCGAAATTCTACTCAAAGCTTAACACCGCACGAAACCAGCTCTGGAGAATCTTTGACCCATCCCACCCCATTGTCTTTAACCACGGTAACCTCACAGACACTAACGTACACGTGGACAAGACAACCGGCCGCATAACCGGTGTTATAGATTGGTCTGGATCCCGCCTAGGTCCCTTTGGAACATCACTTTACGGAGTAGATATAGCGTTGGGGATCCAATCCATGAACGAATGGCATTGGCATCCGAACCATGTTGAACTTCGAAAACAGTTCTGGGAGACTTTGTCGAATATTGTAGGACCTTTGGGTGATGATCAGATATCGACGATGAAGATTGCTAGGTCGGTGGGGCTTTTTCTGACGTTTGGGTATTGTAATGGTGTTCCGGTTGAAGATGATGATTCGAGATTAGTATACCTTGATGCATTTTTGGGTGTAGAGTAGCATGGAATGAAGCTTTAATGTTCTTTTATCATCGCGTCGAAGTCGGAAGGTGTATGTGAACGCGAACATGAGGTCGTATGTATGCTTAACCTTGCAATTAACTTAAATGATCAAAGGTAGCTAGCGAACCCAAGTGAACGGATTGGTTCCTGCATGCCGCGCCCAAGCGAACTGAAGCCAGTCAGCAAGGGGCAAAAAGGAAATCCGGGGGGAAACACTGCATTATCCAACCAGATCGATCTAGATTTCGATCATGTAATAAATCCCCATTCCTGACCTTTGCCTCCACCCCCCGAGATAGTCTTAAAAACTATATATGCTTCAGATCAGGAGCATAAACACCATATTCATCTACTCATCATCATCATCCATCACGACCCCGTTACGAACCTTAATACTACCCCGTTCAAGCATTCCTGCTTTATCCGTTGAAATCACCAAAATGCGTTCCGCGAAAACACAGGCCGCGCAGAAGATCCGGTCGTTCGCAAACACCACACCTACAACGCGCCGGACGAGGACTTCAACTGGTACTACTTCTACAACTACTACTACGATAGTATCAAAATTACCTTCATCGCAGAAATCAAAGCCAAAAAAGGTGGTGGCAGAGGCAGAGGAACAAGAAGGTGAAGATGATAATGATATCTCAGATTCCGAGTTATCATCCGCACCGTCGGATCTTGAATCTGCATATTCCGAGTCTCAGAGAGCTTCTAGTGCTGATGACGATGAGGAATATACAACATCTCCATACTTCAATTCTTCGTCCTCCTTAGCACAACCATCCAAAAAGCGAAAACATAACAATAACAGTAACAACATCAGGATAAAAACCGAAGACGATGATGCTATCAAAAAGGAAGAAGAAGATGATGATGATTATGAAGGAGAAGAAGAGGAGGAGGAAAAGAAGCCAAAGCCAAAATCAACATCAAAGCCAAAACCAAAATCAACCCCCAAAACCGTAAAGATCAAAAAGGAAAAAGGAAAATACGTAGACGTTCACTACGACCCTCCAGAAAACTGGCGAGAAATGTACGATTTAATCAAAGAAATGCGTCTACGTATCCCCGCCCCAGTAGACACCGTAGGTTGCGCGCGACTCGCCCAAAAGGATGTCCCACCGAAGGTATGCACATACATCACCACCACCACCAACTACCTACCTATCATCTATAGAATAAAATAAAAACCTAACGAAAAAATATAGGTCAAACGCTTCCAGCACTTAATAGCCCTAATGATGTCCTCCCAAACCAAGGACCAAGTAACCGGTGAAGCCATGCGACGTTTACAAACAGAACTTCCCGGCGGCTTAACCCTCGAATCAATCCTTGAAGTCTCACCTGCCCGATTGAACGAATTAATTGGTCAAGTAGGCTTTCATAATCGAAAAACGGAGTATATAAAAAAGGCTGCTGTGGTATTACGTGATAAATTCGATGGTGATATCCCTACTGAGGTTGAGGATATGATGTACGCCCCCTCCCTTAACCCATCATAAAATTCTTGAAACAACTTATATGTTACTAACAAATACACCCACCCACCCAGGTCATTGGACGGCGTCGGTCCTAAAATGAGTTACCTCCTAGAACAATGCGCCTGGGATAAATCCACAGGTATAGGCGTAGACGTCCACGTCCACCGTATCGCAAATATGTTCAAATGGGTTCCACAATCTTCGGAACCGGAGGTAACACGCGTATACCTACAATCATGGCTACCTAAGGAACTATGGCGGGAAATAAACTGGCTGCTCGTCGGCTTCGGACAATCCGTGTGTTTGCCTAGAGGTCGACGTTGTGATCTTTGTACTTTGGGACCGAAATCCACGGGTGGGAATGGGATGTGCAAGGCTAGCATTGTGGTTAAGAATAAAGCACCTACGACGCCGAAGAAGATTAAAAGGGAGGTCAAGATCGAGGAGGACGAGGATGGGGTTGTGGTCAAGAAGGAAGAGGAAATGACCGAAGAGAGCAATTGGCAGGTAGCGGATCCGCTAGGAATCGATGCAGACACTGACATCAAAATTAAAAAGGAGGAGATAAAGGAAGAAACCGAGACCTTCCCTAACGAAATACCAGATATAGAGGATATAGTAGGCCGTCCGAGAAGAAACGCGAAGAGAAAGCGATGATTAGCATATAGATTCAAATTTCCTGCCTTAACTCTTGATAAAGGGAGGGGTATTTAATTTCCACGCGCTGCAGGAACACCACATAGAACCATTTTCGCCTTTTATGCGCCAACAGCATATTCAATGAAGAATAGGAACGGGATTATTTCACATGTATATGGATAGATGGATGGATTCGTGAATACATGTAAGATGTTCAAAACCCTAGGCGTGGCCTTCGCCCATATCCTCAGGCGATAAGTAGTCCTTCTGCTCTGCCGCCTTATATTCTGCAATAAGATCCTGAACGACAGCCCTATAAAGAAAAAAAAGAAATATTAGCCCACGAAACCTCTAAAACTGGAGGCAATTAACCCACTTTGACTCGTCAAACTCGTCCAAACTATCTGTGAAAGGCGACACCTTCTTGTACTGTTCCAAGAACGCCCCGCGCTTCCTCAGGACGTTATACTGCTTAAGTAAACGCTCAAACAGCTATATTATTCATTAGTAAACCAAACTTCATCCACATGATTATAAAAAAGGTATACATACTGTAGCAACAGATGTATGATTTGCAAGCATAAGCCCACTAACCCGATGCGACATCGGAATATACGGCGACTTCTTCGTCAAAGCAACTTGAATACTTGCTGGTCCCCACGGAATAAACGTCGCCAACTTTCGTTCACGAATACGGAGCAGCGATTTATGCACCTAATCCCGCCACCCACCGTGAGTCCAACCCCTCAGAAAAGGGGAAAGTAAAAGAAGGGATAGGACATACATCCGTAGGATCCGCCTCTCCCTGGATAATATTCAAGATGGAAATATAACAACTCTGCTTTGTCGGCATAGCGGACACCATTCGATTCTTCGGCTGCAACAATCTCCTCATTACATCCAAAACCGTTGTCTTTCTAACCGTCTTTCCTTGATTAACGCTGTCGCTCGTAAACGGCGTATACGATGTCATAAGGAAATGGCATCGCGGGGTAGGTATTAGCGATGCAATAATGCCAACGAGGTCATTATGCATGTACCCAGGATATCGTAGTGTAGTTGTACTCGCGCACATAACCGTCGATACCAACTGGTTTGTCTGTGTAAGTGATGGTTCTTGAACATGTAGTCTGTCTGCAGCGATCCTAGTTAAAGCACCGTTATCTAGCACGACGACTGAATCGGCGTTTTGGGTTAAACGACGTAAGGCGAGTAAGCTGTTATACGGCTGGACGACAACCTCTCCACCGTTTGCCATATCAGGGAAGACTGAGTATGTCTGTATCAGCTTCTTTGGGAACCTATCGTTTAGCTTTTCCAGTAGGAAAGACCCTAATCCGGACCCAGTACCACCAGCTATCGAGTGTAATAGCATGAAAGCCTATTTTATACCCCCAATATCAGCAAATTATTCCATATCAGGAGCCGGAACCGCCACCATAATTATCATACCTCAAGTGAATCGCTACCATCCGCCTCTCGGTCTAGCATCTCCATAACTTCTTCATACACATTCTCGCCGGCGGTGAACCCTAAAGCCCAGATATTTCCTGCTCCACCTCCGTCCTTCGGTACGTGAAAGTTTTCCGGGTTATAAATGTTCTTGTATGGTCCTGTTTGGATGCCATGAATAACCTATCGCAGTTATTCCCTCTCTTAGCCTCAACCCACTTCCATGGAAAGGTACCCTTCTGAAAACATACCCTAGGCTCCAAATCCAGTAATATAGCTCGGGGAATATATCGTGTATCATCAGACTAGATCAAAAGTCAGTTTACATCCTCAGAAAACCCTTCCCAAATCCGAGCTTTAGATAAGTAAAAAGAAAAGAAGAAAAATACCTGATAAAAGAACACATCTTTCCTATCCCCTCCTTCCGTTGCAAAATCCTCCAAATTCCCGTCCTGACTTATTCCATGTTCCAGACATAGCTGCTGCCAGAACTGACTTCCAACTAGATTAAAATCGCGATAGAGAATTTATTAATTTCTCATTCTTATGGTTTCGGGAGGCTGGGAGGTTGGTTTTTAAAACATACTGCTGTTCCCGCACTGCCCAGCTTGTATTGTGATGATTTCTCTAATCGATAAGGATAACAAAGGTATTAGCGTGCCGTCTGGGGTTTAAGTTCTGCGTGAAGATCTGGAGCTTGTGGGTACCGAGGCATGGTAGTTTAAGTGAGCGACTGATCGCTCGACCCTTGAAGATTGGATTCGTATCGATAGAGCTAGAGTGTATAGATCCGCGGGAATGTTTAGTGAGATAAGAGTAGTATGAGTTGCGATTGTTTGGGGATGGTCTTTTCTCGAGCCGGTGTTTTATAACTTTTATCGCGGTGGATGGTGTTTCTTGGTGTCAAAGTTACGCGGGTCACGGTTCGACGCTGTTGGGTGTTTGTTGATGGCGGTTGGAGCTTTTGCGCTAAACTATTACACACGAATTTCCAAGCCGACAGAGCTGCTTAACTAAGGATTAAGCTTAGGTAAAGTCAATATTTACTAAAGGTACGCACAGTTATCTACGAATCTCAAAAGTATTGTTTTAATGGCCCTCGTAAGAAATTTCATGTATTAAATCGCCAAGGTCCAAGTACCCCCAAGAAAGAACGAAAGAAAAAAAAGGCATGAAAAGGTAGGTACGCTGTATGGATCTATCCGGTCACACAACAGGCTAAGTCGCAGAATCGTAAAAAGAATTGAAAGCGGAGCGCTGGGTCACAAAAATCCGAGATGGAGGTATATCAAGGAGATAGAATGTAGGGAGAGGAAAGAAGGAAAGAGAAAAGAATCGTACAATCAATCGCCAAACATTTCATATCGTTACAGGAGGGATGGCAGAACATATGTTCTTCGTATTTAGATAAAAAGTAAAGGGCATCAGAAAGAGGGAAAGAAATAACGCTGGCATAAAATAAACATGAAAATTCCGAATCAATCATTAATCCCGCACACATTCGTACAATCGCCTTTTTTCGCTTTTAGGAAGTTTTTTATTTTTTTCGATCCCGGTTCGATTACAATATTGAAAGGTTCGAAGGAGGGTTGCAGTCGTGCTAAGCTCGCTAGCAAAATAGGTGGTAACAAGAAGGGCGTTTAGTCTTGATGACCGAAAGTATCTACTTTATGGTCAATTTTAGGTGGGTTCACCAGAGTATCGGCGAGAGAGTAACTTACCAGTGGTAATATGAGTAAGGTGCGACGTACGATGTCGGTTGGAATTGGTGCTCCCGGCATCGTCGTTTGCACGGTAGCTGCGGTGGCTCGCTGCACTAAGGGGCCGAGTATACTTCCTGGACGCAGCACTGGTAGGTCGACTACCCATCATATCCTCGTCTTCTTCGCGTGGAACCTCTCCAAGAAGTTCACGGCTTCTATGGCGCTGCCTTCTTCTTTCTTTCCTAGCTGTTCGCTCGTCCGGTGTCTCGTCCCTCTTATGTCTGGTCTTCTTTTTGCGTTCAGTTACATATGAGAGATCGCCGACCTCGTCGATGGTTGTCGTGGTTTGAACCGTTTGGGCGGTCTGCGGTGGCTGGGGGGTGACTGTGCGATCGTCGAACTCTTGCTGAGGAGAGTAGTAATCATTGATATTGCTGGGGCCAGGTTGTGGGGAATAATGGTCCTGCGAGGACTGGTAGCTCTGGTGCCCTTGCTGCTGATAGTTTTGAGTGTATGAATTCGAGCTTTCACCAGTGTCAGGGAACATTGGTGCCAGGCTCGTAATATTGTTGTAAGATCCACCATGTTGCATGAAACGTTTCAAGGATGTTGTCGACTGTGTAAGCGCCGGCGATTGTGTGTCAATGTGAGTCTCCGCCGCCTGTTCCAATTTGTACCGGCTATGGTGAACAATTGGCTTCGGTTGCTTTATCTCCAAGGACCGGCGATTGGCTTCCAAGCTCGGTTTTTCATAGATAGGCGAAGCGACTTGTCGACTGTGCTGTGGATACGGCGAGTTTTCGGCCGTCCCCATGTGTGGGGTGCCCGCCCAGTCCTCTTCAAACTCGGAGTTTGTTCGTGATTGTTCCATGCTCTCACCCTTCTTCTTGCGAGTGAAAAAACTTTTGAACCCACTAGAGGTGGTGGTTTCTGACCATCTTGAAGCCTTTTGGCCCGATTCTCGCTTCTTTCCCTTGTCAGTATTTGGGCTATCGTTAAATTGAGAACTGTTCTGGGGAACCGGAGGCGAGACGGGTTCGATAGGGGTTTGAATGGTTTGAATGGTCGGGACCGAACGTGCAGGGCCTTGTTCGGGTTGGACATCGCGATACCCCCGAGGCGTCCTCATACCATCATCGTTAGGGGTAACACCACGAGTAATAACGTTGGTCACTTGTTGCAGCGTAACTGGATTAGCAATGCCGTAGTGGTAGTTCAACTCGCCATTGCTATTCATAATGCGCTGACCAATACCAGCAGCCGCACTATAATCAACGGCACCAAGGTTGTTGGCACTAGCATTGTTATAGCTCTGGTGGCTTTGCTGGCTGCGAATGCTTTGGGTATGAACCGGGATTTGAACATGGTCCCCAGCGTGAGACGCAGTGTTTGATTCAGTATACGCATAGGATGCAGCAGCCTTGAGACCCTCGACTTCGCCAAGTAGTTGAACCAACATATCTTCTATTCTCGCTAAGTCACTGCCACTCTTCATGCTGAGCCCTTTCAACGCCTTCCTGAATATATTCGTCTTCTTATGGGCTTCTTCCTTCTCTTCGTCAAAATTCCTAGGGGCCTTGATTTGTCTAGAGATCGGGAGCGGGATAACTGGTCGCGGGGCACCTAGTTTTGCCACTGTCTTTTCAGCGCCTTGGTCAATTTCAAGGACTATTTGGCTGGAGTGGGCGGCAAGCTGCTTCTTGAGGTCGTCAAAGGAATCCCTCATTTCAGCTGCGCTGCGGACCAAGGTCATAAGGATTTCAGTATCACGAGCGTTTCGAGCAGCATCCCGGACAGTAAGCTATAATATGTATTAGCGAAGATATTCCGTAGGAGGCACTATAAAAGTAGTACATACGTGATCCATAAGTGCAACGATATCCTTGGACTGGATACGATCAATACCTCGGCCAAGTGCACTATCATAGAGAGGCGATGGCATCCCATGACTATTGCTACTGCCGGGGCGAGCATGCCCTCTAAACGGTGTGAATTCATCACCGTCTTCGGAAACATCGTCTAGGCCTCCAATTCCAATACCACCAAAGGAGGAGATACCCTTCAAGCCTGTTTGGATCCCGTCGTCAGATTCAGGGCTCAATGGATTAGCAGAATTGTTGTAGCCCTCTCTATCCATTGGGAGGGGCGTAAGCATGTTTTCTCTATCGATAAGAGAGTCCTGGTCAGCGTCGCCGGTGAAGTCGCCCCCCGAGTGGCCTGCCTGCAATGCTCTGTGCCCGAAGTTTGCGTTGTGGCTTCCCGTATGATCATCCTCCGCATATCCCCAATGCTGATCGCCCCCCTCCATGGCGATTTCACGAGAGGTTCGATCGGCACCATATGGATTCGTGGTCATATCGTCAACTCCCGATAGGACCGACATATCGCGGGACATACGGTTGTCAGTATACGGGTTGGTGATGGCATCGTCGTTCGGCATGATTTGAGAGCTGCGGTCAGCACCATATGGGTTCGTTACAACATCGTCCTCATCTCCAAGCTCAGAACGCCCCAGGCCCAGGTCGGATCGAGACTGGTAATGACCATAGGCTGGATCGTCGTAGCCGTACACAGGAGCGGCATTAAACCCCATCCTAGGAGCTTCAGAAAGAACTGTTGATGCGGGGCTCATCGCTCGCTCTTGAGGGAGGAGTGAGGCGTGGGAGTGTTGACCATGAACATCCGATAGGTTGTCATACACAGATGCACGTTGAGATGGTACATCAACTGGGGTATTGCGCATCGAGGCATAAGCTCCGACATCCCTAACGTTTTGTCCAGCAGCAACCCGCTCCGAATGACGAGCCTCGAAACTCCCAGGGATGGAATCTCTATTTTCAGATCTATTTTCAAACTCTTCATCAAAATGGCTTGTTGTATCAGGCGGATCAAGCTGGATTTTATGAACCTCAGTAGTCGAAGAGCCGGTGCCACGGTGACTTGGAACGGAGAGGGCGCTCCCCGCACGCATGTTTGGAACGGTAAGTCCCACATCACTATCTCCGTAGTCCCCATACTGGTAATGGTTCGGGTCATAGCCAACAGCGGAATCGTCCACAACAGAGGTGCCAACAGCAGAATAGCCAACAGCAGACTGGTCCACCACCGATTGATCCACAACAGACTGGTCAGCGTATGACTGGTCAGCATACGACTGGTCGGCATAAGACTGCCCAGCGTACGAGTGGGCTACCACAGATTGGTCGGCCACCGATTGTCCAACGATTGATTGATCCACTTCCGTTCCAGGCTGGGTGGGGGCATCTTTATTCCCTTCAAACCACCAATTCATAGCATCCCCTCTAGGCGAAGCGCCCTTCGGAAGCTCTGACCGGGACTGGACCCCTTTATCACGAGCTTCAATATCATCATGATTGTAATGACTGGACTTGTTAGGATGCCAACTCTGAGCAGTTGATGCTGACGCTACAGATACCTCCGATTTGGCGGCAGCGGCAAACGTATACTTGCGGGGAGATAACGGGGCGACCTGGATAAGGCCTTGGGCGTCAAATTGGCGGCGTATGCTTGCGAAGCTTCTCTTCGGTGTCGGTGCTTCCAGATTGCTAGCTGGCGTTCCCCTTCGGGAGATATTCAAGGGTGCAACAACTTCGGGCATGGAAATTGGAGGGGGGGTATTCCCAGTCGTTGGCATACCACTTCTTTCGGTAGTCGGATACGGCGCGCCTTCAATATCGGCATGCACATTATTTTCATGTTCGCTTCGATTCGAGGATGCCATACTAGGAATTGAGGGCATCCTCAGCTGCTCATGTGCAGAAGGATGCTTGCCAAAAAGACCATCAAGAGGCTCAACCGCGGGCGCACCATCCGCGAGATCAGACCCTGGCGCTGGACCAGGACCAAAGCCAGGACCCCTAGATCTAACAGATTCAGATCTTAGAAGCGCCGAGTTGTCACTTTGAGATAGCACCACTCCATAGCCTGTTGTTCCCATATCTGCATCTGGTTGCAAGACGAGCATGGGGCCTTCGTTTTCAGCTTCCGATTTGCCGGCACTCCGTTTCTTTGCGAATGCCCGGGCAGCCTCAGCGGCAATAGCGGCGGAGGCCGCTTGATCGATGGCAGATGTATTACCTGCCTGGTTGCTGGCCTTCAGGGCTTCAAACTGCGGCAGAATCAATCTTTTTATAGCATCCTCCACCGCCTCCAACAGGACTGGATTCTGCGCCAAATCAGAGGCATTCGATATATTACGAGTACCAGAAACTTTTCTCCGACCCCCATCGCGGGACATGCTTCTGCCATGTCGGTCTCGAGGCGATTTGATCTCCCTAGAACGGGTAGAAGGTTCCCCATTGAATTCCGCCATCTTCTTCTCGAGTCGCCGCCGCTCTCTTCTCTGCTCTTTCGTTAGTCCTTCTCGGTCTCGGTCCAGGCTCTGGCTTCGTTTCCTCGAAAGGTTGCTACTGATGTTGCTACCAAGGTTGCTACCAAGGTTGCTGCCTTCACCGAGCATAAGTTCCCGCTCATTACTCAAACTCCGACTTCTCCTTTGCGACAATGGGTGTAAACCAGAGTCGCCGTCGTCGTATGTTTTTCTCCTTCCCCTGGGGCCAGAATTTGTTCGGTAGTACCTTGGGGAGCCAAGTGGAGAGCCAGGTCCTTCTCTAATAACATCGATTTTCATTGGAGGGTGGACGAGAGATTGCGATTGTTCGGATACCTCTGAAGTGAAATCATCGTCGCCCCGGCTTAAGGTCATGTCGCTGCCACCAGCCTCCGATCGCCTCTTCCGCCTTTCTTTCGCGACTATCAACCTATCTTCATTCCTGGGGTTAGAGAGAGATATTCGCTGAGTGTACGAGGGTGCTCGTTTTGTGACAGGGCGTCCATCGGGTCCCAATTCGATAGCTCGGGCTTGCTGGCTAGCTCTTCGATGCGACGATGGTGTTACTTTAACACGCACGCTTGGTCGGTGAGATGGCGCACTCCCTTGTCCTCTCGCACCTTCGAAATACTCGATAAGCAAACTTGTCTGGGAGTTCTGAGAAACAGCACTGGCAGCATCAGTGTCCACGATTTGCTTTTGATGGTTTTTTTTATTAGTTTCTATGGTGATTGCTCGGCCGTCATCCGGGATGGAATAGGAGGATTTAGTCTGCAAGGAAAGCATTGATTTGTCGCCACCGATGCTACTGGTGCTGACGATCGATGGGTCGGGCCTTTCGAGGCCCATAGCTGTGGTCGGCATGTCGGAGTTCTGTGAGGAGGATAAATGTGATGAATGGGATTAGGAGATGGGAGAAGAGATGTATATCTCAGCGATTCAATGAAGGATCGATGAGCAGAGGCGCAGCTAATGCTGCCTGCTGAAGTGTCGAGACGGATGTGGATGTGTTGTTGGGTGGATGGGGGCCAGCTTCCCCTACCACGACGGCGACGAGTAATTAACTGTTCTTCCCGTCCGGGGCTTGTCGTCGCCACCTTCACTAACGACTGAGTGCTTGGTCAGTTGTCTTCTGTTGCGAATTCGGATATATCTATCCGGGATTAAAAAGACCAACATCACCCTCCCCGAATTGAGCAAAGAAAGGAAAAGCGAAAAAGCGAAAAGGAAAAGCGAAAAACCAAAAGAGTAAAAAGCGAAGGGGAGAGAGTCTTCCGTCTACGACACGCACAGCCTTGGGAGAAAAAAGACCCAAGGTTGACTGGCGGATGGAAGGTGCAGAAGCTGCAGCTGAGACCTTTTTGCCTGTGCTGCTGTGCTGTGCGTGCCCTTGCTTTGGGGATAGGCTTCTCCGCCCTTGCGCGCTGTGCAGCGGGTTTGTCACAGTCTCGTGGGAAGGGCCTAGCTCTGTGGGAGGAGCCGTTATGAGGAAGCCCGTGAATGCGGCATAAAACAGCGACACCTTTTCTTGTGTATGATCCGATGGGGACTTTAGTTGAGGTATGGGGAGAGTTTAGACTATACCTTAAGAAGATGAAGAAGCAATAGGGATGGTCTGTACTATGTATGTCTGCGAGTCGATCGAGGAGAAGGAGGGAAAAGAGAGAGAGTCGCGAGGGATTGAAGGAATGCAAGCAAGCAAGCAAGCAGTTTGAAAAAGACAAACCCCCGCCGCTGTGTGCGATCGAAATCGACTGGTTCAAGGCCGACACTGGACAGCGCAATGCCGACAGGCCTGGGCGGGCGGGTCGGAGCGAGAGGAAGATACTGTATATGAGGGGTGGGTGACTATAAGTTGGTACGCGGTACTCCGTATGTTGAAAGTATCCGCAAGAACTATAGCTAAAGTACCCAGGAAGTAGCTTAGCTTATATTGATAACAAGTACCTTTGAAATGTGCGTATCAAGCAATCTGATGTATTTGGTATTCGATATCTTCCACGAGGCGAGTTGTGGGCGAATGAATAGAACGAGAATAGGTTAAGTTCGTCCAGCTACCAGAGCATGCTAAAGTTTCCCATTCATTCCTTCTTCTCCATTAATCTACCTGTGAGAATACAATCGAGGTCTTGTCGTGTGGAGTTGGGGGGGTGTTATTCTGAAGTATGTACTTATCTACTGCGCTGCACTTAAAATCGGTATGTATCTGCCTGTGCGACAAAATATTACCGTTGCAGCGACAGACGCAGACAAAAATGGGGTTCGGGTTCGGGTTCGGACGAAACTGAAATTTAAAAGAAAAAGAAGATAACAATCCTCCCAATTATCTCATGAGCCTCAATTGAAGAGAATGTTGTCCATATGTATACTCTGCGCTATACCAGGAAGCTGGCGACTGAAGTTTTGAAGAGTCGTCCCCGGTGCTGGTTGCCAGGCCAATGCTTCCCGCCATGCGATTATCGTCAGAACCGAACTGGTCTTGGCCTTTTCTCTCCCCCACCAGCTGCGGGCCTACACAACCTGACCTGACCTGACTTGATCTAACCCAGCCCAGCCTGAGACCTCAGCCTTTCAATTGATCAAGTGGGCAGGCCTTGTTCAAGTTCAGGTTCAAGCGCGAACCGGACCAGCCAATCGAGCTGGTCACAAGGCCATTCCTCTTCGACCGCGCTGCCAACTCATCACCAGCCAAATGTCCCGATTGGTTATATTTACTTAAAGTCTCACACATTGACAATCTATGTCTCTTCGGTTTACATGTACTCTCCACAGCTTAGGTCATGGTGGATCTGATATCTACTTCACGATGGGATCTCAAGTGTTTGTAGCAAAAAAAGAAAGACTAGATGATACCCTGAACTTACAAAAAGTTCAAAGTTTCAATCTTTTCTCTCTCTCTCTTTCATTTGCTTTGAGTGGTGTAAAGTGTAGTGTAGTGTGTAGTCAGCTGAGTTCAACGACCACAACCTTCTTTTTTTCGGTTGAGCCCAAACTCGAAGAACCAACAGTTATAAAAGCCATATTAGATGGTCGCACAGAAAAGGGAAAAAAAAAGACAAATAAGCCGACTTGACGAAAGAAAATAGGTTTCCTAAGCAAACCGACGGAAGCAAAAGAAGCGACGTCGCAGCACTCCAGTTCAGAGGCGGGGAAAAAAACTAGTAGCACAGTTAAGGAAGAAAATTCAAAAGAACACCGACCCTGGGAGGCGATAAAAAGTAAACGTTTGAACAAAAAAAAAGGCAGAGAGCAGCGGAACAAAACGAAAGGGAAGAAGAAGGGAGAAAAGAATAAAGGCGAAGAAAACAGGCGCGCGCGGAAGGGAGGAGAGATTCGGAGAGTGTGGAAGTATTTTTTTTGTTTCTTAAACATATTTGCCTCAAGCGATGTACATGATTAAGGTGATATGATATGTACCCCAGGATCACTAAGGAAAGAAAAAAAGACTGCAATGTTCCCCAGATGCCCGTTTTACAAAATATTCAGGGCATCTTATTACAGTTCATTGGTTGTTTCAAGTCGACAGGTCGTCCTCCAGAAACTTGTAGGCAAATTTGAACTCAGTCTTACGCCTATTCATCCACGTGCTCTCGTAGTCGAAAAAGCGGTAGGTCCCTTGTTCAAACTCCTCGTTGATCACCTTGGGTTCCTCGTGTCTTTGGAACCAGGTTTGGTACTGCTTGTGAAACCGCCAACTAAGCTGTTTCAAGCGCTGTGCCGCGAGGTATTGCTGGTATGTTCCCTGTCGGTAGTAGAAGATATAAAAAAGTGTGTCCGTGTCCACCTTTCCGAAGAAACTCGGCTCCTCCAATAGGCCGAGAGGCTCCTGAGGGTAGTGTGCGGGTGTCTTATATGGAGTCTGGGGTTTATATCGCTTGGGTCGTTCCGCATCCTGCGCAACGGGGAGGGTTGCAGCCGACGCAGCTAATAGCCTGAGGGAATGAGGACTTGTAGGATCGTGTTTCCTCGCTTTTACTGCTTCGAATGATGCTATCAGATCTTGCAATCCAGGCGGTAGCTTGAACTTCGGATCCACTACGGCACCATTCGTCATTCGTGGGGAGCTAGTCCTTGAAGGCATCTTCTGCGACGGCTTGGATGGGCGTGTTTCATATGAGGTTGAGAATAAAGAGTTCGGATTATCGTCTTCTACCGGTTCTGGTGCCGGTGCCTTGCTATCCTTGTCAGATGGGGTGGCTTCTTCTTGCTGGGCGGTTGAATGGTGCGTTGATGATTGCGAAGAAGTTTCTCTCTGCATGCTTGATACTGATACTGGGGCTGCATGCGTACTCGATGGGGTCTGGGCGGCTGAGCTCTGAGCTGCAGCATTAACCTTTTCAAGCTGAGGTGTCGGTGGTACAGATGCAGGTACAGATTCCGGCGGTGACGTTGTATGCTCCGGTATCGGTTCTACCACTATGGCTTTCGACGGCTTAGGTGACGGCTTAGCTTTCGTCGAAGCGAGTGATACCGGTACAGCCGATGTCACAGGAGGTGTCGATGATGCTGCATTGTTCATATGACTCGGCGGAGGAGGTAACGGTGCAATTCCGACGATCTTGTCTGCTGCTGCTGCCGCGGCTGCTGCAGATGCATACTTGAGGGGTTCACCAGCGGGGCGTGTTGGTGGAGGGGCAGGTTTCATCGTGGTCCCGTTCATGCCAGCGCTATGGATTGTAGCCAGTGTCGGTAAGGGAGATTTCAACTGCGAGGACGGCCGGCGTGTAGTAGAAGACGATGCAGAATGCGTTTCAGTCTTCTTTTCGGGAGGTTCGTCGTATATCGACTGGTTATCCTGCGACGATAATCTGTCGTTGTCGAGACCGACATTATACAGGTCTTCTTCTTCGTCCAGATTTAGGCCGTCAAACATGGATTCGTCTTCAGTAAAGTCCTGGTCACCATTGCATTCGACATAGTACTTGATGTCGTCCTTGATGTCTGAAACTTTATCGGGTTCTAGTCCACCGTTCTCCACCAGTCGTAATATCAGCTCTAGCTTGGATTGGTGCCACTTATGTCGTTCTACCGAATTTTCAACGCTAGAGAGTCTTTCGGCCTTTGCGCTGTCCTTACGGCCCTTTTTAAGAGTCATGGTTATTGACTCCATTTCGGTCTCGAAAGTCTCGATCTGACGTTCCAGTTCCTCTACCATGGTCGATAGAAATCCACATATCTCCACCTTTTCTTTTTCTTTCGGATCTAGTTTTGCTGCCGCCGATAATCCTTCTTTGCTGTACGCTTTTGTCTTCATTTCCTTCTCAACAGCCTTAAACTTCTCCATTTGCTAAAGCAACACGAAGACAACCAAATGTCAGCATACGAACACCGGAAAGCATATGTAGGCCCGTAGAGAAGATAGAACCGATGTCGAAAATGGAGACGAGTGCATAGAGGGGGGATGTTCAGGGCTGGATATTGGATCCTCCGGAACTAACCGTCTCTATCAGTTTCCGCTGTTCCAGCAGAGGTTTCTTGTCCTTGATCTCATTACTAGCGGCCCAGGACTTGATCTGATCCCTATGCCGCTGCAGCTTCTTGATCTCGCGCTTGAGAACATCTTCTAGCTTTTCCTTCTGTGACGGATTTGATGTTTGCTGTAACTTGTCGTAGGTACCCTCAAATGCCGTTATTCCTTCCGCTACCCGTTTAAAACAACGGTCTACTTCCTGCTGTAACTTCCGCTGCGCCATGATTGCCGGAGGTTTGTATTCTATGGTGGGTTTGCTCTATGTCGGACGATGCGATGGAGGGTAGAATCGAGGGGTTCAGAGGTCGAATACAGGGGTGGGAAGGAGGAGGATTCCAAGGGATGAAATGGTGGAGGATTGGATGGTATTTGGCAGCGGTTGTGGAGGGTTGTTGTTGTTCAGAGATTTGATTTGATCGGGACGGATTGTTCTCGGTCGTGACAGGTTAGTAACTTTAAAGTGTTGGCGCCGCCTGGCAAAAGTGTTGGCGAGGAGGTTCGAAGAAACCAACAGTCTGCCTGCTTTCAGTTAGCAGGTTCGTAGACGGTGACTTGGTCAGTTGGTTCACTTTTTTTTTAGATGGTATAATAATAATAATAGTGAGGATGGTGAGGATGATGATATGATGGTTGGTGGTGGTGATGTTGTATTCTAACGACGGACGGTTACAGTGTTCTACACAGTATGCATGGGCAGGCAGGCAAAGCAAGGCAAGGTAAGGCAAGGCAGGTCAATGTGGCAGAGATTGAGAAGTAGCGTTGTTGGAATTCAATGCGGTCAACGGCCAACGACGTTGGTGCACAATTGCACAATTATAGGAACCACAATGCTGTGCACTGTCATGTCTGTCCCATGTTCTGTTCTGCTATATGATGTTATAAGTAGTATCATACTAGTATACTTAGTTAAATTACTCTGGAAACTTGGTGATACAAGCAATATAACAGCCCATGGCCATGTTCAACTGGCCTAGCTAGGAAATAAAGCGTAGTACGTAAGAGAATGTGGGCGTTCTGGTCAATGCCTGAAACCCGGCTCGTATCAGCTGCTAACTTAGTAGGTCCTGTTGGCCACAGATCACTCTAAAAACATACCATTGCGCCGTCATTGTTATCCTTCTGATTCTGGTGACGCCGGTAAACTCCTAACCTCCACTCGGGTCCTAACCTATCAATCCGGTGGCTTCATGGTGGCTTCCTAGCCAGTGGTCCTAACGGCACTGTCAGCCTGACAAAGCTGGACCTTAGTAGCTGAAAATCCAGGTTTAGCCTCATTCCAAACCCCATCCAGAGTCAAACAAGTTTTAACAGAATTAACATAACCCGGCCCGCCCGTCCACGGATCACACATCAGCAATAATTCATCGAGCTAGACATCTGTGTAAAACTATGAAAGGTATGTATTTATATTACTTCCTACATGTAATTGCACATGACATGACACAGGATTCCTTAGACCTTACTATACTGGAACCGTTGCAGAATATGTTAGACTGACTTTTTTTTCTCTTTTCGACTCCTTCGCGGATTTGAAGCAATCGTCCAACGAGTCCTATCGGCTTCGGTGACAGTCGATTCACAATTGGTCTCGTCAATATCGAAAGGACTCCTAGTTTTCGCGGCTGGTATGAGGCGTCGGTAGACGGTGTGCATTGTCTATCACTCTAAATACTAGTGCACGACGGGACAGCCATCAACTGACATCTAATTTACCATTGATGTCTAGTTGGCCCGGATGATGACGAATCCGATGCCGCAAATCTCGCGGGAAAAGTCCTCAAGATGAAGTTCTGGGACGATGAAGAGGGCGGCAAGGTACCTAGCTTCCTAATCAATAACTCTGATAACGGCTCGGGATTTTAATTCGATGTGATTCAAATTCTAAAGTGGAAGAAGAATGTCATTGATATTGAAGGGGAAATCCTTTGTGGTAGGAAGATAATCCTAAACCGGATGATGAGCATGTGACGACTGATATCATGATGCTGCCTTGATAGTATCGCAATTCACCCTTCTCGCGAATACGAAGAAAGGAAGCAAGGTAGTGGCCGATAATTCCAATTCATGATCATGAATCGTTATGGATCAATTGGTCTAATTTGACTCTACATAGCCCGACTTTCACGGCGCAATGGCTCCGGACCGAGCGAAGGCGCTCTACGAAACCTTCTTCCAAAATGTTCAACAAGGTTACCAACCAGAAAGGGTCAAGGATGGTGTTTTCCAGGCCATGATGCAGGTGCGTAAATATAACGCTCCTTTTAACATATGTAACGCTCTCAATAACATGTGCTAACATTGGATATAGGTGGCTTTAGTTAATGATGGTCCGGTAAGGGAACCGCTGAGCTGGACAGAGATAACTAGCGTTGTTTTACGCTCCAAAACTAATATTCACGAATACCTAGGTGACTCTTGAATTGAATACACCGGACAAGAAGGCTCAATTGAAGCCTCAAAAAGGAAATAAACTTTCCAAGTTGAAAGGGGCAGAAACTCCGGGGTCGAGTTCCGACGCTGCTTGACATGGCGCTCGTCACGATACCTCGAACTAGGGTAATTTACTTATCGATAAAGCACCTGACAACCCCAATTGACTAATAAACTCGCGCCCAATTCTTCTTTTTCAAAAATTCGCAATTAATAATGAGCCCACGTTTATTTAAAATACACCTGGTTAAACCTGCGAGCATTACACCTGGTCCTTGGGAATCCTGCAGGTACCGAATGTCGTCAGTATTTTCTGCAGCTGCTCAAGCCTAAGCTGTGGATGTGGAGCCCCACCATGTTGAGTTGCGTTTGGCGGGGTACCACACAATGCGATCGCTTGTGTGACCCCAGGTTCGTTCTTCTTCCAGAACGTTCCTCCCAGTCTCCAAGAGGTCACTACATTCTTACTTCGACACCCTCACTATCTCCTCAATTGATTCCTATCCTCCCCACATCTCCGAGCGCCCTTTTCTTAACCATCGACTATTCAGATCACATCTCCTAACAAGTACCTACCCGCATCCTTTTCCGCGTACAACCGTGATAAAACTTCAAGATGGCAGAACCAGCGAGTAAGCCTCGTCCAACCACCAGCGATCAACTTGTTCAAATCTAATGATGTAACCAGAGCGCGCAAGAGTCTTCTTTGACGTCTCGATCGGCGATAAACGTCCAGAGCGAATCACTTTCGAACTCGTAAGGATACTTGCTAAACACCTTTTATATGCTAATTTCCATCTAACACAAGCCGTATCTTTAGTACACAGATAGTAAGCCTCGAACATGTAGCAACCGTAAAGTCCACGCTAACACCCTATTTCAGTCGTCCCCAAGACAGCCGAAAATTTCCGGGCGCTCTGTACCGGCGAGAAGGGGATCGGAAAGTCCGGAAAACCGCTTCACTACAAAGGTATGCTATCTATTGCTTCGTCGGGAGGCTATGAATATTCGTTGATGATATAATCAGGCTCCGGCTTCCACAGGATTATCAAGAAGTTCATGTGCCAGGGTGGTGACTTTACAGCCGGTAATGGAACTGGGGGAGAATCGATTTATGGAGAGAAATTTGACGACGAGAACTTCGAAAAGAAGCATGATAAGCCATTCTTGCTCTCCATGGCCAATGCAGGGCCCGGCACCAATGGATCGCAGTTTTTCATTACTACTGCCGATACTCCTCATCTAGGTAGTAAACCCCTGGCCCAACATTTCTCTCATTGAATCATTCTAATACGGCGGTTTTAGACGGTAAACATGTTGTCTTTGGACATGTAATTAGCGGAAAGAGTGTTGTTAGAAAGATGGAAGACACGAAAACCGATCCCCAGGACAAGCCTGGAAGACCTATTATCATCCAAGGTAAGAAAAATTTAGTATCTACCTTCGATGCATGGGCCCTAATAAAAACTACTATACAGACTGCGGTGAACTCCCGCCCGGCGATTCCGGCATCATCGAGCTGTCTGATGATGGAACTGGCGACAAGTACGAAGACTTTCCGGAAGATGCCGATGACGCAATCGACATTGAGAAATCCTACAAGATTGCTAGCGATATTAAAGACATCGGAAACGCTGTGTTCAAAAAGGGTGACTTGGAACTAGGTATCGAGAAGTACCAGAAGGCGCTCCGATATATTGTTAGCTGGGTTACATTGAACCAGGAAGATGGAACTACGGAGCAAATCAAAGCGATGAACACCCTTCGCTTCAGCCTACACTCAAATTCGTCCCTTCTCCAGAGCAAATCGGGTGCTTTCAAAGATGCAGAGGACTCTGCTACCAAGGCTCTCGAAGTCCCTGGTATTAGCGATGCTGAAAAGGGCAAAGGATACTTTAGGAGAGCACAGGCCAAATTAGGCCTGAAGAACGAACAGGGAGCCCAGGAAGATTTGGAAGAGGCCATTAAGTATGTTCCAAATGACGGGGCGGTCAAGAAAGAGTTGGATACCATTAAGCAAAAGCAGGCTGATAGGACCGCAAAGGAAAGAAATGCATACAAGAATATGTTCAAATGAAAAATCTTGGGATTTAAGGTTAGCTGTTATTTAGAGCCAGGGTTCCAAAGAGCCACTATATTATTATCAGCACCTAATTTTTGAGGGGCGATTGAGATATGCGATGTATTCAACCGAAAAAAATTTATATAAAAATAAAACTCTAAAGAAGCTCCAATGAGCTCATGGCTAGGGTTGTGATCAAGGAACACTATAGTCCGTCAATCGATTCTGGTTCTAAGATTACTTCCCAGGGCTGTGAAATCATAAGTGTAAGTGATTTGGGTAGGAACAAAGAAAGCGTTGTGTGGTAATTTCCTACAACGACGCGCCAACAACGAGACAACCAAGCTACACACATCTTCTCGTTACATCTCCATCAACATACCTCACGCGCATACATAGTAGCTACCCTAGGTGAAACCTGGTGTTTTAACAATGGTTCGAGCAATCAAAGGTATTTTAGCTAGCGTTATTGCATATAGTATATGAGATGATCTAACTGTTTGATAGGTGTATTGGTCGAATGGTGTGTACCACCTACCGTGCGTGGAGAATGTATAACAACTTAAGCTAACATCCTCGAGCGATCCTTCGATTAAAGCCATAATCCTCGACATAGATAGCAAGACTCATGACATTATCGTCGAGGTAAACCATCGAGTACCCTACCAAAGAGATAATAGTTACTTCTGCTAAGATGCTGTAGAATCTGGATGAGTCGCACTTGATCATAAAAGACAATAAGGTCGCTGAGCTTAAACGGATACTTGAAGAAGTATGTCTTCTCAAATACCACCCATAAGGTGTTTACTAATACCTTCGTTTTAGCGTTTAAATGAGCATACCAAAGTTGACAGCCTTGAGGAAGAAGAGGAAGAAGAGGACGATTAAGCCGGCCTACGAATCGGGGCTTAGCATGCTGTCGCAAGTGTGAGCATTGTTTCGGTTCTCAAAGCTTTATATTCGACAGCATTGTACATTGCGTCCGCGGGCTATTGGTCCGTTTCGGCTTGAAATGATCAGATCTCATTGATTTTGAATCCAGTGCCCCGCCCGCATCTCGCGTGATCACGTATTAGCGAAACAAGAGAAGAAGAAAAATTATACCATCGGGTTTGAAGTCCCGACGATCATGAGCCCAGTCCGGGACAACCCTCTAGCTTTATACAACATGACCAACTTTTGAGAAAGCGGGCTCGTCCGACCTTTCGATTTCCACGAGAAAGGGTATTTTCGAAATCCCGTTCCATATCCAGAGCGGATGAGCCACATGCCCAGGGATGGTCAACGGGTACCTGCAGCATCCGGTACTGTTTTCAGTAATATGATGAGCTGTACTCTCGTAACTGGGTGCCAACAAAGAGTCGTTTAAGCCTGCCTGACAACAATCCCAATTTCGGTTGACAGACCAGAAAACTCCCAACTGAAGTCTTAAATCTTGAGCAGTATCTTTGATACGTCCGCAGCCTACAGTCTCTTTCCAATCTTCGGTACTTTAACCATCAATATTATTTTTAAAATACAACTTTGCTGGATACATGTCGCTTAGAGAGAGATGTCCATTCCAATACCCTCTACTGTGATATCAGTAGATGAGAGCGTGATGCTCCCTGAGATGCTACTAGTCAGGATGCCACTCCACGCCTCCACTTGACAAAGCTGGCCCTGACAGACGAAACGTTTGATAGGTCTAAGAGCCCTCATGCCTCCTCGCAGAATCCATCCGCAGCACGATGTCATTCGACACTTGTCCCACTTGAACGCTCATTCAGTGCGGTTCCTTCGTGTTCCAAATTTCTATATAGACTACCAAAGAAAACATTACATTTCTTCTCTAAATTCTTCTTCCCCTTCACTCCAAACCCTTTCCTTTGATCACCTCCTTTTTAGCAACCTTCTACCTCTTTCTACTTCTCCACATCGTCCCGAACCCCGGACCTTTTCCTGAATGTGAGAATTCATCCTCTACCTATCCCATATCTGCTTCTTTTCTTCTTATACCCCCTGCTTCCTTCTTCAGAAATCTATTCTTGCGGCACCATCTAACGCATGAATTTTTTTTTTGGTATAGTGTTCTCGTCTCGATTTCATATAGGGCATTCCGTAAGTAGATACCCAGCCTGCACGATCCCTTTTCCCATACGCTCACAACTATCATATCTTGAGTATTGGCCTTAAGACACATTGAAGTGAGTACCCTGACTTGGCGTTGGTATAGATAAGATATAAACCCTTTTGTCTTGTCCTATAATAGTTCAAGATGTTCACTGGAAACCCGTTCAAAGCGATTGAGAGTAGGTTTTCTTCCGCGTTCTCACGTCAAGTACTCAATTTACTGACGAAATGCGTTATAGTCGCTGAGGACGACAGCTCAAACAGTTCTGCTCCGGACACCATAGTTGAGATTGTTCAGGGCCATCGATCCGCTTTGGCCAAACCAACACCGCCTCCCATCAAAACCAGCCGCTTCTCTAGTCTGTTCGAGAAGAACCTTGCGGGACCTTCTACCGCCTTTATCGATCAAGCCGGAGAGGGAGAAACTAACGCCCAAGTCCCACGATACAAAGTTCCGCGCAACGGTCAAGGGGCTAAAATGAGCTCCCCTAGCCCCCCAAGAGTTCCTGGGGAAACTTACCCTAAACGCTTGTTTGTTGACAACATTCCATATGCTGCTAATAAGAAAGACCTCATTGCCTTTTTCGGCGGCTACAATGTGTAAGTTGAGATCCTTGTAGCGTTCTGTTCTATAAAAGCTTGGTAGCTCATACAAAGCAGCGAGTCGATCACTTGGCAAAGGAAGCCCGGCGTCACCAGTGGCCACAGCGGTGCCGGATACGTCGTCCTTGGGTCTGAGGAAGAAGCTAAAGCTGCTGTTAACCAGTTGAACGGAACCGTCCTCAAGGGCCGAACAGTCAAAGTTGTCCGTTCAAAGGTTGCCAGTGGTGGCGGCCGAAAGTCTCAGCCAGAGTTTACATATGCAAGGCAACAATCTAAGCCGTCCGGCCTTCAACCCAAGATTCAGACCGTTGATCCAGCTTCCTACAATGGTAGCCCAATCGGGCTCATTTCGGACAGCACTTCTACCCTTCGTAAAGGTATCTTTGACTTGGCCTGCAAGTCTATCTGCAACGGGGGCAAGACTCCGGATCAAATCTTCCAAGAAGTCAACTTCAATGATGAGGAAAAGATCATGATCCGTGACTTCTACTTTCGATATAAGCAGGCTCAAAAAAAAGCGCCAGAACTCTTCTCACCTAGCGTATGTATCTAGCCCTTTCTAACAAAATGTAAACTTCTAACTGTAATTTTAGCCCATGATGGATATTCTTGAGCATAGATGCACGACTCATGGTTTGACCCAATGCATGGAATGTCATCAAACCTTGCTCTTGCAAAAGATTCATCAAGAAGAAGACCATAAGGAAAACATTAGCTCCTTGACTCGAGCTATGCACCATCATTCTTTGTCTTGGGATTCTGGTGCCACCCTCCACGGAGGCGCCTACCAACCAGTCTCCACCCATCGCAATTCCATGATGACGGCTCCAGGCCAGCCTCTTCTCTCCGAGGCTACAGCTTATCCACCCTTGACTGCAGCTAATGCTCTCCGTCTTTACGGTCCCAAGTTCGTTCGTGAGAACTTTCCGCAACAAGAGCCTCCAATTCACAACACCATTGGCCAAGTCCCAAGAGGTGGTTTCATGCCGGGTAGCCCGTACTCACGTCAGCATGCCGTCGTCCCGACCCAGCCAGGTGTCAAAACTCATTGCGCCTACTTTTTACGAACTGGTCGTTGCGATTTCGCTCAACAAGGTTGCAAGTTTTCTCACGAACTTCCACCAGGTGGGCAGGCTGAGCTTACGCTCCCACCCGCTCGTCGAACTGTGTCTAGCCCACCCAATTTCTTCGCCAACCACAATCTCGGTCAGCTCGGAGGCGTCATTTATCCTGACGTCACTCAACATTTGGGCCCCCTTCCTGACATCGATCTCATCGAGTCTATCGCTCCTGTCCATGGAATCCCACCACTCCCTATCTCACGCGGCCCCCGTCTCACTGAGGGTGAATTTTCCTTGGTCCCACGTGGTGGCAGTGGTGGTATCATCGGTGGCGCTACCAGAGCTACCCAGCCGGTCTTTAATCGTTTCCAACCACTCGACGATACCCCACACGTCAGCGCACGTCGCAGGTTGGCCAGCCAACCAACTCAACGCCAAAACTCTCGACCATGGCGCGAGTCATCCGAAACTAGGCACGATATCTCATCTTGGAAGCAGGCCTCTGGGCGTCAAACCGGTCATCATAGCGAGACTGACGGTGCCGCTGACGACGAAGGGTCTTCTGAAGATTTGATCTCTTTGTCTTCTTTTAGCCATTAGCCTTGCTGACCTGGCGTCCTGAGTTCCGGGAATACTCTTTTGCCCTCCTTCTTTCGTAATTATTTGATATAAACTTACAAACTAAGCATTTTCAGGCGTTGGAGGACATTTTGAACCCTCTTTCATTTCTTTCCCGCATATCATCGGCGTCTGAGCTTGCTCTCCTTTTTTTCTTGTTTTATTGCTTTGTGTCGTGTGCCCCTTTGTCACAGGGTTCAGACACCTACCTCCTTCAACTAACTTTACGAGACTCTTCTAGTGAATTTGTCAGTAGTAGCAGCAGTTACATACCATACACATACACGCAGCATGTATGTAGTCTATAGCATATTACTGCAGAAAAAACGAGAGTGTCTCTATCATCACAACTTTCCTTTGTTCTTTCTTTCTCCCACTGTTTCCTCCGCGTATACTTTCTTTCCTCCCACCGTTGCTACCATTTTTGTTTTGGCGTTCTTTCCGTTTTATACTTTTATACACCGGCCAGTATCGTGAGGACGTACGGTCCTATGTCTGGATTCTTTCGTTTTAAATAGGAATTATATAGAATATAAAATCCAACAATTTCAGGTCACAAAGTTTGCGTTGATGGTGTCGTTGGGAATTGCCGTTGCAGGCAACGAAGAGTTAAGAGTTAGCCTCAGAGATTTCAACTTTTCCTATGAGTTCAATCTAATGGATGCCATGTACACGCCGCTCTTGAGATTTAGTATCAGGTATGATGGAGGACCGATAGTTCATACATAGCCTTCAATCATCACAACCTTTTACGCAGACATCTATTATGCATATGTGAACTTCACGCCGAAGTATAAATACAGTAGTATTTATATAATAGACTTTAGCACTGTAATTTTAACTGGAGGGTTCATATAATAACTCCAAATACTAATATTCCAATGGTTATTAAGGGTGCCTAGGGGTAGATCGTTGGAAAGTATTGAAATCGACATGGGATAGATATATTACATTGAATTCCAACCCCTGCAGGGTAGCAGGGTCCGTGCGTCAACAAGACTCCTGGGCATTGGGGCACAGCAAAGTGACGACACCCACGGCTCGGAATGCAACAGCCGAACCTCAATGGATCTTCGTATGCATAAGTAGCCGTTCTTCCATACAACCGTGTACGTACGTGTCTATCTATAAAAATACACACCCAGGTAAGTTAGACATCTCGACTTCCCACGAAATTCACAATCTGAAACAATTCATTAATTTAGTTTTCCAGCAGTGATTCTGGTTACATTTTAATTATACAATCGGTATTCCGAAATACGAGAATGGACGCTCACACCGAAACCGTCGCCCGCATCTCCTCCACCCTCAAATCATTCTACACCACAAAGACTCCATACCGTATCTACCATGGCTCCACAAACTCCACAAGGGCATCCACCCTCTCCCGTTCAAATTACATAGACACCTCAACCCTCACCCACGTTCTAAAAGTCGACACCATCAATGCCGTCGCCTTAGTAGAACCAAACGTCCCTATGGACGCATTAGTCGCCGCAACTCTACCCCACGGCCTCTTACCCCCCGTGGTAATGGAATTCCCCGGAATAACAACCGGAGGAGGATACTCCGGGACATCCGCAGAGTCATCATCATTCCGTCATGGGTTTTTCGACAGGAATATAAATTGGGTTGAAATAGTTCTTCCGAATGGGACTATTACCCGTGCATCTCACGAAGAAAACACGGATTTACTCCATGGAGCTGCATCTTCGTTCGGTACTTTGGGAGTAGTAACTTTATTGGAATTACAATTGATCCCTGCGAGGAAATATGTAGAAGTTACATATCACCCTATCACCTCCGGTGAAGATGTGATCCCCAAAATCCAGGAATTGACAAATGATCCTTCGAACGATTATCTAGACGGTATAATGTTCAGTCGTAACACCGGTGTAATAGTCTCAGGCAGACTAACCGACTCCCCCTCACCATCTACCAAAATCCAGGGTTTCACAGCATCAACGGATCCTTGGTTCTACATCCACGCCGAAAGGATATTATCCTATAAAAAGGGTACGAAAGAAAATCCGTTCGTAGATACAGTCCCCATAACCGACTACCTCTTCCGCTACGATCGCGGCGGCTTCTGGGTCGGAAAATACGCTTTCAAGTATTTCATCACCCCGTTCAATAGGGTCACAAGGTACATTCTCGACTACTTCATGCACACCAGAGTAATGTACCACGCTCTCCACAAATCCGGCCAGATGAACATCTACGTCATACAAGATGTAGCAGTTCCCTACGACGGTACCGTCGAGTTTCTAGACTTTTTAGAAGGAGACTTTGGGATATATCCGTTATGGCTGTGTCCCCTAAAGATGAAGGGGAACAGAGGCGATTCACCACACGGACTACTAGCTGAAGTTTCATCGAAAGGGAAACCGGAATATTTACTAAACTTCGGCGTTTGGGGTCCCTCTCCCGCGAGAAATACATCGGAGTTTATAGAGATTAATAGAAGGCTGGAAAAGAAGGTAGATGCGTTGGGCGGGAAGAAGTGGTTGTACGCCCAGACTTATTATACAGAACAGGAGTTTTGGGAAATATATAATAAAACGGAGTATGACGCTTTAAGAAGGAAGTATGGGGCGGAGCATTTACCTAGTGTTTTCGACAAGGTCAAAACAGACCTGGCCGAGGAGGAAAGAAGGAGACGTGAAGATTGGGGAAGTTGGTTGAGGGCGTGGTTTTGGAGTATTTGGCCATTGAGTGGGGTTTATGGCGTCCTGGCAGTGATATTAGGGTCTAGAGAGTATCTACTACCTAAAAAGGCTATCAAGGAGAAGAAGAACTAGATGGTGTATCTCTCGAAACTAAGACATGATGAGGAGGGGCTATCGGTATTTGTCTAGTAATATTGATTGTGATTGGTTATGATATGGATCGTAGAAGTCACTAAGGCTTAACTTAAGAGAGAGAAGGAATATCATAATATCTAATATCGATTCTGATTTTTTGGTTGGGTTTGTACATGCTGTCCGGCTCCCCGGGTTGTAAACGTGGGATCGCACCGGAGAGTTATCCGTCGCGATGTGAGAGAGTAGTTAAGTAGAAGACAAAGGAATAAAGAGAAAAATATAGAAAAGTAAAACTTAAAAAAAATATGACGCCTTAACAATGTAATGAAAATGAATGAGCGAAGTGAACTGAACGAAGACACAATAGTATATATCGTGGACATTGCAAACAGAAAGGAAAACTTGGTTAGACCCGCAAATGATGATGACCCCTTCCCACCTTTGAGAACCGATGCTTGAGTGCGTATGAATTTTGGTATACCCTGGTACAGAAACAGTAGTGTGATAAATACAAAATCCCAATATGCTATTTTACTGTTCTCTGTCGGTACTGGAGAGAAAAAAAGATACATTTTTTGAAACCCCAATCCCGCCGCGGCCATATTAATAACCAGGTCCGGACGGGAGAAAAATTACCCCAGAAAAAGAACGCTATAATGTCATTAAGCAGCTAAGAGGCTGCATTGGTATTACAAGGCTTAAGCGGTTATTTGTACTCGCCGCTGTAGATAGGATCTTTCATTTAGTGATCGTATCCGGCTCCAACCTGCCATCGCTGGTTGTTTTGGCCTTGTTGTTGTTGGTTATTATTATAGCCTCCTCCACCGCCGTAGCTAGGGAATTCACCGAAGCCCTGTGGTGTTCTTGTTGGGCTTGGTGCTCCTCGCTGTGGTCCTCCGGCCGATAGGAAAGGTCGGTCGGCTTGTTGTTGGTATGGGCTTGGGCTGTGATATCTCTTCTCATAGTCTCCTCCATCTCCGTGGGTGCTACCCGCGTATTGGGAGTTAGAGTAGTGAGATGGGGCTTGGGATGGAGGGAGTGGGACACCAGCAGCACCATACTCTCCGGATCTTCCGCCGGCACTGGAGTCGTCCTCATCGAGATCCCTGGTTGACTTGTGGTCACCGCGAGCGGTGGCACCAAGTGCATCAAGCTCGGTGGATCCGACCATTTCAGGGTTGGACTTGATGAAGGAAGCACGGTCGTCGCGCATTGGTTGGTAACGGGTATCTGGGTTCTTAGAAACCAAGGCGTAGATGGTGGCGACAAGAACCAAAATCAAGAGAACGAGGGCGAAGATAGCGTTCATGACAAAGAATACAACTCCCAAGACACCACGGACAAGAGCCTATGAAAAAGGATTAGCAGCGTATAAGGAATTTCCAGATCTGAATTTACTTACTGGTTCCTTAAAGATTCCAGAGAAGATCATCAAGAAGATAGAGTTGACGAAGTTGATGACGCAGATGGAAATGTTGAAGACATTGACCTTGCGATCCATCCATGGTCGGAAGTAAGAAACAGCAACGAGGTAAACACCTTCAATGAGAACGAGGGCGATGCTCTGAACGGTTCCCTTAGACTGGGCAAAGGCAATGAAGATACCCTTGATGAAGATGTAGCCAAGCATTGGGATGATCCAGTAGTAGCACGAACCCTTGAATTGCACATAGAGGAATCCCCATCGGTTGAGGGAAGCTGGATCGGAGTAAAGGATAACAACTGGGCTCTTGTGCATATTGATGGAGTGTTGAGCGAGGCGGATGACCTTATAAGAGGCCCAGGAGAGGAGAGCGAGGGTAACGAGGAAGAAAACAAGGGCGAGGACAATGGCAGCCGGGGAGTCGCGGACCGTCAATTCCCATAGACAGAGAATGGTAAGCTGAGGGAAGCCGATGAGAACAATTCGGTAGAGAATTCCCTTGAGGACAATCTTCCATCCCTTTCTGAACTCGGCGAATTTGGACCCCTTTGCGAGGTTGAGTTTCCTGACGCAGAGCTCGAGGCCAAACTTGAATCCGACGACGATCAAGACAACAACGACGACGAAAGCGACAAAGAAAGCAAGACCGGTCATGAAGAGATTTGTTTGTTCAATTCTGGAAAGGAAGGCGACACGCGAGATACCAGTAACATCAATGAATTCACCTTGGCTGTAAGTTCCCTGGTCACCACTGCGCTTGACGATAATATTCTTGACAGTTTCGACGGCAGTGAAAGCACGTTTAGTGAATTCCAAACCTCGCTTCATGATTTGAACGTTGACTCTGTCGAGGTTCTGGAACAAAAGATCTGGCTTACCACCAGTGGCCTGGATGTACCAGTGGAGAACGTTCTGCATGAAGCCGACACGGATGACACCCATACTCCAAACGAAATTCTGGGTCCAAGATCGAACAACTGGTGGAAGCTTGACGGCAACCATGGCGCAGAGGGCCTGCGACTGGAAGTATCCGAAAAGGGAGAGAGCATTGGCGGCAACATGGGCAGCAGTGTTGGAGTGGCCCAATCCAGAGGTAATGGCAGAGGCTGCAAGTCCAGAGCCAGCAATAACGGCAGTGACCCAGCTAACGGCATTCTGGTGAACAGTCTGACCGTTAGAAAGCTCGGCCTCAAGACAAGCTACCGGTCTCATGTCTTCAGCAAGATCGATGGTGATTCTGGCAAGACCATCGATATCAGGGATTGTGAAAGCAACACCTGTAATATAAAATTAGCAAAGTCGTCATTAGATGCTAGTGTTTATTGAGCCTTACCGGGAATAGAGCTGACAAAATTGCTGGCATTGATGGCAGATGGAGGCAAGGTAACTGGACCAGCTCTCATGGGGCACAAACTAGCGAACTTTTCGGCACAAGGGTCGATCTTCTTTGTGTAGGCAGTGTAGCCGTAGACAATGATTTCCATGACAATAAAGACATTTCCTTCAATCGAAGATGTACCATCGAAACTGTATTGTAGTGTTGAATTGTTTGGGGTGTACAAGACATCGAACTGAGAAACCGTGAACTGGGAGTTTTCCATACAGGCTGACAGCGACGAAGATCCAATCATCTTCTCCTTCGGGAGAGCGCCTGCACTGCCTGTGATGAGGGAGATGAAGGAGAGGATGCTGAACAGTCGCATGAGCGAGGACTGCCGCCTCGCGGGCGGAGAAAAGTATGTGGTCATTGTCGAAGAGAAATTAAAATTAATAAAATGGGTTGAAGGTCGTCAATGTGAAGATACTATGTCGTGAGAATGTCGGAGGAGGAAGTTAAGGTTGATGCGTGTGGTGGTTATGATGTATGTGATGGTGTTCCAACCCCTTTATTTTCCAAGCGATTGTTGAGCGTCGACGGTCGGAGAAGAAGAAATGCCAACGAAAGACGAGTGGTAGCTACACAACCCAATAAACATTAATACCGACCTCCTGCTTGTATTAAAAAATTATGATATCGATAAAACTGTTTCCAAAAGTGTTTTACGGGGAACATATGGACATCGACAGTTGAGCGAGTGAAGTGGAGAGGATATGTGACCGAGTGATGATGACGATACCAAAATAAGAGACCAAGAAAAACTCACAGGTAAATGTCAAATGATCCGCTGGTTGCAACCAAAAACAGGGAAAACGAACAGACCAAAGTGGGCTAACGAGTGAAGCCCCAAGGAATGTCCAAAAATAACAAAAAAAGTCCAAAGAAATAAAATATAGAAATAATGAGGCTGTCGACACTGTCGGGAGTATTAGTAGTCGAGAGAATAATCAACAGCGAAGAACGAGCGAACGAACGGGGTTTTGTCGAAAAAGGAGAGAAGGAAGAAAGAACGAACAAGAAAGAGAAACAGATCTGGCGAGAGGAAGGAGAACACCGGGCAGGTTAAGAAGGGGCTGAAAAGGAGCCAGGAACGAGCGAGATAAAATTGGCTAGGCCCAATGCTACATTACGCTGCTTCGTCTTCGTCGAAAAGGTCGAAATCCTAGCTTTCAAAAGGGGGGCAATGCACGTCAAAGAACGATAACCCTGCCTTAACCACCTCAGCCTGGGACACCATAATTTTTCTTTTCCTATTCCTCTCTCATGGCAGCGATGGCATTGCCCACGCCCTGGGGAAACTATGATGCAGTCTATGCATTCTCCTGATCTTGGTGATAGTCTTCTTGCTCTTGGTGCTCGATGTTCATGCCCTCGGCCTCCCTTAGCAGGGGATATTCATTGGATGCCGATTAATCTTCACCGGCCAAGGGGGGCCGAAGCTTCTTGACCCCCCTCCCCAAGCATCATAAGCATCTTGGGTTTCTCGATATCGGGATGTTGGAACACCCTCGTCCCGAGCTTACGTGTAGCTCAATCTCCCATCAACCCCAGTGCTGTAATATCAAGATCTCTCTTAATTTCCGTTCTGGCGAACCGAAGGGAAAGCCAGCTTCCTCAAACATGTGCGTTACGAAACCGCTGGCGGCCACGAAGTATCGAACCGCACATCTCACATTTTTGAAACTACCCACAGCCCAGCGAGGTTTTTCTTTCTCTTTCGTTGTTTCTTTTCTTCTGTAAGCGGTCTTAGCCGTCCTGATTGGGTGGGTCGAAGTAACCCAAGCTGGGCTGTGCAACTCTCTTGACCCAGATGCCCTCTCATTGGCGCGTAAAATGCCTGGCTTGGCTGCGAAGAATGTCGGGTTACAATACAACCGTACCTGCATTTCTATGAATAGACTTGGTCAAAAAAGTGTTTTTTCGTCAATATAGTTTTTTCCCCGAAAGAGACAAAGAAAAATGACTCGATTACCATAAACAGAAATACACATACTTTTTTGAGAGGATTAAAAATGAAGAAAAAATGGGCCACCTGTTGATGTCACGGGCGTGTGTTTGACGGTTTTAAGCAGTCCACGAGATTAATAAAAGTACGGGGTTTCAATTCTAGAATGTGCCTATCAAACCATACAAGGCATGCGATGTAAATTAAGGTGGAGGCATGCACAGCCGTATATCAAACGAAACAATACCGACCCGACAGCGGGAAGAGAGTGCGTTATCCGGGGTATTCCTAGTGCCGTTACGAATCGATGCAGGGTGTTTTGGCGATAGTTTATTTGAAGATGGGTTCTTTGTGTCACGGATCTGTGTTACATGTTAAAAGATGTGTTGAGTAAAGATGTTGTTTGTCGATGTTTCCTCTTTAGGACTAGTGCTACGGATATGATCTTTTGCGCCAGTCGAAACTTTTTTTTTTTCTCCAACCGCTGTTCCAACTTTTTCGCGATACCTTAACCTCGACCTTGCAATTATATATTCACCATGTCGTCCACTGAAATCGAGCGAGCTAGCAAGAAGCGCAAGAGAAAGCACACTGGTAGCAAAAATAAGGACGTATCTGAACCCTCTGAAGCTGTCACTGCTCCAGAACCTACTGTCGAAGCCGCTGCCAGCAAGAAGGACAAGAAGTCGAAGAAGCAATCCAACGGCGCGGAGGAAAAGTCTAAGAAGTCCAAAAAATCCAAGGATGTGCCAATAGAGGAGCCAAAAGAGGAGGAAGACGATGAAGAAGAGGATGAGGAGAAACAAGAAGAGACATGGGAAGATGAAGATGACAACGAGGAAACTGAAAACCCGGAAGCAATGGATATCGACGAAGAGGAAGTCGATGCAGAGGAGGACAATCGCGACAATGTCCAACTGGAGGATCTCCCTGATAGCCTTGTCAATGCGAACCTGAGCCTACCGGACCTTGAAGGAACAGAGAGCATGCTATTCAAGGATGTCAAACTGAGCGAGAACACGCAGAAAGCGATCACAGAGATGGGGTTCACAAAAATGACAGAAGTTCAAGCCAAAACTATACCACCTTTGTTGGCTGGGCGAGATGTGCTAGGTGCAGCGAAGACAGGCAGTGGAAAGACTTTGGCTTTCTTGATCCCAGCAGTGGAGATGCTAAGCTCTCTACGATTCAAGCCTCGTAACGGAACAGGCGTGGTTGTTGTCGTATGTTCATTTAGTGGAATTAGTTCGATATCAAGCTATCGCTAACGGTTTATAGTCCCCCACCCGTGAACTTGCCCTCCAGATCTTCCACGTCGCCCGTGAACTTACGAAACATCACTCTCAAACCTGCGGTATCGTAATCGGCGGTGCCAATCGCCGCGCTGAGGCTGAGAAACTCTCCAAGGGCATAAACCTCCTTATCGCCACCCCTGGCCGTCTTCTTGACCACCTTCAAAACACACAGGGCTTTGTTTTCAAAAACTTGAAAGCTCTTGTTATCGACGAAGCAGACAGGATCTTAGAGGTCGGGTTCGAAGACGAAATGAGGCAGATTATCAAGATCTTACCAAAGCAGGATAGGCAGAGTATGTTATTTTCAGCGACACAAACCACCAAAGTCGAAGATTTAGCAAGAATCTCATTACGCCCTGGACCCCTATATATCAATGTTGACCATAGGAAGGAACATTCCACAGTCGAGGGCCTTGAACAGGGGTATGTAATTTGCGAGGCGGACAAGCGATTTCTCCTGCTCTTCTCGTTCTTGAAAAGGAATTTGAAAAAGAAGGTCATTGTATTCTTTTCCTCGTGCAACTCGGTCAAGTACTATGCCGAACTCCTAAATTACATCGACCTCCCCGTTCTTGACCTCCACGGCAATCAAAAACAACAAAAACGGACAAATACCTTCTTCGAGTTCTGTAATGCAAAGCAGGGCACCTTAATCGCTACCAACGTTGCCTCCCGAGGCCTCGATATCCCGGCTGTCGACTGGATCGTTCAATTCGACCCACCAGATGATTCAACTGAATATATCCATCGTGTGGGTCGAACAGCACGTGGCGTAGATGGCAAGGGAAGAAGCTTGATGTTCTTGCTGCCTACGGAAGTTGGATTTTTAAAGATATTAAAAGAAAAGAGAATCCCTGTGGTTGAGTTTGAGTTCCCGGCAAGCAAAATTGTGAATGTGCAGAGCCAGCTGGAAAAGCTGATCGGTCAAAATTATTATCTCAATAAGGTACCTTCACCCTGCATATAACCCCGAAACATTATATTGAATATAAGCTAATATATATGGTACGAAATAGTCCGCAAAGGATGGCTATAGGTCATATCTTCACGCTTACGCCTCGCACAGTCTGCGAAGCATTTTCGATGTCAACAAATTAGACCTTGTCAAATTGGCAAAAAGCTTCGGGTTCCCTACTCCACCAAGGGTGGATATCCAGTTGGGAGCAAGCATGGCGAAGGATCGTAATAAGGTTGTCTCACGGCGGAGTTATGGATCCCAACCCGGAAGGAAAGTGAAGGGATGGAAGAGGAAGAGAGGAGACGACGAGTAGAGCAGATTGGAGATCGGGATGTAGGATAGATAGAGATTTTAGGTAGACTCGGAGTTTAGCCCGGTGTCTACCACGAGTTTTTGTAGCATCATATACAGTTTAATTTACACTATCAATTACAGTACCGAATCTTCTATTAGCTCATAGTTCTACATCAGTATCATGGTTTGCATTTGTGCCTACTTGCGGAGCTATTATGATCAAGATTTGTGTTAGTAGATGGTATCGATATCATGGCGTCTGAGCATGGTGTGAACATAGTCCAGAAACAAGACGGCTGATAGGCCCGAGTGAAGCTTCGAAGCTATAAAAATATTAGACTGCTAGGCATCCTAGCCAGGTTCCAAGAAAATACCTGATACTACTCCCTCTTCGCAGTAACCAAGCTAGTACCTAAGATGTCCTGAAGTGGTAATTAGACTCACAAGTACCGTATCAAAATACAACATCCTGGGGTGTTGCTCCGGTAAAACAATTGAAGTGAAAGAAAGGACGTCGTAGGACCTTCGATATGAACACCACCAGTACTAGATACGAGCTCAGACTAAACGCCAGACGGAAGTAGATATGAGCTACATAGTAGATTGTTAAACTCGATATTGCAGACAATTGGACCTAATAATGTATGTAACTACAGAAGTGAAATTTAACCCATGGAATATCTGATGAAGTCATGAAGCAAGTTCTACAGATGCGCCATGAAAGTGCAAGTATATGTATATAATATGCACTATCATTATTAACTTCGACTAGTTTACAAATCAAAACTTAAGAAGTGGATTAACTCCAATCGAACTAGTACTGTGGCCTAGATATTCTAGTGCTTGGATCCATCGCGAAGTCTAGTTTGAGAGTACAAGAAGGAAGGATACACATAAAGAATGAAACCTTTTTTTTTTTGGCGAAGTCTGGTTTGAGAAAACGAAAACAACAGTATATTTGATGAACCAGGAAATATATCAGCGTCGAAGGCCAATTGCCAAAGGGTAAATGTATCCGATATATGTTAAATTTAGGTAATTAGCTAGCTGGCTATATCATCGGCTGGCAGGCTAATATCATTTTTTTAATTTTGAGTCGGTACTACGCTTGGCGATGCTATCGGCACCGCCTCCATATCCGCCTCCATATCCGCCTCCAGATCCTCCTCCAGACCCTCCTCCATAATGGTTCCAGTAATCGAAGTCACTGGGACTAAAGCCTGGCCAATTAGTCAATCCGAGTTCGTTGGGGTCAAGGCCAAGGGCTTCTTGGGCCCCAAGCTCCCATGGACATGGGTCCCCGCCATCCATCCCGTATAGCGGTAAAGGTGCCACATTTAGATTGTCGGCTTGTCCAGCTACTGGCTCTCCCACAAATCCGATTGCAGGCTGGTCCACAAATCCGATTGGCTGGTCCACAAATCCGATTGGCTGGTCTACAAATCCGAGTGGCTCGCCTACAAACCCGGCTGGCCCGTCGAACAAGACTGACTCGTCTAGAGATCCGATTGGCTCGATCCCGTCTAGAGCCTGGCGTACACTGGGTCTTGCGAACCGGCGAAAATCGATCTGGCCAAGCCTTTGTTGGACATAATCTGGGAGATTATTAAAACTTCTTTCAAAGTCTTCGACAGTAGCACCTTCAATTGGACTTCGCCGTTCTCCTAATTCAACTTTACAATAGCAACCTACAAAGCGTGGATAGTTATTTACTTGGTTAGCCGCAAATTATTATCAATATACTAAAAGGGTAGTCTAGCCGGTATCTAGCCGGGTTGATTTTGTGAGGGTCTTTCCGTACCGAAAAGAAGGCGGCATTTCAAGGGAATTTTGCGACGGTTCTGACAATTGCGCCCAGTGCGCACATCATCATTTCCTAGTAGCTCCCCGTTCGAGTTGCAGCGGCACCCCGTTCTGCACCTTGTAATTCTTATCTGTATCGACCTCTGATCCGACCGCGACACCTCCCCATTCTCATCGCGCTGAACATAGTCCGTCGGGGGTATTCTGAAGTCCTGTATTTGCGTGAACCTACCGTCTATTACAACTTGGTGACCTATACAATCAACCGAAAGCCTTTGATAAAAAAAACTTTCCGGAACATCAACACGAGGACTAATCGAAAGCATCGATGGCATGAGAGACTTTGTGCCCTCTAATTCCTGGGAGTAGGTGATGGTGGAGTTTGGCCCGGTGGTAGCTCTTCCATCTTGCGCCGTCTCATTCGAGTTCTTGGGGGGATTCTGTCGAGGGACACTTGCGATTTTGTCCGTTATTGCTTCATTGGCAGCCTCTAGATCTTGAGGTGTCGGGACCGAAAACAAAGGGTTTGGTGCTATAAGAAAGATGTATATAGCTGTCACACAATACACCTTTGAAAGAGTTTTCAAAATTGAGAACATATTGTCCATACAATAGATATATATATATATATATATTCGAGTATTAACCAAAGATATGCGTCAAGATGTTCAGCCGTGAATACGGCTAGGAGGAAAGTGACAAGGAAGAAAAAAGAGCGGACTAAATAGTGTTCAATTTAAATACTAGAGAGCATGGTGCTAACACCATTGCAAAAATCACGATTGCTTTTTCTCCTGCCCGATTTCCATAATCCGGGCTTAAGTTGCCTCAAACGATAAACGACCCAACGTCCGCCTAGCCCTTACAAGGACGAATTGCTAAGCTATCCCGCCACTATCAATGAAAGTAATGTATCTAATAGCTACTAACAGTTGTTTCAAGGGTTTGTTCAGATCATATAATTATAAGTTGTATCGAAAGAGGGCACAAGGATACTGCGGTCAATTCATGAAAAACATGACATGGGTCGATGACGACGAGCGCTCGAGCGGGCACATGCACATCCACGCTCACACCGGAGACTACAGTATTATAGAAGTTGCGAAATGATACATAGCAAAAACCAGTCCCAAAAAAGAACATAAAGTATATAAGCAAAGAGGTATACTTAGAACCCATTCGTGATACTATTTCTGTTGTAATTCTGCATTTTGCGTGACGACCTCTTGAGAATCTATTCAGTACGGCGAGGCAGTCGTCTAGATCGATTTATTTCAATATTCCGCTGATGTGGCTCGCGGTTGTAAAAAGATCAGGCATCCTTCAGACTACGATGTTCTATCTAAGAGGTACTTAACTGACTCTGTTGTATATACTGAACTTGTTTCAAAATGCAACGGTCACCTAGCATATATTGCACAGTAAGTGCAACGTTACGGGGTGAAGCATCGAGTTGAGAAAAAAAGAACTTTTCGGACTCTGTAAACTGGATTACTATAGTATCCTAGGATCCTTTCTACGTTGCGGGGGACATCATACACTCCTACCCCACTTTACTGATAGTATAACTTTGTTGGTAATGAGGCGTAGCTCAGAATAGTCGGGCGGCCGAATTTTGTCTGGCACATAAGTGTTGGGAGTGTGGTTGTAAACTGCTATTCCTAAGTTAGGATCAATCTCGTAACTATATATCCTCGGATTATCTTGTAACTCCTGAACTCTCTGTGGTCAGTTGAATTTGTAGTATTATCAGCTTATCGCATTTCCAACATATTAATATGACTCGTATACTGGACCGATCTATAACTAAAGGCGCTGCTATATGCATATATGTAACGTTACTAGAGGCAGAAGCGCGGCGTAAGCGCGCGTGGCCTAAGCATACGTATAGTTTGAAGCTCTCAAAATCCAACATTCTACCGTGTTGCGACGATGGAAGAAAGTATATGGCACATATAAATTCTCAAGATGGAATTGCAATTAGCTTTAATTATGTTAAGCTTTTGTGCAGTCCCAAGTGCCTCCTCGCCAGTGGTTACCATTCATTCTCGTTTTTAGAAATCTACTTGGCTCATTGCGTAGGGCGTGATCTAGGGGTTTGGATGGTTATCTGCATATGTACATGATGCATGAATGAAAGGGTAGTGCCGCACCAACTTTCAAAATCAAAATATAACAAGGCATCATTCTTATGAAACACTAAATGCGGGATTAAAGTGATGTATATGCAAAATTGATCGCTATCACTAACAGGTCTTTCGGTACGATCTTCTTCCTGTGAATATTCTAACTTCAGAAAACGCTGTACCGCATACTAGCTGCGGCCCGTTGGGTATTGTGCGATAAACATCCATATATGTACCCCGCGTGCCATATAACTCCTTCCGACCTGGGGCCTCATCTATATGTTAGTCAGGCAAAAGTGGCTAAGCTGAAAATCATCCAACCCTCTCTTTCAAAAGGCCAAAGGCTTTGTTGATAAAATGGGACTTGAGGAGTACTACACGCCCTGTTGGTGGGGATTTTCTCCCCGTACGGTCTGTGCAATGAGCCGGGAACACTGGTTCGGACGACCTCGGCCGTGTTACCCCCCGTTATTGTCGCTCGGATGACGAGGAAGTAATAAGCTCCCAGAGGCTCGTACTGACTTTGTAGAATAGAACCCGATCCCAAAACGCAGGATGAGATCGGCCAATACAGAAATATATCAAAGCTAGATTCTAACGCCGTTGGATTTTGTAGCATACGATCGAACTTAAGCGCCACCGCCTATTTTAAGGATAACAGTCTCGTGTCTAAATACTGTGCGCGTGCAAAATGGCTAATTCGCAGTGCGTAGTCTCGTACCGTTAAACTTAATATTATGTTGCATTGCCATCGCACCTTCAGATTGTACTCATAACAAGAATACGCCATGTATATATCCAGATCATCTTGTAAAGTGTAACTGGAAAACCTCAAAACTAGTTAACTCCTGTGAAATGAACAATTCTTTCCCAACCAGCATCTATTTATATAAATAATTTATTTAACCAACAGATCCCCCCTTCGAACTCCATTAGTATGAGCCATAACACCATCATCCTCACCGCCGCCCTGCGGGAGACTAACCCCCCGCTTTACAACCCCACCACCCGATCCAAACCCACCAGGACCCCCACCAGGACCCCCAAACTTCCACAAATCCTTCATAAAATCCAAACCCCCAGCCCCAAATATATTTTCAACAGGCGGCAACTCCCCAACATCATCCCAATCCCACCCGGCTCCTCCCTCTCCACCTTCACCAGGTTTGCCGGGTCCAAAAAGTGGAGGCCCGCCGTCGTTATTACCATTACCATTGTTGTTATTATTATTGTTGTTATTATCGTCGTTATTCTCCATAGCAATATCTATACCAAAATCTAGGGGGGTAAACCCCATATGACCACCATCAGGTGCTTCACGCCACTGGTAACCCATGTTGAAACCTTGGATCGTAGTCGGTATTCTATCTAGCGCTCTTTGATAGTCTTCTCTTGATGCGCCCGTGATGGAAGGTTGCGGTTGGTCTAAAGTTGCTGTGCAGATGCAGCCTATATATATACCACCCACATCAGTTGAACAAAAAGTCATAAAATCAGCACACCGTTTTTTCTTTTTATATTTTTTACATATTTCTTATATATTTTGTTCATTATATTTTGTTTGAAGGGGGGATAGGAATATTTACCCCAAAGCGAAGCACACTTCTCCGCAAAAAAAACCTTCTCAGAACACAACGGCTTCAAATGCGGTGCCTTCCCCGTCCCCACAGCAGGGTTCTCTTCCATCTCCCCTTCATCGGAACATCTACACCCCCGTTTACATTTCGCCTGTACCCGTCGAATAGCACCCGTTTGTAACTCCAGTTCTGCGGGCGTAAGACTCGCCCAGTCGGTCATCCAGATAGGATAGATGTTTGCGGTTTGTCGTTGCGGCCATCGGCCGCTGGTTATTTCTGTGATGGGTTGGCAGGTTATGATCATTTCGGAGTTGGTGTAGAAGAATGAAGGGGGGATGTCGACGCGGGGGGTTGAGTGGTTTGGGGTGTTATTCGATGGCTCTGATATTGGACTTGATTGGGAGAGATGGGATGTGAGGATGTTGAGGAAGGTAAGTGTGTAGACGCTCCATGTTCTTGATATCCGCTGGACTATCATATTTAAGATAACTACTCGATACTCTCGGTTCAAGCCAGATGGCAAAATAGTAATATAAAATATGCATAAACTCAAGGAAATGGAAGAAAGAAATAAAGATAGAAAGAAGAGAAAAAGAAGGGAACATGCATATACTGCTTCCACCTGATCGATCCCTTCCAAACCGTCGTGCCACTCGAGTACTCGTAAAATTCTAGATTTATAACCAATCGACAGGAAAGCAAAACCTTTAAATTATGAAACCTTCTTGAAACTGCATAGACTCTTTGAAAGGAAACCATCATACCAACTTATCTTCCCATGCGCCACGTTCGAAGTTCTAAACATGTCATGGGATTAATTAAGTTAGATCGAAAGTATACGTATAGAGGTATAGAACTAGAATACATGTATATAAGCTCACACACCTAGCTAGCTATAAAACTATGATACATCTTTTATCGCCGAGCAGTCTGTAGCTATATATACAGAATCACGGATATCCAGGTATCCCGGGTTGGATTCTATCAATAAACTGCTCCCCAAAAAATACAACATCCTACAGTGTTGTTTATCGTATACTATCTACTTAGTTATACTTCTATGCCGTCTAACAGTTTCGACACTAAACCAGCTTAGCTCAGGCATAAATTCCCAAAACCATAATCTGAAGTCACTTCCTGGCGCTCGCATTGCACATGGAGCTCCACCAGACTACCAAAACCAACGATTTAAAGCGCCACAGAAAGGAAACCCTCCTCCTATACTAACACATCAGTGTTACTTCATATCAATATACCCGAACGTACTTATTCTCCGTGTAGCAAAGAAAAAGAAATAAAAGAAGAAGAAGAAATGGGGTTAAGAATAATTCGTTTTCCAAAAAGAAATATATATATGCTAAGTACCTAAGTACTTCATCATCAGAGTTGTAACAAATGATATAAACAACAGTAAATAAACAAAAAAAAGCCTCCTCTCTATCCATCCTTCCTCTGTTTTTTGATATCCCCTAGCTTTGTCTTTTTTCTCTCCTTTGCTCTTTTAAAATTTTGTAAGTTTCTTCTCTCTTCTCTTTTTCCAAATCGATGATATGGGGGGTATCTAATCTGACGTATCCAAAAAAAACTACACCAAGACGTATGCAACGAAAATGAAACTTTTAGGTGAACGAAAATTTAAAAAAAAAGAGCAATACAAATGCACTAAACATGAAGAATAGAAAGCAATGGTTCACAAAGATAACAGCAGCGTCAAAAAAACAAACGGAGAAATTGTGAGAATGGTAATTTTTCTTCAGCTTTATTATGGAAAAAGAAAGAAGAAGGAGAAGGAGAAAAAAAAATTGATATGTTAGTCTAACACTCAATGAAAGAGGCAGAGGAGGAAATGAAAAGAATCAGGCTAGTACACAATGATTTAATCTTATAATGTTGTTACAAGGTGAAGAAAAAGTAAGCGTAAAAAAAGAAAGAAGAAGACAATGGTAATAGCCTTGATGCCGTTTTATCATGCAGATGCTGACTGGCTATTCTGCGAGAAAGTAGTTGCCCAGGATCCAACAGAATGGAATCTCGGTGAAGAAAAAGATGTAAAAGGACAACAATAATGCATAAACGAAAAGGACATTAAACCCGAGATACAAAACACCCATAAAGAAGACACTGCAATAGTAAAAGCAAATAGAAGAAAACATCATGTAGTGAAGACAGGTAAACAAAAAAAAGAATGTGGGAAAAAAAGTCATAAAAGATGTATCCTCCCTCAGCTCCGTTCCCAGAACCTCGGTACTGAACAGCAAGAGAAACGCCCATCTAACGATCCAACCCTTCAGTTTTAATAAACAAATCGAGTGATTTGCCTGGCTTTAGCCATCTTATTCTCCCTGCGAACAGCTTTGGCCGCGTTGCAAGCCTTCATCTTGACAGCCTTGTGTTGCTTCTTATTTGACTTCTAGTCAAAAGGAGTAAGCATGCGGTCAACTCTACCACTAGCTTTCTTGTGGTTGGTTGGCGCGGCGTCCATGATTAGCGGGAGACTCTCAAAGATAACTGGGTTTTCTTGCCAGTGGACGAGGATTCCACCACCGAGGAAACGACGGAGGGCGTTCCAGCGAATGAGTTTCCACCAAGTATTCAACTTGACAATACCCTTTCGGCCAACTTTAACCTCAAGACGACTGCCTTGTTCACGACCTTCGAGGTCCAATGCACGGGAATAATTAGGTCCGTGGAGAGGGAAGTTAACAGTGTGAAGAACGTTGGCAAAAGTTGCGTGTTGGGTGCGGCGGTTCTTCTTGGAAACACTCTTGGTCGAGGATTTCGAGAGGTTTGTCAGGATTTGCTTGAGATGTGGTTGGTTGCGGTATACAGTGTACTTTTGAATTGGTGGACGAGTGTCCTCGGCGGGGGTGATGACGAAGCGGTTGTGGAAGTCTTCATCATCAATGCCGTGGTCATCCTCGCTGTCTTCGTCTTCGCTGCTTGGCTCGCGATACGCCTTCTCGGTCATCAAGGCGAGGACTTCGCCGGATGCGACTTGGACCTCGATTTCGGTTGACTCGAGTTGATCAACGAAGGCCTCGGCGGAACGATCAGTGACTTCCTCGGCGTCATCGAGAGAAGTGAGGAGTAAACCCCACTCTTCAATTGCAGCTGCGACAGTGGCACCGTCGTCACCGGCTCCGATGTTATGACCGTCATTCTCGACGATTTCATGGAAGAAATCCATGATCGTTTCGATATCGTCTGTGGAGACATCAGTGAAGAAAGCCAAGGCTCCGAGGGCGTGGATAGCCGCTGTCTTGACGACTAACGATTCGTGGTCCGTAATGAGACGTTGAAGAGGAGTGTTGAACTCTCCAAAGGTGGTGCAGTCCACGTCAGTGATGAGGGTGAGGACCAATGCTATAGCAAGCAGTTAGTTGGTTTTGTACTTCTAAGTTCATGGTAGGTAGGAATTTCATAAACTACCTTGGCAGGCTAGCGTGGATTCCTTATCCGTCTTGCCAGCTTTGATACTCTTCGAAAGAGCATCAATGATGTTGTTCGTCTTTCCTTGTAGCTCGCTGCTAGTGAATTTGGATTGCAGGAGACGGTTATAGGCCAAGAGTGCCTCTTCCAAACCACCAGTTGCTAGCTTCTTCCTCATATCCTTATCGGTGATACGAACGATTCGATCGCCCAACTCCTCCTGCCAGCTGCTCGTCTGAGGAACATCCTCAAGATTACGTAGCTCATCGCCGAGGGAACCAAAACTACAGAGGAGGTTATCATCATCAGCTTCGAGTCCAAGATCCTGGATCTCCGGGACGGCGGGTACGGCAACGTACCTCCAGACGGATCCGTCGCTATCGTAAGCGCCTTCGTCGTCGGTTCCATGTCTTGATGCAGCAGTAGAATTTGCCTTCGAGCCGGCTTTTGAGGTCGATTTAGAGCCGGATTTAGATAGAGAAGCACGTTTAGAAGGGGTTTTCCCGCCTCCGAGTGCTCTACGTCGGAGGTCGGACATTGTGAACGGGGTTGAAAGAAAAAGTATCGATGGTCAGGTGGTTGATGGGTAAGCAAGTAGTTGAAGCTGGTTGACGTTGATGATTAAGAATTGAAAGAAAATGAAGAAGACGGTGGTGGTCGAGTGTGTTGTCTTCGTTGCAGATGGTTAGTGTTCCGCAAGGGTTGGGAGCATTGATTGCTTGGTAGCTGGTAATCGTTGTAGTGGTAGTAATGAGGGGTGTGATGGAAGAAAGAGGAAGGAGAAGAAGAAGAGGAAGAGGAAGAGAAGGGCCTTTATAGCTGGTGGTGCGCCAACGATCAATATTTATTGTCCTTTCGATCGTCGCAAGAAGGGAAAAAATCAAAGATCTTCAGACGGTAAAGTTGATTCGGACCTTCTATTGCCAGCTTGAGGTTCTAGATGAATGGCAGCGTAGCAAAGTAGAAGAATCGACGACGGATACCGTGGATTGAATATTTTATCGAGGAGGATCGATATGGATTATCAACGGGTGGATGCAGGTCGGGTTATAAAGTTAGGTTTCTCTGGGGGAAGAGAACTACGTCACAGCAATGTAGGATACTGGATATTGGATATCGGATGGTCTGATCTTGCACTCGATGTGGTTAACTTAACTAGCTGCTATTTCCGAGGGGCAAGAACTATTCCCCTCAACTACCCTTTATCGTCTGATCTGGTCAGGATAATAGAGGAGGAAAAAGGGAAAGAGAAAGAAAAAGACTCGGAAGTTCTTGATAAAAATTCCCAAGTATCTGATGAGATCCTAAAATTTCAGGGAAAAGTGTGTACTTTTTTTTAATTTTTTAATTTTTTTAAATTTTTTTCGCACTCGGAGCTAACTATTACTAAGACCGCAGACAGGAAGGATGAATCATAAATATCTGTCTGCTGAGTGGGCTGTTTGCAAATGTTCGTCTGCAATTGCCCCCACCTTTTGCCCTGTCCTGTTCTGTCCTGTCCTTGTCTTGCAAGCTTGTAAGCTTGCGGGTCTGCGGACTGGCCATGGCGGGGCAGCAAGCTTGGAGCGCTGAACGCTGCTGCAGCACACCCTCTCCTGCATTTCGACCAATCATCCTTCCCCAATATCGGATCTTGTTCCTATGCCGCGAGCATGTGAAACTCTACGGATCCAGATCTGACTCGACATCACGTTTGATAACTAGAAATTTAATAGATACATGGAAAAATATTTGTAATTTTCAAGAACGGGGAAGCAAAAAAAACAAAGTGAATTTATCACATCAAAACGGGGATATCTCCACTATGTCGAATCAGGGCTAACCATGCAAAAAAAAGGAAGAAAAGAGAAAGAAGAAAATGCAACATGAAGGCTTGAAACAACCAAACATCAATGAAACGGAATGGACTTGTAGCAAATAATATCTACAGTCTAAACTCGAGCATGCAAACGAAATGTAGGTACCAAACAATCAAGCCTTCTCAAGATAATTCGCCGGCACCATCCTCTTCACCCCGTTCTTCTCAACCTCCGCCCACCCGCTCCCATCATCATCAGCGATCAGCACGAACTTATCACCTTCTGCCATATCAAACTCATCTTCCGTCCGGGCTTTGTAATCATAAATAGCATGGACATGTACCAGTTTCTTTGCACCACGCTTCGGAGCAACAGCTGGTCCTTTCTTCTTCCCGCCTATTATGGATTCTCGCCGTGAGTCGATTGTTGATGTTGGCGATGACACGGTCCTCGCTGAAGACGAAGATCCCAAAGTCTCAACATAAGTTGTTGGAACGAGACCTGTCACTGTGCCATTTCTGACTTTTGTCCATCCGCCATCTAGATAGAATTTCGCGTTAGTAAATTCTGTCCGTCGATCTACCGCCTGACCCGAGTGACTCACCATCTGGCTGAACTATGATCACTTCTTTCCCTTCTCCTACCGAAATTTCTCCATCCCCGCCTGCAGTGTACGAGTAAAGCATTTTTCCCTTTGGTCCGTCCGGTACAGCCTCGTCTGCTGGAAGTTCGGCAATATATGCTGCGGGTGGAGGAGCAAGCACTCTTCGAGCTGGTGGTTTCGACGAACTAGCGCTAGGAGCTGTCGATGTAGCAGCCGTAGAAGTAGTAGCCGTGCTCTTCACCGTCCCCGATCTCTCAACGGTTGCTGTAGAGTTAGTCGAAACGGACGTAACGGTATTCGACCTGTTGACCCCGATGGAGCTACCGTTGGATGCCGGTAGTTCGCTCAGTTTGTCTATGCTAACGCTCCCTCTGTTCTGCCGTACATCCTTCAGAGCCTTCTTTGCGGTTTTGTCCAGCGGACCAGGGCAATTCGCGGCGACCCGCATTTCGCATTTTGCGTGGCAATTAAATCCGCAATCCTTGCAAGTCATTCCTTTAGCTGATAGGCCCCATATCTTTTCGTGACACAGATCGCAGGATGTAGGTATTTTGAAGGAAGCAGATTTGAATTTGTGGGAATGTGCATTTTTGTCGATATCTACTTGGAGTTAGTTTTCGAGACCTTATCCCAGCAGGATGGTTGCCCTTACCTCCGCACGCCTGCCTTACGGTATCGACTTCTGTTTCTAGTGCCACTCTCTTGGAATTAACTGCCGCCAGCTCTTCTTGGCCGTTAAGCAGGTTCTATAATACCGTCAGCAGATACCCAAGATACCGCCGAATGGGAATAAAGCATACCCTTAAAATATCCATTTCTTCTGCCGTGGTTCTTCCTGCTTGAGATTCAGATGATCCTCTAGCCTTTTCCCGTTTCACCTGCATGGACTCGACATCCTTGCGCCGTTTCTCAACTTCTGTCCGATAAGATATCAATCCAGTCTGACTCTTCGCAATCTTATTTTGCAGCCATACTCTCGCAGCCTCATCAATTACAATGTCGTCGGTATCGTGCCATATAGGGCTGGGCTCGAAAAAGAAATCTGGAGGCTCTCGCCATCCATCTTGGGGCTGGTTGTGTGCGATAAACATGAGCGAGTCGAGATGTGGTAGGTTACGTTCAATTTCGGCGTGCATCTTCTTCATGTGGTCCGAGCACCGGATCAAGGCTGCAGACTCCATGTTACAAGATAACTTCCATACGGTATTCATCGCTTGAACCCTTGTTTCGTTCAAATCCTGTAGCGAGCTAAGTACATCTGGGATATCCGTGTGGTAGTATTTTTCCTTGATTGCATTGGTGACATTGAGGGTGATAAGGTAGGTGTTCTTGACATTGTGCATTTCGGCCATTTGGGAATCGTAGCTCTTTTGGGCCTTTGGTCTCCCGTGATCGAACGACTTTTCCACCTTCACCCGTTTGCCTTCTAGTTCTTTACAGGTGGCATCGTAGGCAGCCTTTGTCTTTCGAAGCTCGGAGTACTGTGCGTCTCTATCGGTAAGAAGACGTTTCTCGAACTTCTCGTGTTGGATGCGAAAAGTTTCGTAACGGCTATTTAGGACCTTGAGTGTTTCCGCACACTTCGTGATCATCTCCGTCGCAAGCTTGTCGTGTTCCTGGGAGACGATTTCGGTAGTTGTGATGAGAGAGTTCCATGTTGTCATCGAGGCACTTTCCAAGCTACCGGGTGTCATCAGGGGGCTGTCGCCGACGCTAAGGGAGGCCGTCTTTTTGGATTTCTTTTCAAAGAAACGTTTGGCGAGGAGACCGAGTTTTGTAGAGTATTCCTTTTCGATTACGGATCTTTCGCGGTAGAATTCTTCGACGTCTGCGATCCAGGCGATGCCGTTGGATACCTAGGGGATGGGATGTCAGATAAGGGAATTCTTGTCGGAGTATAGGGGTGAAGGTAGTTACCCAGGTATTGACTGGCTTGAAGGCATCCTAAAGGTCGTCGATAGAGCGTTAGAGAGAGAGGGAGAATAGAATTGCTATGCATGGTGACGGTTTGCATGAATGAAGCTATAGAGATGAGCGACGAACCTTCAGCTCTGCCCCGAAGTTTGGGGGAGCTTCATCAGCCATTTTGGGCGCCGAGAAAGAACAAGCCACAAAAATAACAGTGACTAAAAACCGATTTTATCTATGTTGATCTAGAAAGGTGAAATTCAGGGAAGGATAGTTGAGTAATGTTGTGCGATGGAGAAGTGAGGAAGGCCTTAAGGATGAATGGTGATGATGATGATGGAGTAATAGTAATGGGAATGGGGGACAAAGATGCAGTTGGGATGTCACTATGTATGGGGTTTCAGGCACCGGGTACCCTGAGAACCGGCCGACTGCAACTAAACTAGTACCTGCCTACAGCCATCGAACGGATAAATTACTGAGATACGACCGGACATAATCCCGCATGAGGCATATATATATATAAGTATATACTTGCAATTGCTTGGTACTTAGGCATATCAAAATTGTCATCGATGCTGTATCAAATGCAAATGATGGCTTGGCTGAGCTATTCAATTACGAAAGGCAGGCGGGCTTAGCTTCAAGCATCGCCAATGAGAGGAATACCCCACACATGATCAGCGGTCTGCACCGGATCCTGCCGACAACAGATACCAGAAGTTTACTGGAATACTGGGTATGTAATTAATTAATTAACTAAGGTACAGAACATATAAAAGTACTTAAGTAGGTAAGAAGTATGTAAATAAAAAGTGGATTCGTGTAAATTACCTAGTTACAGGGTGCACCTGCGACGTAGGAGACGGGTGCCTGCGGGAATACCTCGTGGCCATTGACACACCCTCACACTCGCACATACCGGACTGGGTGGGATGCGGCTTAACTCCACGGATCAATCTACTTATATAAGTACTTAAGTACCTAGTGTCCGTCCGGTCCTCTTTGAACAACAGCGACCGGCCCAGGAACTGTGGGTGGGTGGTTGTGTACCGCGGGGCATTGAAGCGGGAATCTCTCGTGCGAGAAACCAACCCCAAAGCACTTATCGATAGCGCGACTAGATGAATTGAATATAAAATACATCGACATCCATGTATGCTTCGTACATGTACATTTACTAGAATCGAGTCGAAGTACTCATTTAATCATCAATGGGGTTATTCATTCCTGTTCTGCAGATGTCCATGTTTTCAACAAACAAGGATCCAGGCAGGCAGGCTAGTAAAGTCAGGACCTATTCATTCTGAATCAATAATCGCTTCACTTGCATTTACTCCCTCGACATCCTCCCCAGCCTGCTAGCATCAACAGCATCACCATCACTCCATCAGCCCCACCACGCATCACTCACCCCACCACAGCGCCTTGGACTCGGCTGGAAATAAATACTTATATACTATCCGTGCACCCTCTCAAGAGCTTTTGTCCCTTCCTTCTCTCCCCTCTTCTGTCTTTCTATCTATTCCTGGTCTCGTAACCAAACTGTGAGAGAAGAAGCAGAAAACTCCCGTTCTTGGTATTCTCCGTCACTATCTGGAGAGAACGTCTTGACATCCATCCATCGAATTCGAACCTGTCAGTTCCCCATCGAATCTACTTTACCCTCACTTCGACCACACCACTGACCATTGGGACCAGAATATCCGTCCTAGCTTCTACTCCATCCGTCCCGTATTACCTTTCCCGACTAAACTCTTCGCCCCAAGCGCGTCCTGCGATTCAGTATGGCTGAGTCCAGCAACAGCAAGACTTCGTGGGCAGACGACGTTGAACAGGAAGAAGAAGCCGCCGCCAACATGTCGAAACAACAACAGCAAACTCCCCAACCCATTGCTGAGGATCAATCTCAGCAGAAGCATGATAATCTCGTTGAGAACGAGCACGATGTCAACGTCACGCTCGCCGATTTACAGGCTGACCCGAACAGTCCCCTCTACTCTATCAAAGAGTTCACCGATCTCGGATTGTACGTCATATTATAACCATTGATTCCGTTCTTACAGATATAGGAGTAGAAGTAGCTAACGTGGCGGCTACAGGAAGGAGGAACTGTTGAAGGGTCTGGCCCTCATGCGATTCAGTCGTCCGTCCAAGATCCAGGAGCGCGCTTTGCCCCTCATTTTGAATAATGACACAAACCTCATCGGTCAATCCCAATCCGGTACCGGAAAGACGGCTGCTTTTGTTCTTTCCATGTTGACCAAAATCGACATCACTAAGAACGTTCCGCAAGCACTTTGTCTTGCTCCGTCCCGCGAGCTCGCCCGACAGATCTTGGCCGTTGTCGATAACATGGGAAGTTTCCTCGGAGTCAAAACCCAATTCGCCGTCCCTCTTGCTGTCGAACGTGGGAAGATTATCGAGGCGCAAATTGTTGTCGGGACTCCTGGAACCGTTCTCGATTGTATTAAGCGTAGAGTTCTACCGGTTAAAGATTTGAAGATGCTTTGTCTTGACGAAGCCGATAATATGTTGGACCAGCAAGGTCTCGGTGACCAATGTTTCCGCGTCAAATCGTAAGATATCTTCCCCGAGACCGATGGTTTAAGATCATACTGACTTCCACTATACTAGATTCCTGCCAAAGACTAATGTCCAAGTCTTACTCTTCTCCGCCACATTCCCTCAAAAGGTCCTGGAATATGCTGAGAAGTTTGCCCCAGGTGCCAACAAGCTTACCTTGAAGCAAGAAGAGCTTACAGTTGAGGGGATCAAACAATTCTACATGGACTGCGCCAACGACGATGAGAAGTACGATGCTATTCTGAAACTCTATGAACTGATGACTATTGGTCAATCCGTCATTTTCGTCAGAGTAAGAACCCACCACAATGAGTACTTTCTATATAGGCAAAAAAAGAAAGAGCTAACACGGCATACTAGAAACGCGAGAATGCTAATGAGCTTCATCGCCGAATGACTGAGGATGGACATGCCGTTTCATCATTGCACGGTGCTTTCGATGGCAATCAACGTGACAAAATTATCGACGACTTCCGTTTTGGACGTTCCAAGGTTCTCATTACCACTAATGTTATTGCTCGTGGTATCGATATTGCCTCCGTCTCCCTTGTCGTCAATTATGACCTTCCAACCCTCCCCGATGGCCGTACTCCAGATTTCGAAACATATCTTCACAGAATCGGTCGTACAGGACGTTTCGGACGTGTTGGTGCCAGTTTCAGTTTTGTCCAGGACCAGCTCAGTTGGCAACAGATGGATGCTATTCAGCGTCACTTCAATTGCCAGATGACTAGAATTGATATCAAGTCGGATGCTGTAAGTAATCCTTCAATCTGTCATAGTATAAGTTCTATGAAAACCCAAATATTAACCATGATTCAATACATAGGCTCGTAAGCAGATCAAGGCAATCATGAAGTCCAGCAAGCCGAGCGAGCAGTTCATGGGAGTCGGTTCGGGGAATTAGTGAATTCTTCGTAACCTGGCTTTAAACAGCTGTTTTGCACCAATTTTTTTTTCTTATGCAACTAAAAACTACATCATTACGCTTCTGTTTTCTCTCTCTTGTTTTTTTTTATGGCGGGTGATATTTCCCTAGCACTTCCCTTCTCGATTTTCTTTTTGATATCCCCTCATGCATTTGATCTTTATCCCGTCCGTCCGGGGAAATATGAACAATGAATAATTCTGTTCCTCTCCACCTCACCTCACCAACAAACCGCTGATGTCGAAAGACCAAGGCGTATACACGATAACATAACATAACCTACACCCGAAACCTCTATTCCAGGGTGCACTGGGATAGAAGCCCTTGTATCTAAAAAGTTCGACCTCTTTTCCTTTTACAATCCCCACACTGAGCGTTCATCGACTTTTTGAACGACGTCAGCTGTTATTGACAGGGGAAAAAACAAAACGATGGCAATGGAAATGCGTTGCTGCTGCTTCATAACTCTTTCCCTATAACTTATATGCAGTGCAAGCGTGTGAGATGTTCTAGACTACTCCGGGGAAGCTAAAGCCAAGCCTCATCCTTCCGAGCTCCTGGAGAGAAAAGGCGCCTACTGAATTAGACTACCGAATCGGCCTTGGATTCCCGTCCGTTTCGTCGGTCGACAGGGCATTCCCTTTTAAAAGCTTGAAAGGCTTGTGACGTTATTGAGCAGGACGGGTAGGCTGAACATGGGCAACAGGGTGAGGGATACAACTGTCTAAGCCCAATTGAGGGGGGATCTGGAGTTTCTATGCACGGCGCGACATGGTAATAGTCGTTTGATGCTAAGCCTGTCCGTCCGTTGTCCGTTGTCCGTTGTGGCGTCTAGATCCTTTCTTTGATGGAGAACGAACGAACGAACGAACGAATGAATGAGGCACATGATCGTGTGTGCTCTACATGCTAGTATACACATGTACCTCCAGCGAGTCGAAGAGACAGTTTTTTGTCCCTCGAATCATGTCGGTAACCGAATGAGCCTTGGAGATATCCAATCCAATCCTCCGATAAATCAATAATTCCACTGATTTCCTAGACGTTTGTTCAAATAAGTACCTATTACAAGTATTACAAGTATTACAAGTGGTAGTGGTCTATTTTGATAGGTTTATAATTTATAAGAAAGAACGAGGCGGGTACAGGCCGGCATGCACAGCAATAAGGCCTCGCTTATTAAGACTCCCAGGAAGTATCTCCCTCTCACTCCCTCCCGCTCCATTATCACCGCCCATCTCTCTTTCCCTCTTTCAACTTCCAACTTCCATCCACCATCGAGTTACCCACTACTACATCATAGAAAACCCATCTGCCATCTCCCGAAGAGGTCGCAGTGTTTTCGTTCGAATGACCCAGGATATTTAGTCTAGCCAAAAGAGAGTGCGTAAGTCCCTTATTTCTCGACATTCTGATACCTTATTTCAGGCAGAAACCCTCCAGCCTTCGGAGGTGGTTTGTCCCAATTACGTTTGCCCTCGTCGCTTCCCCCATCATACACTTGCATTGACATCGTCATCCTTCACCGTCACCACTCCGTCTATTGTATACTTGGCTTTGATTTGATATTGGAATCCTTTATCGGGATTCATAAACCGGATATATCTTATCACTGTCTTTATAAGTATATATGATACTTTTGATCTTGGGCTATTCGGACAAGACCGGTTCCCTTGCTCTCCCCCCCGGGTGTTCCACAGGTTGACCCGATCCGGTGCTTGGGACAGGACAGGACAGGCCAGTCATTATACCCAGACGCCTGATTAGTCCCAGTCGGTTAGTCGGTCAGTCATCGCCACCAACCCCAGAAACTGGACGAGGTATTGCTTGTGTATCAAGTACTCTTTTGCCAGTGGGCTCTTTCCAGTGGGCTGCTGCTTGCCTTTATGTATTCGTCAGCCTTCATTCCTGCCTTCCTACACATTCGTCTCCTCTTTATATTCTAGAACGTGCCACATTCGCCTCTCTCTCCCTTGCCTATCCTCTTCAACCTCCCTTCAAATCTTCCCGGTCCTCCTCTTCATAATTTTCATCACCCTCCGCTTTCATATTCTAGGGCTTGATTTCTATTTTAATTTTATCGTACCTGTTACAGGATAAAAGTTCTTTCATTATTCTACTATTTATTTCATTTCATTTATTATTATTATTTTTTTACAAAAAATACATTTTACGACAGCCTTGTTACTCACCTTTCAGACGGTTTATTAACCTATCGTCTACAAACAGATAGATCAACATGGCTACACCAATTTCTCAAATGCCACAGGCCGCACCACTCCATGTTCCAGTGAATCCAGATACTCCCATCACCGTTAAAGTTTCATACAACGGTGCTATCCGTCGATTCAAACTTCCTCTACGCGACTTGGGTCCAGCAGTTCTACCCACCAAGGTATGACGCGCGGCCTCACGAGCATACCGAAATTATGTAATCAAGACATACTAACAACCTATAGCTTCGGGTTGCCCTTGCCATTCCTGAAGACCAAGATGTTCGCTTTGAACGATACAGTGACAGTGCCGCTTCTTTTGTTGTCTTGGACACCGACAACTTGACCGTCTACAAGCAGTTGTACCGTGCCGCTAAGGCAAAGCTTAAGCTTCGTCTCAAGGCTACTGTCATCACCCCAGAGACCGGTAAGCTGCTTGAATCTGTTCAGAGAAGACTAGCTGGTGTAGCGATTACTGATATATTCTCAGTCGAAAATACCATCGGATCCAATCCACCAGCATATACCTCACAGGTCACTCTGGCAACTGTTGAGCCAACTCCAAGCCCGGTTCCAGTCGTTCCACAACCTGTCGTTACGAATGTCGTTGTCCCCGAGGCCGTCAAGGCCCCAGTCGAGCCACAGCCGGAGCCCGTCGATTATACTCAGGCGATCGCTGATCAGGTCACAAGCTACTTTGCTGGGGATACTTTCGCACAACAACTTCAGCAGCAGCTGGAGGTCGAGGTGGATAAGCGTATGAAAGAACTCTCACTCAACGTGGTTCCAGAACCTGTTAAGACCGAGTGTAAGATCGGTGCCTGCATCGAGCCAGAGGTTATCCCGTCGTCGAGATCTTTCTTGGTCTATTGCAACAAATGCCAGGGAACCATCAGCGGAGAACATTATCACTGCTCAATCTGTGATACCGGCGATTACGACCTTTGCGCCACCTGTGTTGATAACGGAGTTCACTGTGAAGGTGACCACTGGCTCATCAAGCGTACCCTTGAGAAGGGTCGTATTGTCTCGAGCACAACAGAGTACAACAAGCGCAAGCAGCGTTCAAAGGCGCCTTCGCCACAATCAGAGCAGCAGGAGCAGCAACCACCACCACCACCGCCATTCAGGACACGCACTTGTAATTGCTGTATTGCGTCCCTCCCGGAGGAGTGTTTCGTGACTTGCACCGTTTGTGAAGACTACGATATCTGTCTCCCATGCCACATTGCCCAAAAGCATGGTCACCACCCCATGCATGGATTCACACCAGCCACCAAGGACACTCCCCTCGATGCCATTGGGACTGCCTTGTTAGAACCAGGCCGTGGTATTCGTCACCATGCCATCTGCGATGGGTGCAACGCTACCATCAACGGTGTTCGACACAAGTGCTTGGCCTGCCCAGACTGGGATTACTGCACTGCCTGCGTTCAGACGGCGCCGGAGATTCACCCTGGCCACAGATTCGTCAAGATCTACGAAGCAATTAACATCGCTCCCCAGTACGGACCTAAGACCATTCACAACGGCGTACGCTGCGATGGCCCACTATGCCGACATAATGTGATGTACATTTTGGGTGATCGTTACAAGTGTGCTATCTGCGATGACTTGGACTTCTGTGCCAACTGCGAGGCCTCGCCACTCAATGATCATAACAAGACACATCCCCTCATCAAGATGAAGACTGCTCTTCAGGGCATTACCTGCTCGACTACCGAGGCTACCCCGACTGGCCCAGGATGCCTTCTTGGCGATGTTCGCAGCCTTGATCCTTCTATCCTCAAATCAACCACTAATGCTGCCACCCAAGTTCAGACTGTTGCTGACGTTGAGCCTTCAACAGAATACTTGGATGAGAAGAAGGTTCCAGTTGAGCATTCCGAGCCAATCCCAGTCCCCGTAAAGGAACCTGAGCCTTTGCAGGCTGAGTACCTCCGTGACATCGTTTCTGATGGCACTCTCTTCACTTCCGGAACTAAGTTCGAGCAAGTCTGGACCCTTACCAATACTGGTACTAGCGCATGGCCCGCAGGCGTCACTGTCCGTTTCGTCGGTGGTGACCACATGTTCCGTCACGGTAGTGAAGAGAGCTGCATCGCCACTGTTACCGGTACTGCTGTCAGCCCGGGAGAGACCGCCTCTTTCGCTGTTGATTTGACTGCTCCATTTACCTCTAACCGCCGTGTCATCTCTTATTGGAGACTCACCGCACCCAACGGATCTCGATTTGGCCACAAGCTCTGGTGTGATATTGAGATTTTGAAAGAGGAGAAGAAGCAGCTCATCGATCTCTCTGAAACTATCAAGTACGACGACAAGCTTGACGAGAAGGTTGAGGATTCCGATTCTTCCGCATCATCCCAGATGATCTTCCCCAAGTTGGAGAAGGAGTCCCAGATCCTTGCCGTCGAGGAGGCCATCCCAACCGAAGTCGAGACTGAGACTGAGGCTGAGACTGAGGTTACTCTCCCGGGTACTCAGAACCCAGCAGCCTCGCCGGCATGGACCCTCACTCTTTCTGAAGAAGAAGGACATACTAGCGACGGTGTTACCAGCGAGGATGATGTTGACAGCCTCATGCTCGACGATGACTACGAGGTTCTTGAAACCAGTGATGACGATGGATTGTATGTGTAACTGCATCCCCAGTCTTCAAAACTGAGCAACCAAGGCTTACATATATCTTTTGGTATTAATTCTAGCCGCCGTGTTATCTAAACGCGAAAGTGTTCTCTCGAACTACATACCAATTTTACACAATGGCAGCTGAATAACAAAAAGAAGAAAAAAATTAGAAAATTAGAAAATCAAATATGATTATTTACAAATTTCTCGAACAGACTGGCATCGGAGCAACTGGGACAATTGACGGGATCGCATAACGGTGTTAAGAGGTGTTCTTCTTCTCTCTGAATCGGGAAATTACTACTACTCTCCTATCTTTTAGCTACTCGTTCCCCCCTCCCCTCCCATCTTCGTGGTGTTTTGTGCTTTCTACCTAGCAGCTGGATAACTTCTTGATTCGTTTTGTCGCTGGGACTGCAGGTTGTTTTTATCGGACCGGATGGTGGCTGGAAATTGTGTCTCTTCTTTTTCTTTTTTCTTTCTCTTTCTAGTCTATTGTTCTCTTTCGTTTTCTTCTCCCCCATGTAATACTACTCGTGTCGCTCGTTCAGACAAAAAATGAATACGAGAAGATATAAGATATTCTGAGACAGAGAGAAAGTAGGGAAGTTCCTTTTTTTTTTTTTTTGCGTGGATTTTGCTTGTATTCTTGGACTTTTTTTTGTTCTTTTTGGAAGTAAATTACAGGAATCAGAATGGCTACTACTATTATTACTAACGTTATAACACGACTATGGATTGATATATGGTAGCGTGCACATATAGTATACGTAGTCGAATATTCAATTGTTGTAATAAGGGAGCACCAGTACGTTGTGGAACATGAGATTTCGTAATCCTTGGGTTTCAATGTTGGAAGGGCAAGGATCCAGATACGTACAGACCATATTCCGAGCAGTCTGAGGCTGGAGGCATTGGCTGCACCTTGCTTAGTGAGGTATCACCAATCCGGGTTCATCTGAAGAGGATGTACTTTTACATACTTACATTATCACTTTGCGTCTGCATATGTAAGCGCGTACGAATCCGAGAGCGAATGCTAACTACCTCTGATCCACGAGAAATTTCGGAGATGGTATGGATGGGCCCGGGGTTTGAGCATGACAAGCAACAGCAGGATGAGTCTTTGCATTGATGTTGACTCCTCGCAGGCCTGTGCATGGCCAGCCAGGTTTCAGGGAATCCCCAAGCTAACTAAGCCTTGCGACATACCTTGCATACCTTGCATACCTATCTTCTTTGAGTACAAGTAGTCGACTCTCTCGCTCTCTTTTTTCGTTTGGATTTTGTTTTATTTGATTTTTGATACAACTTCAGTTTTTTTTTGAACTTGCTTTCAGTATCGTTTCATTTTCGATATCTGGTGATAGTATAAATACTGCGAGGGGTTCGAACGAACGGTGGTTGTAAAGTCTCATTCAAACGGAAGCTTCTGGACTGCTGCCTTGTTGTCGAGTCGCCACGAGTGATTGCCTCGTTTCCCAGCTCTCTCAAACCACCAAACTAAATCCTCCCATCCATTCATCCATCCTTCACGAGACTTTCTCTCTCGCACGTCACCTCACTCCACTACCTACGATCTCCTCCTCCTACCTCTCGTGTCTCCCACATCCTACTGGTTTTCCTTATCATCCTCATCATCACCAATATAACCTTTCCAAGATGCTAAAAATCTGGTCTATGGTATGTTCTTTCCCACTCAGTTCTCCGTTTGCCTCCCTGATCCTCCCTCCCGGAGGGGTTCCTTCGGGGCGTAGAGAAACACCGATGCTAACGATAGCTTTTTAATCGGGATTAATAGAAGCAACAGCAGCAAGCTGCATCTGCGGCTTCGGGAAAGAAGAAGGTTACTGCTGCTCAGTTACGGGTTCAGAAGGGTCAGTTGCCGAATATGCCTTAACAAAGAAAACACCGTTCCAGCCCCCACCCACGCGAGCAACGGAAGATAGCTAGATATTCCTACCGAATAAGGAAACAAAAAAGTTAAAGGATTTCAAAATGCTAACTTGTTGAAATTATGGCTATAGATCTCGGAGAACTCTCGTTACCGTCGACGATGAAGACTCATTTCCCGGATCCTGACGATATTCTTAACTTCACACTCACGATCGAGCCAGATGAGGGTAGGACTATCACCCGACCCGACCCGACCCCACTTTAATCCCTGTAATATGTCGATAACTAATTGAATTAATGTATAGGCATGTACAAGGGCGGTGCTTTCAACTTCGATTTCACCATCAACCAGAACTTCCCACACGAGCCACCAAAGGTCCTTTGCAAGCAGAAAATTTACCACCCAAATATCGATCTGGAAGGGAAAGTCTGTCTTAATATCTTGAGAGAGGACTGGAAACCAGTGTTGAACTTGAATGCTGTTATTGTTGGGCTGCAGGTATGCTCTCACCCCTCCTTTCGCTCAAACCCTCTTTTCCCTTCAATTCTTAGAATCCGGTGGCACCCAACCCGATCAGAATGACGATATGCTGACTAAGCTCCCACCATGTATAGTACTTGTTCCTTGAGCCAAACGCATCGGATCCATTGAATAAGGAAGCCGCTGAGGATTTGAAGACCAACCGGGACAACTTCAAGAGGAATGTTCGATCTTCCATGGGCGGTGGATACGTCAAGAATATCTCATACGATAAAGTCACGAAATAAATATCACTCCTCTTCATCACCACACGATGTTTCTCTGGGGGTCTTTTTTGGTATAATAATCTCTATGAGATCACGACAGCACTTCTATTGATCGCTTCGTTCGCTATTTCCTTTTTTTCTTATTCATGTCTGTTTTACCCTTGATGCTTACTGGTCGTTACGGAGGTGTTTTCCCTTTCGGCGCTTGCTTTTCTTCCCGGCATTGCACACGCTCACGTTCACATTCACACTCGCAAATCACACAATCTCGCACGCGCAAACAATTGGAAACGAAAGTTTCTCATTGTTAAACAATTACTTTTCTTTCTTTTTTTCTTTCTTCGAAACTTGCCTATAGATTCTTGTTTCTTGGGATGATAAGCAAAGGCGAAATTTTTTGTCGCGATGGAAAAGGGATAGAATGAGGCTCTTTTGCTTTCTTTGGATCTTCTTTTCTATCTACCTTGTCTTGTTTTTTTTTGGAGAAATTTGTAATAGATTTCCCTGATTATCCCGTCTTCTTCTTTTTCTTTGCTACTATATAGCTAATTTGGCTTCGGTACTGCTACCCCTCCTACCCCTCCTCCTCTTTTCGCCGTTTCCTCTCTGTACCCCGGATTATTTTAAATTCCGGGGCTTCCCCCTTGTTTAGCCGCTATTGTTTATATCCTTTTTTGACGTCCAGCCTGCGTTTTCTTCTCCTCCTTCTCCTTCTCCTGGAACCCTATCACTACTATTCCGTTGTCAATATAACTCATCGCGTCTGGCGCTGGATTGGTTTTTGTGCTCATGTTGATTCTTTATATGATGTTCTAATCTCTACGTAATCTTGAAGTCATATGGAATGGAATGAGTACATGATATATCCATAATTAACCTGTGATATCCTGTGTGGCGTACATTATGCTATAATTACTTATATAAGATGGGGAATCCTTGGCCGGTCCGCGATTGTGCGTGCACGTGAGGCAAATCTAATCTGCATCTAGATGCAAACCTCTTCCTCCTTCGGATCGAGAAACTTCTCCGCGTCCACCATGTGGGCGAGTTCTGCACAATTGTCCGTTTTACTCCGTATTCCGGAGTGGTTTCCAGTGCTGGTGCTCCTGGGTTTATGTATGAACTAGCGCCGAATTGGTGTTTTTGCAAGACCCGCGGAGAGAGTGCTGTCTCCGGTATCGCAAAAAGGCGCCGAAGTTTAGCAGTTTGCAGGGATGTTTGTGGTGAGTCGGCCGGTTCGAGACTGGAGACGGTCATTTACCCGTCGTCCGAGGTGACTTCCTATGTATGTAAACTGTGTTTAACTCGTGTCGACAGAGACCGCATAAAGAGAATAAATAGGCCGGGTCGGAATCCGAATTTTTCATCGGATTCCTTTTTCTTCATTCCTGCCATCGTCCTTCTCGAGCTCCCCTCTCTGTCCTGGCCAATTGTATAACCGTCAATTGTCAGTTTCTACATTCTTCTCTTCGATCTCATATTTACCGTCCCATCTATCTGCAAAAACCCAGATACCATACCAAAATATCCCACAATGGCCTCAAAAACCGTTACCAGAGCTCTCCGCTCTTCCTCCAGACAGGCCATGACCGCCGTCAAGCGTCCAATCACCCAAAGATCTCTCACAACCGCTGCTCTCCTCACTGCAGCATCAAGACCAGCTGTTGCTAGGTCTACTGCTAGAATTGCCGTTCCAGCTATCCAATCGAGAGGACTCAAGACCATTGACTTTGCTGGTGTTAAGGAGGACGTCTATGAACGCTCTGACTGGCCCAGAGAGAAGTTGCTTGTATGTTTTTTTCCTCTTGCTCCTCATCCTCCTCACTTCTTACCCTGGATTGGCCTAGCTCGGAGACCAGGCCCAATGCGGGGCACACACGTCTACGAGCTATTACGTATTTTACAGCTGTATACTAACCCCACTTTTTTTTCAATCAATAGGAATACTTCAAGAACGACACCCTTGCATTAATCGGTTACGGATCCCAAGGACACGGTCAAGGTCTCAACCTCCGCGATAACGGACTAAACGTCATCGTTGGTGTTCGTAAGAACGGAGCTTCGTGGAAGGAAGCCATTGAAGATGGATGGGTTCCCGGAAAGAACCTGTTCGAGATCGATGAGGCTATTAACAAGGGAACCATTGTTATGAACCTTTTGTCTGATGCGGCGCAGAGTGAGACTTGGCCTAGCATTAAGCCATTGATCACTAAGGGCAAGACTTTGTACTTCTCGCATGGATTCAGCCCTGTTTTCAAGGATTTGTGGGTTTTCCCCTCTCTCCCTCTATATTTCCCCACCTTTATTCTTTTTGGGGTTATATTTTTTTGGTAGTAGTGGTGGTGATTGATGCTAACTATGTGTGATAATATAGGACTAAGGTCGAAGTCCCAACCGACGTAGACGTCATCCTCGTCGCCCCCAAGGGTTCCGGCCGTACCGTCCGCTCCCTCTTCAAGGAAGGCCGAGGCATCAACTCCTCCATTGCCATCTTCCAAGATGTTACCGGTAAAGCCGAGGAAAAGGCCGTGGCACTTGGTGTTGCCGTCGGATCCGGATATCTCTACAAGACCACCTTTGAGAAGGAAGTCTACAGCGACCTTTACGGTGAACGTGGATGTTTGATGGGAGGTATCCACGGTATGTTCTTGGCACAGTATGAGGTCCTCAGGGAGAATGGACATTCGCCCTCTGAGGCTTTCAATGAGACTGTTGAGGAGGCTACTCAGAGTTTGTATCCTTTGATTGGAAAGAATGGTATGGATTGGATGTACGAGGCTTGTTCTACTACTGCCAGACGGTTGGTCTCCCTTCCCTTTTTCTTTTCTTTTTCTTTTTCTACTATAGTGAATAGTTTGCTAACGGGGTTTTGATAGTGGTGCCATCGATTGGTCCTCGAAATTCAAGGATAGCTTGAAGCCAGTCTTCGAGGAACTTTATGATTCCGTCAAGACCGGTAAGGAGACTCAGCGATCCTTGGAGTTTAACTCTCAAAAGGATTACCGTGCCAAGTACGAGCAGGAGATGCAAGAGATCAGAGATTTGGAGATCTGGAGAGCCGGAAAGGCTGTTCGATCTTTGAGGCCTGAGAATAACTAAAAGAGGAAAGAGAGAGAGAGAGATTTTAGAAGGAGTTTGATACTATTTCTTGATCTTTTGCTTTGCTTCTTTCAGGTGATGATGATGATATCCTCTTTTTGCTTTTTCGCTTTTTTTTTTATATTAATATTATTATTATTATTATTATTATCCAAAAGTTTGTTTTTGGAATGTGGGGAAGAGAGAGCGAAGAGCGAGGATGGTTATGTTGTACTCTCTCTCGTGTGTACATACATATATGGATTATGTATACCGGGAGGTTTTTAGGTATATTCTTTGTATTATACTATAATTATGATCAACCTTTTTTTTTTTTTTTTCAATTCATATAAATGTGTATTGGATGTTTATTGAACGTAAAGGATTGTAAGTGAAGATTTGAACGACGTGATGATACCAGCTTGCCTATGCGTTTTAATACAAGACTACGTGATGATATCGATTATAGATAGATAGAAACACTGAGAGGCCCGGTATTAACCCAGTTATCAGAACGGTGACCGCTTGCTGGGATGTATCGATATATTATCATCTTGTAGATATCCATGTATGGTTCTTGTCAGAAGCCCAAAGGAACTCAGCTAGCTTTTAAATATATATATTATGATCAAGCACAGGTTAACAAAGTAGTGCTAAGAAAGTAAAATCAAAATTTAGCTAGACCACGTGGGTAGATTATATTAACTATTTAATTAACTATTTTATATATCGATTTAAAGTATATATGATCAAAGCATTTAGGATTCCGTATAGAACTAACCAACTAAAGTTAACGGTTTTTGTCTTCTTTTTTTTACGTTTTTGTTTATTTTGGATATATAGCTTACAAAAAAGTTGGTAGGCATACGGCTGTACTTATAAGGGGCTTTAGCTTTAGGGTGTTGATTAGGATTTATATGTATATGTATATGATATCAATGAAGTGGTGATGGGTTTACATAAAATGTCCTGCTGTTTCACTACGTCTAGTCTCGAAGCTAGTTTATGTGAAGTGTATGTATGTGTATGTAAAGTTAATTACCTAAGTATGTATGAGGTATGTACGAAAGCGAATGGGATGTATGCACATTACCTACGCTGTATTCAAATTTAGGAACGGGAAAAGGTACAGGGTATGTTGTTACACAAAGATATATATAAGGAAGCTTGAGGGGTTGTAAGTAAGTAAGTACGTAGTACTTGCGGGTACGCATGTATGTATACCTTGTAGTATGGATTAGGGCTTGTGAGCAGCTAGTAGGCCGGGGGGGCGGGGGCGGGGTTGTAGGGATGTTGATTAATTTATTTATTTTAATTGATTGTTGCTGCAGGATTTAAGTGGAGAGGGGAGGGGGGGGTGATTTAAGTTATGTATTTTGTAGATCGCAATTGAAGGGGTTTGAATGTATATGGTAGTTAAATTCAAGTGTTCGGTTGGGATTGGATATATGAGTATGATGTGATGTGATGTGATATGGAATTTGTAGTTGTTTCTAATGATTGGTGTGATGGAGCGGAGCGTGGGGTGGGTCTGTAGGGATCTGTGGATGATTGTGATTTGAAGGTAAATCGTGGAGGTTAATTAACGATTTATCCCAATACTGATATTGATACCCTAGGTAGTAGATCTACGTAGGTAGACGGGTAGATTGTAATCATTTTCGTTCTTTGATTCTTTAAGAAAAAAAGGTTTATTGATCGATATATCTTTGCCGGCTTAATAGTTTCGCCGGCGCCGGTTCTTTTTATAAATACTTACTTACCTATAAGTGGTATTCCAGGGTATAAGTGGCAGTCTGGGGGGTCGCCGTTCTATGTGTAATAGGGAGCTTTGTTAGGCCGGTCCTGTGTAGGCAGGCAGCTAGGCCGTCGGGACATTTAGGCATGCAGGCACCGGTAATGTACTCCCCCCTTGACCCTGTGGTTTCTAGATCATTTTTTTAGGGTTCTTTCTTCCTTTCTACCTTTCTATTGTGTACGCCTGGTGGCTCCCCAGTCGTTATCATCGGTTGTTGCTGGTGGGTGTGTTTTTTTTTTAAGGAAGGTTACACAGAGCGGGATAATTATATTATGTCAGCATGTTTATTCTTTGATTTTTAATGACCTTTATTGTAATTTTTATTTTGGAAATTTTGACTGCACTGCGGTTCTATGCAGACGCATGTATGGATGTATGTATGGGGGTAGGTAAAATATCTAATTTATGAGATATATATATGAGATAAATGTTCAATTCAGGGGGGCGAGGGTTCAAGTTTGTGTGTGGTTTTATAAGGGTTATGCGTCTGATATAGGCGCAGTCAGCAAATATAATATATATGTGCAGTGTTATGTATACATGTAGGGGGAGGCACATGGACCGGACCGCGTACCGGCAGGCTTTAAGTTTCAAAAAAAAAAACTTGATTGTTTAAATTTTCAATGGAGTGTTTTTTTGTAGGTGAGGGGGACGGTTGGTAGTTATATATACAACGTGGCGTTTGCATTTAGTTTTAGTTTTATTTACTTTATGTGGGTAGTTGATGTATAATAGATATATTATATATGAAAGTATGTATGTAATTGATGTTTGATGGGCTCAGTTTGCGATTGCATGTCGTAGGAACTAGGAGGCGGGGTACTGGTGGGATGTTTAATTTTGGTGTAACGATTGGTTTTTTTGGTTTTTTATTAATTGATACAATGAATAGGGAGAAAAGAGTTCTTGATATGCGTACCTGCTGTATGCAGGGGTTGGATTTAAATTGAGCATATGTATGTTGATGTAGGGAGGTAAGTTGGCGGGGGAGCTCGAGGGGAATTTTGATTAATTGTTATCAAATATCGATATCAATATCATGTCAGATATTAAATGTTTGTGATGAAACATTATAGATAGATAAGTTAGTAGGTAGGTACTTGGTAGGTACTTACAACAGTGGGTTGATTCGATCTAATTGATCACGAGGTTTGAGTCGAGTCAAGTCATGTTATATATTGCGAGTATTGAGGACAAAAAATGGGTATCATGTGATTTGTTGGGACAGTAACGTTACGGTTGGAAGATTAAAAAAAAAAAAAACAGATTATCTAATTAATTCTAATTCTAGCTTCGGTCTCAATTAATTATTTCTATTTTAAATATTTTGGCCCGGTGTTAATTTGTGGGCGAGAAGGGACTGTTGATCGATCGGTTGGGTGATATCACGTATCACACGACACAACAGCTTGGTTTGGAAGTGATTGGTTAGGTTGTATAATATACGTCTAATTCGTTCGTGGTTTTACCAACTGTTTGAAAAAAAAAGGCAACAGTTACCGATAGGATCTTTTGTATCGTTATAAAGAAAACAAAGAAAAGATCTATATCTATCAAAAAATAGCTTAAAAAGTAGAAGATCCGATCTGATCTGAGAGTGGGGCGGAGGGGGGCGCGGAAAAGAGCGAGCGAGCGAGCGAAGAGCTTATAATGGAGTGTACCTACATAAACAAGAATTTAACCGCGATTCATTAAGTATTATATTATTAATCCTATGTATATAAAAAAATAATTCGATATACTTACACGGGAAACCCCAGGCCGATATAGCAGCTGAGAGTACAGCTGCAGGTATTATGTTATCAGCCCAGGGATTTTTTGGAACTTTCCATGGTGGTGTGGGGTGGTGTGGAATAGGTGTGAGGCGGATTTGTCTGGGCACGATCAGTAACTAAACAGATGGGCTTGTGGTTGTGGGTCCACCTCCCCATCCGATGTTGATTCCAAATATAACCCACGCCTGAACCGTCAAAAGGGCTCGCCACAGCCGCAAAATCCCTGCAGGCTGGATTTGATATTTTTTTTTTCTTTCGATGAAAATTAACGGCGACTGAGAGTTGTGGAGGCAAGTCTTTAGGCTAGCTTTTCCCGGGATTCTTCTTTCTGTGTGTATGTAATCATGTGGTCTAGATGTCTGAAGGTATTTCTTCGGTGAAGAAGTCAAAAGTACGTAGTGTACTTACTGACTTACTTTCTCAGCTCGAGCTCTAGAGAGAAGGTGGAAGAGAGAGCTCTAGGTTGGAAAAAGTGGATAAGTAAGTAGGCAGTTAACAGGGGGGAATTGCTCGAAGCCACGATACTGGGCTTTGCACGCGCGAACAGTACCGTGCAAAGTAAAATAAGTTTCTTAAGTATGTACGAAGGGGTTTAGATATAATATGTTTCGGAGCATGCGAAGTGATGATAACGTGAGATCGATAAACCCTTCGCCGTACATGTATGTACTTACATACTCACACGCATACATACATACATACATACATACATACATACATACATATGCTGCGCAGCCAATTAACTTTTTGATCCAAAAAGTAGAAAGCTGGTCTGCTTCTGTGCCTTTTTTATTTCTCTTGGATGTGGAGTAGGTTCGATCTCTGGGCATATAGGCGCTGTTTAAGCATTTGCTTGCGGGCATTGCATAAGCACTACAAGAAGGCTTTGAATTGAAGTGCCACCGCCGGAGAAAGGATAGTGTATTACATAGGTACTTACTTTGCCGGAAGGAAAGTTAGAAAGAAAGAAAGAAAAGGGTTAGTATTTGGGTATAATTACGAGGTTACTTTTTCGGTACGAGCGATTCGGTGGGCTCAGTAAGTACCGCAAGTACCGTGTTCGAATTCGAAAAGTGGTGAGAGGATCATGGTCAGTGGGGCACTTACCCAGGTCGGTTCCGGCTGTCAGTACGTACGTACCGGACGTCACTTTGACATCCACCGGTCCATTTGCATTCAATTGCAATTAATTCACACTGCAACTGCAACTGCAACTTAACTTAAAGCTCCTGTGAATCAAAAACCGCCCCTTTCGGACTCTTTTTATGCACAGAAAATTATAATACTTCCCCCCCTTCTTCCTTCCTGCTTGACCTTATTTTTAATTCCTCCCCCCCCTTCCCTTTCTTTTCCTTCTTCTTCTTCCTTTTGGATTTTGTCATTTGTTTCCGAATTCCTATCGCGGTTGAATTATACATTAACGTTAATTGCCGTAGCCCGTGCGATCAACACAAAACACACCAGTACACCCGTCATATTTGATATTTGCAATTCTTCGGCCGGGGTTGTACGCCAGACCTCATCATCACTGACAAAAACTAAAAAAAACATCGAAGACGACATCGAAACCATTATAAATACTAAATACTTATTATCTCTCAGCTCGTCCGTCAGCTTGCAGGACGACGTAAGCTCCTATTTTCTTACACCGACAATAATAACAACAATAGTAGTTAACAACAATTGCCTTTTCATATCTATCCGAAGGGAAGGATAGCTATAGAAATCAATCAACCAAAACGTGGAGTAGAATTGAAGAAGAAGAAAAAGAAAATTAAAAAAGATGGCAATAGATATAATAAGAGACTTCCTCCGTCTACCCTCCTCCCTCCAACTACCATTCCGTCGAAAATCCTGCGATTTACCACCAGACCTCGCTCCTTGCAACTACGGCTGCTGTCGTCCCAACGAAGCTTTCTTTGTAAACTCCGCTACATCATCTAGAGAGTCTTCTTCTACATTATCAGATTCATCTTCAAGAAGAGGGAGAAGAGCTAGTACATCACGGAGTACTCCGTCCCCTCAGCCTACCACCACCGCCGCCTCCGGCTCCAGCTCCAGCACCACGGGAGGAATAGTAATTTCCTCCTATTCAGCCCCAGTCCAAGTACCCATTCTTTCCATCCCAAAACCACGAAAACGTAGCGCCAGCCAAACCCGTCGGGATATCGCGTTACGTCCCAAATCCAGCCGTCAATCCATGGGATCGAAGAAGTCCAAGATGACACTAGTAGAGATTTTCCAAAGTCAGGGGTGTTCCAGCTGCCCGCCTGCGAACTCGAATGTTATCGAGCTCATGAATAATTATCCGAGTATTTTGGTGTTGACTTATGAGGTTACTTATTGGGATTATTTGGGGTGGAAGGATGTTTTTGGGAATAAGGAGTTTGATAGACGACAGAGGGATTATGCGGGGGCGTTGGGAAATGAGACGGTTTTTACGCCGCAAGTAAGTTTTAACTCTTCTTCTTCTTCTTCTTCTTTTTATTTAGATTTATTTTATGGCAAGAAAATATAACTAATATGCATCTCTCTCTCTTTTTTAGGTTATTGTAAATGGCCGCGCAGATGGCGTCGGTAATACCTTCAAAGACCTCAACAAAATCGTCAGCCAAGGCGTCATGGCCGCAGCAAACGAAGACACAGTCAGAGTCGACACGGAAAGCAATGCAATCCTTGTCTCCGGCGGAGACGCAGATGAAGTTGCAGACGTTCATTTGGTCAGGTATATGCCCAACCCACCCGACGTTGACATCAGACGTGGGGAAAACGCGGGGAGGTGCTTGCCTCATAGGAATGTTGTGGTTGATATTAAGAAGATCGGGGAGTGGAGGGGTGGTAGTACGGTTTTTAATATTGGGGATGAGAAGCAAGAGGGGATCGAGAGGGCGGTTTTGGTGCAGAAGGGACGAGGAGGGGCGGTGATTGGGGTTGCTAAGTTGGAGTAGTTACTGGTACTGCTTTTGGGAGGGGGGTGTATATATCCTCTTTGTTTTTTTCTGTTTCTTTTCGTGACTTGGAGATTGGAGTTTTATGGTCTTGTTTTCCTGTTTTGTGAGCCCCTTTGAAGTTTTGCGCTCTTTCAATCGGCGTTTTTTGGGGTTTCTAATCCGGTCTTTTTTTCGTCTCATGTCATTACGTCTGCTTTTTCATGCCCGAGACAAAGTAATATTCTTGATTATCGTCAGAATTGAGCATTCCAATGGAGTTACAAATTCGTTCCTAGAAAACCATAGAAGTCTGCATTAGCGTAGTTTAACACAAAGTTTTAATCCTCCCCACGTGAAAAAATCCCGAGATCACGGTAAAGGAACTAAAAAAAAATTAAAAGCCATGATAAATACTTAAATATAGACAGCGAACGATACAGAAGATCCACCGGCTCGTGTCAGCAGCGAAAAAAGCGTGTTGATACTGTTGGGGTTTGGGGTTACACTAAGTCACGTGGGAGACCAGGTACCATTCGCTTCTGCCACGCCCACGCTCACTCACTCACTCACGCGCATTTACTCCACATCCAGAACCGTAGCTGCAGCCCCCATACCTGCCATAACCGGGAACGAAGTTACATAACCAAAAAGGTTGCTTCTTCTTCTTCTTTTTATTTTACTTTTACTTTTATTTCTTGTTTTAGAGTTTAAAAAATACCATGGTGGATATCGGATGAACCGAAACAGGTCTTTTGAGACTTTGTAATTTTTGAGTAATTTCCAATCCCCGCGCAAGGAGGACTTAGCTATGGCGCCGCCTGCGGTATGTTTCTCACCGACCGCACCCCTCTATGTTTATAAATGGTAAGAAAGTGTTACTCATAAAGGAATGGTGTAGACACCCCGACACCGCTTCCCATCACCAGATGACGTACCACGATCTCGTACCGACCCACCACGGATCTCAACCGGTGCGGTCCAAACGTCGATAACAGCTCCAGCTCCGAGACCACAGTTCGCTACACCTGGACCTCCAGCTGCACGTCGACGACAACAACAACAGCAACAACCTACACAATCTAGTATTCAGACACCGGGGGGGTTGAATAATAGACAGTATAATCGAGGGTTTAGTCCTGATCCGGATTTCTTCACGTCGAGTGTTAGTCAGAGGAAAGATGGGATTGTGAGGACGGCGGTAGTACCGAGGACTTTGGGGAGTAATAATAATAATAATAGTAATAGTAACAGTAATAAGAGGAGGAGGAGATCATTCGATCTCGATGAGATTGATGAGGCGTTATTGGTTTCTTCGGGGAAACCCAGGGTTTTGGGAGATTCTTCGGGAGGGTGGAAGGTTCCTGTTGAGTATTTTGGGGGGACGCCGGTGCCTCGTAGGTTTCTACCCTTTATTTTATTTTAATATTTAGTGGTATTATTGTATTATGGGGGCAAGCTAATTGCATTCAACAGAAAGGATACAAGGACTTCTTCATCACCATGCTACACCGACACCTTCTCTTCGACGACCGACGTTTAGACAGGGTTCTGCGGTTATTTCCTCGCCGCCTGGGGATTTGAATTTAAGCTTTGGAGATACGCAGGAGGATGTTCAAGATGATGACGACGATGAAGATGACGATTATAACAGGAAAGGGAAGGTTGTGATGACAGCTGCCGTGGTTAATGGCGGTGGTGGCGGTGGTGGCGGTGTTCCGCAGAAGAAGAGACAGAAGAGTGCAGGAGTATTTGATGATATTGAGAGTATTGCGTCTAGTCTTCCGGGTACTAGAGATGAAGGTACAGAAGGTGTAGAGGGTTCGAATCGAAAGGAGAATTCACGGAGTACGATTACTACTATTACGTCTCATAATACTACTACTACGAAGTCTGGACTACGAACGCCACAGAGGGTTTTAAAAAGTGGTGGTATATCAAATATCCACGATAGCGGCAGTACGATACCCCCACCACCATCTACAAAGACAACTACTGCTACTACGGCAGTGGTAGTGGGCGAACAGTGGATGGCGGTTCCGGATCAACCGCAATTAAAGCTACCGGCCAAAACATCACCGACGGAGAAGCTTAATAAAGCGATATGCGCGATGGCGTGGTCGCCATCGCATAGGAAACGAAGGAATGTGAATAATAAGTATTTGAATGGAGGCTTGGCGGCTACGGTATTGGGATGGGCGTATGATGCACAGGATGTGGTGTTACGGAGTAATATGGTTATTGAACAGAATCAGAAGGAGAAGCAGAGTTTGAGTTTGAATTTGAAAGGAGGAGGAAGAGGAGGAAGAGGAGGAAGAGGAGGAAGGATTGGAAATAGTTATGCTAGCGGTGATCGGGCAGGTATGATGGTAGTTAAAGTTGGAAGTGTCTGGGGAGAAGAGGGTTACGCGGCTATTACGGGGGAAGAAGAAGACGAGGAGATTGAAAGTGGGGCGGAGAGGAAGGTTATTCTTATCGGGGATGAGAATAGTGGGCTGAGGAAAGATCTTAGACAGGGATCGTGGGTGGAGGTGAGGATGCCGATGTGGGAAGTAACCGTGGAAGGGGGGAAGTGGACGGTGGGGATTAACTGGAGGCTTTTGTAGAATTAGTGAATTACTTACTTACCCGTTACCTGGGATTCGAGTCTTTGTGCTTGAAGTTACCAGTTTATATTGTGTGTATAGAAGTGGATGAGTACCTGGTATGGGTGGATATGGACTGGAATAAGTATGAAGTAGTACTAGCTTGGTGGTGTTCGTCCAAGACTTCGAGTCGTTCAGCCTCAACTAGTAGTTAAGTAAGTAGCGAACGAGGCAGGACTCGATAACTGGATCCAGCTAAGCTAAGCTACACTACACAGGATCAATATTATACCAAGACCTTCAAGCTCCCTTTCGTACCATACCATAGGAGGCAAAGGAACAAAACAAACGAAACAGAACCCACATGTATGTACTATGTATTGTCGAGAAGAACAGAGATCTTCTCTATTTTTAGTCGCGAAAAGCGGAGTGTTTGTTCATGTTCATGGTTCGTGTCCATCAACTTAGCTAACTTACGTCAACTTGGCTGCCGGACCAGGGCAGTGCAACACCTTTTTGATTCTCACAGGCTGATTCCGAGGCAGCGAATTCCAAATGGCCTTTTTCTTTCTTTCTTTATTAATTAATTAATTAATGATCTTTGTGGTGTGAATATTGGTTGGTGAAGTTAAAAAAAAGAAGAAGAAGAAGTCAGTCAGTGGGAGCAGTCAGTTGACAGGGTCAAATGTGTATTTTCTAAGAGTTAAAAGAAATAAATGTCCGGTCATCGACGAAATTAATAAAAGAAACCTATTTGACACCCCCATTCTGTCTTTTTCTTCTTTTTTTCATTACTTCTTCAACCTCGAATCGTGGATTGTTATTGTATTATATTATATATAGTATAGAAGAGTAGACGCTTCATAGGCGCCCGAGTTTTACGATTTACCGCTGCGATAGTTATAGAAATTCAGGTTTGTCAAGACTCTTTCCCTCGTTATTCCTTTGGAAGCTACATATACGAGACGGGTACCATTTCTATCCCATCCTATCATATCACAGCATATCATAGCATATCATTCGGCCTTAGTGTACTGTGCCGGTGTATGAATGTTCGTGTGTGGGGTGTGTGAATATCCATGGGATGAAGAAACAAAATAAAAATAAAATTACCTGGCCAGCGATCATGAATCAAACACTGACCCGACTGGTTAAATTAGATAACCGGTTCCTTATTTATAATTAGCCAGAGGGAACCGACAAAGAAACGAAGCAGAAGACGACGACTACGACAACTACTACGACGACGACGCAGGGGCAGCAAAGCAGTTAGGTTGGTTGGAAGAACAGGACGTAATCGGACTTGTGCTCCTTGAAACAGACCCCAACCACACCCTCATACCTTCTTCATACCTTCGGACCTCCTCAACCTCGTACATAAGCACTATACTTACGACACCATCATCACCATCACCATCACTATCACCATCATATTCTCATACGCCCTGTCCTGTCCCGTCCGTCCCTTCATTAGATTAGTTCCGGTCAGATTGCAATTTGTTTTTTGTTAGTTAGTCAGTTACTTTCTTAGCTAGCTTGCTTGCCAAACCGTTGCGACTCCGAAACAGAACCAACCAACCCACACAAACACACCACACAAACACACAAACACACAAACACAACAGCCAACAGCCAAACCTCTGGGAGATCTGTGAGAATCGAATAGACAATTCTGCCTCATACACGCTCACTTCACAGAGTTCACAAAGTTAACCCCGAAACGAAACAAACCAAAATCCTGACCGCGATCGGTCCTTGCTGCCGATGGCCCACCATAACAATAATAATGACCCTTACTCCCGCCTTGACTTCAATGGCGCTGGTTCCTTCGATCCTCCAAGTCCAATCTCCTCTCCTTCACACATGGATCCCTTCAACAGTAACAACAACAACAATAGAACGCCGTCGCCGGGTCGACCGCTTCAATCCCGAGTAACCTTTCAATCCCCTTCTCCCGTCTATGGCGACCAGCAACAGCATCAACCTCTCCATCAACCCCAAAACCCTTATGATGCTTATGGAGGCGCCCCGCAGCGACATAATACGCCTGGGCTGGGTCCGGCGCACGCGAACTACTATGATGATGAGATGGCAGTGCAACCGACAGTAAGGCCGGATTAAACCTCAACTTTATTTTTTCTTTAAAAAACTATAGAATGAGAATTAGCTCGTTTTTTTGGGTAATTTTGTTACTGACTTTCTTGACTTTTTTTTAGTACTCGGTCCAAAATCTGGCGCATTCGTACCATCAGCAAGGTCAGCAACCGGGACAGCAGTTGAGCGGCCAAACAACGGGTCAACAGTATCAAAATCCTTCCTACAACTCTCACGAAGACTTTGACGACGTCTATCAACCTTCGCCTCTTGAGGATAGCTATCCGATGCATCAGTACAATGAAGCTGGTTACGATAAAGATTATGATGATAGCCAACCGATATTAAGTCCTTCTCAGGCTGGATTTCCAGAGGGACAACAAGATCCAGGATATTTCCCACCACAATCTACAACTCCGGTTCCTACGATCAAAAGATGGAAGACGGTAAAGAAGGTCGAGCTGTACCAGGGTAACTTGGTGCTCGATTGTCCCGTACCGAAGAAGCTTCTATCCCAGATGCCGAGGCAGAACGCTAGAGAGTTCACTCATATGCGATACACAGCTGCAACTTGCGATCCGGCAGATTTCTTGAAGGAACGATTCACACTTCGTCAGCAGCTATTCTCGAAGCCGCGATATACTGAATTATTCATCGTAGTCACCATGTATAACGAGGATGAAATATTGTTTGCCAGAACTATGCGTGGTGTTATCAAGAATATTCAGTACATGTGCGGCCGAACGGGATCGCAAACATGGGGTGACGAAGGGTGGAAGAAAATCGTGGTTTGTATTGTCAGTGACGGTCGTTTAAAGATCAATCCGAGAACGAAGAGTACCTTGGCGGCTATGGGGTGTTATCAGGATGGTATCGCGAAGAATCAAGTCGGCGATAAACCTGTGACGGCTCATATTTACGAGTACACCACGCAAGTTAACCTGGAAATCAAGGGCGACTTGGTCGAGGTTCAACCTGGAGGCAAGAACAGTGTTCCCATGCAGGTTATCTTCTGTTTGAAGGAGAAGAATCAGAAGAAGATCAATTCCCATCGGTGGTTCTTCCAGGCCTTTGGAGAGGTTTTGGATCCGTCGATTTGTGTTTTGATCGATGCTGGTACGAAACCCGGTGGGAAGAGTATTTATCATCTCTGGAGGGCTTTCGAGTTGAATCCCGAGTGCGGTGGAGCTTGTGGTGAGATTAAGGCTATGTTGGGTGCCGGATGGAAACATCTGCGAAACCCTCTCGTTGCAACTCAGAATTTTGAGTACAAGGTATGCATTAAACTATCCCTAGGTTTTTTAGGCCCTCCGCTAATATGGATGTAGATGTCAAATATCCTGGACAAACCGCTAGAGAGCGCGTTCGGTTTTATCAGTGTGTTACCGGGTGCTTTCTCCGCTTACAGATTCGCTGCTCTGCAGAGCAGGAAGGGTTTACCGGGGAGCATGCAAAACGATGTTCCCGAGGGTCCTCTCGAGAAGTACTTTAAGGGCGAAACGATGCATGGTGCTAATTCCACCTTCTTCGACGCCAATATGTACCTCGCCGAGGATCGTATTCTCTGTTTCGAATTGGTCACAAAGCGAAACTGCAACTGGGTTTTGACATACGTCAAGTCTTCATACGCCGAAACCGATGTCCCTGACCGAATGCCCGAGTTGATCTTGCAGCGAAGACGTTGGTTGAACGGTTCTTTCTTCGCTGCTGTCTACGCCCTCGTCCACGCCTTTGATATCTGGCGAAGCAAGCACTCGTTACTTCGCAAGTTGATGTTCCACGTCGAGTTTCTCTACCAGTTCATTTTCATGCTTTTCTCCTGGTTCGCCCTTAGCAACTTTTTCTTGGTTTTCAAGATTTTGACGGCTAGTTTGGGCGAAGCAAGCGTTAGATTCGCGCCAGGGAAAGTTTTGAGTGTTGTCTTCGAATGGTTGTATCTTGGTATTCTACTCACTTGTTTCATCCTTTCGCTCGGTAATCGTCCGCAAGGGTCGAATAAGTTGTACATGACTATGGTTGTCTTCTGGGCTATCATCATGGTGTAAGTCTTCCCTTCTTTTTCGCTGGCTATATGGGGAAGAGAGGCTAATGTTCGGTTCAGGTATTTGCTCTTCGCTGCTATCTTTGTGTCTGTCCGCGCTGTGCAGTCGGTGCTTGAGAATACGGAAGGGCCGATCACTGTTAATGCCCTCTTCCAGAATCGCATCTTCAGAGATTTGCTTATCTCCCTGTGCTCGACATACGTTATCTACTTCGTTTCATCGTTCCTGTTCTGGGAACCATGGCACATGTTCACCAGCGTAAGTTTAGCGAGCCTGCCGCCTTACATAAAATGAACTATGACTAATGGATTTTTAGTTCCTGCAATACCTTCTCCTCTCTCCTAGCTACGTCAATGTCCTTAACGTCTACGCTTTCTGCAACACACACGATATCTCCTGGGGTACTAAGGGAGACGACAAGGTTGCTACCGATTTGGGTGTGGTCAAGGTCCAAGAGGGTGGCAAAGTCGACGTCAACATCCCATCCGACGACGGTGATCTCGATGCAGAGTACACCAAGCAAATCAACATCCTGCGTGAGAAATTCGTCGAACCGCCAAAGATCCGAAAGCCGGAAGAAGTTCAAGAAGATTACTACAAGGGTGTCAGATCGTCTGTCGTTCTTTTGTGGATGTTCACGAACTTTGGGTTGGCGGCTGTGGTTTTGAATTCTGCTGGTTTGGATAGATTGCAGGTTGGCCCGGGGGCTGATGAGAGAGCGGCTATTTACCTTTCGGTGATCCTGTGGTCTGTTGCAGCTCTATCGCTCTTTAGATTTTTCGGATCGTGCTGGTTTTTGATTATCAGAATGGTGAGTTTTTTAGTCTTTGTGTTAGTTGAGAAGATTTGGGACTTTGGCTAACTTTATATTTAGTTCCGTGGTGTATAAACGGCGATATTATTTACGACGGTTGTAATATGCTTCCACTTTTTTTTTTCTTTTTGACGAGTTACGATCATATAGCCCCTCTTCGTGATTTTTTTTTTTGATAGCAAAGAGGAGGTTTATAAAACTTCTGTTGTATTCGCTTTAGACAAGCTAGTTTTTTTCTCTATTCTTTTTGAATTTATTATTACCATTATTATGCAATGGGTAGCAATTTATATCTACCGTTGTATGTGATTTATTACCTTCTATCGTTCTCCCGGGGAAGTTTGTTAGGTTTTTTTTCTTCTTCTCTTTTCCTTAGTTATTTTCAAAATATTTTTTTTATTTATGTTTATACTAGGATTTTGGAAGTTTTTACCATGGTTGGTTGTATTTACCTGTATTATCTGTAAATTATATTACCGGCCCGGTCGAAAGTCAAGTTTTTGGCGTTTATATATCAAGTTTCTATCAATAATATCTTATTTATAGAATGGGATTTATTTTATTTATTTATTTACATCTTTGCGGTTTTGTTGGAAGTTGTGTAGATTTCGATAGATAGGTAGATGACTTACAAACTTCCAAGGCGGAGTTTCCAGTGTTTGTATGTTCGGTTTGTCTGACCTTTTGCTTTTGAACACTTACCCCAACGACACAACCTTGAGCTAAAGCTAAAGCTAGCTAAGCTTGTTTTATATCTATATAATACGAGGCGATAAAAGTAGCCGTATAGGTTTATATAGTAGTAGATATGGGATCCAACGAGAAGATATCGGTTTTGATGGTATTTTATAGAACCCACAACAAGACTATTATATATACTTATATTTTGAGGGTAGAAGCTAACGAGAGGGGGGGTGAGGTGTAGGTATGCCTTGGTAATATCTGCCGGTAAGTCTTAACTCAAATCAAACCTACAAAAATCTATAAAATTAAAAAAAACATCAAGCCCCCCCGCCAACTTCCTATTTTTTTTAAAAAATACTTAAGTATATAATATATAGATCACCAATGGCCGAAGCCGTCTTCCGTCACGTCGTAACAGAGAAAAACCTCCTCGACAAATTCGACGTAATCGATAGTGCGGGCACAGGAGCCTATCACATCGGAAACCCACCTGATTCACGTTCCGTAGCCGAATGCGAAAGGAATGGAGTTATGGTATCTCATCGGGCGAGACAGGTTGTTAAGGAGGATTTTGAGAGGTTTGATTATATATTAGCTATGGATGAAGAGAATTTGGAGGATTTGGAGAGGAAGAGAGGGAAGGCGAAGGGGTCAAAGGCGAGGGTTATGATGTTTGGAGAGTTTGCGGGGGAGGGGGAGAAAGGGGGGAAGGTTGTGAGGGATCCGTATTATGGGGGGCAACGGGGGTTTGAAGTTAATTTTGGACAGTGTTGGAGGTTTAGTGAGGGGTTTTTGGGGAGGGTTTTTGAGGGGTGATTTGGGGTTGTAGATGGGGGTTTTACTCGGTATATACTTAAGTATGTATGTTGAGGTTGGGGTATAGATGGGTTTGTATTTTACAGATACGAGGAGGTTCTTTTTTTTTGGTATAAAGATATACTCTTGTTGAAGTGGGATATATGTACATGGTTGCAAAAAAAAAGATGGTATGTGAGTATATAAAAACACTACTACCACTGGTAGTATTGATGTTGACCGTATATCGGTCTATTAGCCAATGGTACCCATACTTTCTGTCGTAACCGTTTGTCTTCCTTTTCCTTTGCAAGTCTTTCTAGTGTTTTATTCTCCTTGAGGATGACACTGATGGAAGTAAACGGTTTGACGAGGATGTTGACTCTCGATCTAGCTCGTGGAAGAGCTTCTTTATCCGGTGTCCCCCTACCGACCCATGCTTGAGAGATATAAGTTTGTTCCGGATCGAAGTTTTTAGTATAGATAGCTTCGTTTTTAGCTTGTACCAAATGTTTCAAGACTTCCTTTGCTGCCTTTTTTGGAGAATATCTCATTTGGATTAATGCGTGTTCCAATGGTTTACCCGCGATTTGTCTGGCTAGGGGGCCTAGTTTTTTTAGGGAGGTTTTGAAGTTATGGGATTGACAGAGGTGTTCCTTTTCGGATTGCATCTTTTTGAGGGTGGGGGTTAGACGGCCTCGACGTTTTATTTGGCGGATTTTGTATTTTGCCATGAAGGATGGGGAGGTTGGGTATAATCCGGATTGTTTTAGGATTGCGATGCGGTTTTTGCCGGTTTGTTGGAGGAGAGGGGAGGGGATTCCTTTTTCTTCTCCTTCTTCGTGAGGAAGTGAGGTAGAGGAATCATCTTGTTGGAAGATTGAGGAAGAAGAGAGGTCGCCGCGTTTTAGTTTTGTGGCTTGACCGGTTGATGTTGGTAAGGCTGGCTGTTTTTCGAGAAGTTCGGCGACGGAGAGGGGCACGCCTCTGGAGTCTTCGAGGTTTTTGCGACGGAAGAGGCCGAAGAAGGTACGGGATTGGAGGGTTGGGAGGGTGGGTTTGAAGACTGTGGGTTTTTTTTATATGTATTGTTAGTATAGATTTAATTTGAGGATTTGAGAAAGGAGGGGAGGGGGAACTGACGTGGCTGGGTCCTCGAGAGGGAGGATAGCCGGATGAGGGTCTTCATGACATTCGGTTTGTGAGGGTTGGGTTTTTCGTGATTGAAGATTTGGGGATTCCGGATTATCGGTTTTTGGGATGTGGGTTTGGGTGGGTTGGATAGAATTTTGGTGATGGCGTTGGCGCGGTAGGCGCTCACGTGATTTGCCAGTTAGGCGCGGTGGGCTATTCGTCGGAATTTAGAAACTGTCATTAAATTGAATTTTAGTCATAGGCTTATATAATACTGTTATCCAGGTTTTTCTCTTTTTTCTTTTGATTCTGATTATTCAAGTCTCGAAGGCGATACAATGCAATGGGCGAAGAAGTATCGATACCGTATCTTAAACATCTGTAATGTAGCTTTGGTGCATACGGCAATCGCGATCGAAAGTTAATTAATTAATCATGCATGCCAAAATGCAATGTCATCGTTCCACGAAAAAAGTTACCACAGAAAAGACACCGAAGCTGGGCGGATGAGAAAAAACGGTGATTATAGGAGTCGCCTATTGTTTCGCGCTGGACGGCTATTATATTATATCATATCATCAGCTTAGCCAGCGGGTTCGATTTGCGAACTGCGATTGTTCCCCTGAGTGCTTATTACATACATATATCTGCTGCATGCGGATTACCGTTTCACAAAGGTTTTATTTTTATTATATCGCAGATAGGTAGATAGGTAGATAGGGGACCTTTGGTTTTGTGGATGCCATGTGGGATGTTTAATACTAATATTAATTGATTGGGATTTATAATGCAATGTCATTATCGTGATGTTATAGCTGTGGGGTTTTTGGATTTTTGGAAAATGCAACCGGCCAAGACGCTAGATTTCGATTGGTGAATATATTATCCCTATTTGTGGCAGGCTTCTGGAAGGGTCCGGGGATATCGATGTCGTGCCGGGAATTCTCCTTTTTCCCTCTTTTGTCTAAATTTCATGGAAAGTGACACATGCATAGATATATTATACACTGTCTACTTGATTGATTGATATTTGGCGGGAAATACCGCGGATCGAATTATTTTGGTGAAGTCTTTTTTTTTTTTTTTTGTTGAGATGAAATATGCAATTTCGCGTTCACGATCACACGTGGAGTTGAGTGGGACCCTACCGAGTAGGCAAATACCGGGTATCTTAACCTTTGGCTCGGACGTTTCTCTCGATCGAGCAAGGTAAACATCGTGCATCCTAGTATTAGTATTGATGTTGATTCCGGGATCCATTCGTCGGGTTTCGACTCTGGACACCTAGTTTTGTGGTGGGTACTGTTTAGTAGTATTTTGCATTGGAATGTGAAAAAATGCATGATGATGCATTGGCTTGGGTTAGGCTTAGAGGCTAAACCGGTCTAGACGTCGGCTAAGTGGATGAGGCTTTTCGGGCTTCATTCCGGAGGCACACTCTACAGTGTATGTTTCTGCGACATGCATATCGGATTGATTGACTACCTAGATTCGAACTCGCTTCCTGAATTTATGTTTGAGGAACATGCGTCGAAGCGAAGTGTGTGTGGGATTCTCTTTGGGGAAGGTCATTGACTTTTTGTAGAAAGTATGGTATGATGTTAGTTAGAAATCGGAGTTGAAGGTTTCAGAGTAGTTTTTTTTTTCAGCCTCCCCGGAATTAAAGACGTTTAATTGTTCGTTTTTGTTTGTTTGTTTCCCAGCTAGCCAGCCAGCTGCAGCTCAGTTGGATCATTGATTGCTGAAGCTAACTTGATGGGTGTATTACTGGAATCGGGAGTAGGTAGGAGAAATACTCAATATCTTCCGTGCTAAGAGAGCATCTGGTGGTTTCGAATGCTTTTTTTTTGAACCTGCCATGGGGTTTTTCGAGTTTCTCAGGTGAGATCTGATTGAATCTCGCACTCGCAAGGCTAGACCCATGTCGATGACATCGTCCCCAGATCATGGGATCAAACCAATCAACGAGCCAGAAAAGGTACAGCTTGTCACATCCTTCTTCTTTTTTGTGAAAACTTTTTTGACGGTATAGTAGGCTGGTTTTATCAATGCCTGAGTCAAAAAAAGTCCACGATGTTTTGTGGAGTTTTTTTGAGACCGGATGGTGGGTTATCCTTTGTTTAGATAGGTGGCCGCGGCGGGCCCTGCATTGCATTGACCGTGGCGTTATACGTTAGCGGTTTCTTTTCTATTGGAAGCTAGGCTAAACCATGGTTGAAGTTGTTTTTTTTTTTTTTTTTTTTTTTGAGGATGCTGACTTTTGACGCTACTGTATACACTACAGCTGTGCAGACGGACAGGCAGACTTTTCGATGCTTTATGCAGGTGATGTTGGTGCATATCCGGATGTTATGTGTGTGATTATGTATGTAAGTTTAGTATATCTGTGCATTCGGGGAGTTAACTAGTATCATAACTTACCTGCATGGCAAATATCTGTTACGGGGGGGCGTTTATACCTTGTAGAGGTTTAGACGTAGCTGCACGTGTGGCTGCCAATGGGATCGTAAAAATCTACTGCGGCGAATTCGAATGGACGAGATCGAGGTCGGCGGATTCGTATTGTGAGAAACCTTAAATCAATAGTAATAATATATAATAAGTAATAGAGAGGAGGGGGGAATCTTAGACATTTGTTTCAGTTTGTCAGAGGGAAGATATCTAGTATGTAGGTAGATAGAGGTAGAGATCAGATCAGAGTGGTGAGAAATGTTTACAAGCTTGCAAGTCCGAGTGAGAGTTGAGACTTGTTTCCTCATGATCAATACAGTTACACGCCGTCTTCGAACGCAAGCGGTTATATGACATGCATGCAATATGATAGATGGAGACTAGGTAGTTAGTAGTATGCCCTTCTTCTTCCTAAAGTTAGCTTTGTCTTTATTATAAAAGAGTGTAGGAAAGATCTATAACAGATGATTTCCAGATTTGACATGTCGACACGGAAAAGAAGATCCAGATCTTGTACCCACTCCCCACCGGCGAATTTGACGTAATTCTTAGGATTGTCCGAGACCTTTTTTTTTCTCCCACATTTTCTTTATTGTCCTTTTTTGAAGGATTGTTCCGAGGAAAAGTGGTTGTCCCTGCGTCTATACAACTTGCGATTGACGGTTTATCACCAGTCTGCATGCAGCTGAATTGTTAAATATTGTCGACACTTGTATGTTAAGATCTTCCATTTTCACTCTTGTTTACCCTGGTTATACGGTAACGGTGACGCTAACCCACTCTTATGATTGATATTATAACTATAGTATATACGTCTACCCAGATACGACGAGCAGCTGAGTTTCGAGGGTATCAACAATACACTAGGGACTACATTTGATTCTGAATTGCGTACGATTGGTATCTTGAGAGAATGGCCAGGGTTCGATGAGGTTTAACTTCCTGGTTCTTTAGTTAGAAGGTAAGATATATTACTTCTAGAAAGAAATTGATGGAATGTGAATATAATTCAGTTCCGAGATTCATTCACATCGATCCTATTCTCACCTCTTTGTCTTCGATAGGGGCAGCACCCGGAGAAACATTTTTATGTGGACCTCATCGGCTTGTAATACTATAAAGGTATCATACTCTGCAAGGCATACGATACGTCTATCGTCCTTGCCGACGATTTCCCTAGGATCTGAACTCATAACTTAATATCCAGGTCTTAGAATCTGCCTTTCAGCATCGTACTTGCTGCAGCTGCAGCGCTGACCGGAACAGGTATTTTGAGGTAAGATACATTGTATTTACTTTTCCTTGTTTATGATTTATGTTCCTCCGAACGGCGAAACCCAGCGACTCTCAAGGTGGATCTGAAAACCCGTTAATCGGCCTTCCTGATTCTGGCCAGCTCATGACAGCGCATTCGGGGGGAGGCTGCGTCATAAGCTTTTTTCTCTGTTAGTGTCGTTGAAGCCGGGTTCCGCCATCTTCGCATAATTGCATGAAGCACCAGCCACTGTAGCGGGTCCTACCAAACAACCCACTTCTTCGGATGCAGCGTCTTATTGCAGATATTTCTTTCCTAAACGGCTCATATCAAGAGGAAATATTTTTCACGATTGCCAAATTTGGTAATGAAGTATTTTATTTTAGAAATGGGTTCCCCTTGCAACACGTGCAGCGCATTGTCTGTGACTGAACTCTGCGCTCGATCGTAACACTTTTTTTTTATGATTTTTACTTCTTTTTCGTTTTTTTTCTTTACTTGCTGATGTTGGTGGTCATAATGCTGACGAAGCCGGAGTGGGCATCGCACTGGCCTTGAAATCTATGACTGCAATGACTGGGGTCTTGGTGAGGATAGCTTTGTTGAAGCTGGAGTATATATTGCCTGTTAGTATCTTGGGCTCGTGCAGTTCAAGGACTAGCTAGCATACACCGCTGCAACCGCAAATTACACAGGTCCTGAACGTTATCAAGTCCAAATCGTTTTCTCCCAATTTGGCCTTTTTGGTTAAGCCCGCACGGTATTATTTCCAACAAATCAAAGAGGGTCCCTTGCATTGCTTCGGAGCTCTCGTTTACAGTACTCCTTCCTTCTTTCCCGCTGTCATTTTTTTTTGGTTTGATCTTGTTGTCTCTCCGGACCTTGACTTTGACTTTGACTCTGGTCACTTTTT